CCCCGGCTTTCTCGACCGTCTGATCCCCATCCATTCATTCCCGTGGTAATAAGGTAATAATTATCGTCGTCATTCACTCTCGATGCCCGTTAAGAGTTATGAAATATGTATCATTAGAGTACCCCACGCCATATGATTTGTATAAAGCCAAGAAGAAGGCAGAGAGAAAAAAAAAGAGGGATGATTATAACAACCGACGATGAATTTTTTTTCTAGGACATTCACCTCCCCTCCAACCATGGCTCACTCACAATGCCAACCCTTGACAAGGCATCCCGCACACGATCCGTCTCGGCAGCCGTGATCCTCGCCCTCGCATCCTCCAACCTCTGAATACCCCGGTCAATCGTCTCAATATGGACGCTGAGGGGCATGGTGTTGAATGCGTAGAGCGTGAGCTCCGGAGCCGCCACCCTATCGCGCAGGTCCTCGAGCCCTGCCTGGATGGCCTCGAGCTCGAGGATGAGGGACTGGACGCGGCGCATGGCGTCGGACCGCTGGATGCTGACGCGTCGCAGGAGCGCCATCTGCTGCGACAGGTTGTGCAGGCGGGCGCGGTTACCGCCCACCATGCTCCACAGGAGGGAGAGCGTGTCCTCGCGGCGGTCGGCTACGGCCGAGGCGTCGCGCGACGACAGCTCGTGGATCAGGCCGAGGTGGTCCTCTGCGCGGGAAAGCAGGGCCAACACCGTCTGCGCCTCGAGGATCAGCGTCGTGATGCGATCCGACACGTGCGCCGCGTGCTCGACGTACTTGTTCAGTATCATGAAGTCGTTGTAGTAGGGGTTCTCGGGCAGAAAGGGCGACCAGACCCAGTTCGACCAGCGTGTCATGAACCCAAGGTCCGTGGATACGGGGTCGTTGGCGGGTGCCAGCGTGTCGAGGTAGCGCAACGTCCAGCGGTTGATGGCAATGACGCTGTCGACGGTGGCGCCGCAGTGTGTGTTGAAGCGCTGTAGATCGGCGGCCGCGCGCCGTGACACGTCGATGTAGCTGCCAAACTCCTGCACCAGCTCCTCGCGCGACTGTAGGTTGCTCGCCCGCACCAGGGTTCGCAGGTCGCGGATGGCTGTCTCGGATCGCTTCATCTCGTACGGCAGCGACACGCCGTCGGCGCTGGTCTCCAGCACCTGCTCCAGCTTTCCCTGGACACCCATGAGATCGTCGAACTCGACCATCCTCGGCTCGTCATCCGCGGGGGGTTGGTGTGGATCCGAGGACGGACAAAATGGCAGATGCAAGACTGATACGGCGCCGGGGAGGAGACACAGCGGTGACATAGACGTCTTGATGGACTGCTTGACCATGTTCTCGACCATGATTAATGAGCCCAAAGTGATCCACACGGCCAGCAGAATGGCCACTGGCATCTGGGCATACACCAGGGCAAGACGGGCAACGTTGGCGGCCCACAGAAGTAGGTTCATCAGGGCAGCAGGGGCGAGGCCCAAGACCTCAAATCTGGGTTGTGAGTTCAAGTCGGGAGAGCGATGTCTATGGCCTCGGGTTCTGGATGAAGCCCTTCCACCGGATGCCCCCGCCGTGCTGCTCTCGGTCTTGGTGGTGCATCGACGTCTGGGGTTGCGGCGTACACTATCTCCGCCCCTGCCGTCCGATCCGAGGATTGGCATCCGAAGCTCGGGACCGTCGCTCTTCTCTACGCCGGGCATAGACGGCCGGAAGGGAGAGCGCAGGATATTTTCCGGGTCATCTTGGTGGCGTGAGAAGTCGCGAATGCTGTCCTGGGAGCTGATAGCCTTACTCTTATCGTCGCTGTCCTGGGAACCGTACCGAGAACTGCTGCTGTCATGGGCGGGGAGATGTCTAGCCCCAGAGAAGGATTGGTGGGTAGATGGCTCGAAGGCACCTTGATGCGGACCCTCGTCGGCAGCGTGATCGTCGTCATCATCTTGAGGTGCCGGAACGACGGAGGTGTCGAAGCTTTCATTATCGCCCTCGACCATCCGCCACGACCCCGAGACATTCTCGGGCATGTTGCGGTTGGACCGACGCCTCGAGGCCATGGTCATGGGCGTGGAGGAGAGACAGTGAGAAGGATCAAGCGAGGTTTGCGTGAGTGAAGGGTTATCGCTATGCTTGTTCTGTTGTTTTGTATCTCTAATGGTGACCGCCGGAAACTAGGCAGAAGCGCGGGGTGAGTGTGAAACAGATGACTGGGGTTCAGAGTGAAGATGGAACCATGGCGTTTAGCCTTGGATATGTGTGGGTGTGAGTCATGGAAACAATAGATAAATGAGATGGGGAGGGGGGTTGGCGGTCATATGACGACGGATCGACCGAAGTACAAGTCGGGACTGTCAAGAATCGAGAGTTGAGAGTTGAGGGATGTGGTGATAGATTGTTGCTGTTGTTGTTGAAGGAGTCTTGGTGTAATAGAGCACTGCTAGTGGTAATATTACCGACTTCACCGATTGGTGCACATGCTCCCTTGCATCAGGCGTCTCAGGCTTCGACTTTCGGGCGGATGACACTCCATGATGGGACGCCCACTGCCCGAAAGGAGGTCACACACCACCACTACTACTATGAACGGGCAATACTGGGGAGTGCCTCAGTGGGCTAAACGCCAAGTTGGTCAGGGTCTGGGTGCCACATGGCGGCGGCTGACGTCGCGGTCTTGGGTCTCATGGACGGTCAACCAGTGGCAGCCGCCAGAACTTGCACAGAACGGCGTAAGCAGATATCGGATCGTGCAATGGCGATATGGACTGACGATGTCGAGGTACGTTTCAAGCAACCCAGCGTTTTACGAAGCCCGTTTGACGGCGCTGCTTACATATGCTTTCGCTGTCTAGTATCCAACCACGGCACTTGCACTTGATCGGGACCACGCTGCCTTGGTGACGTCTGCTGATAATGTGACGGAAGGAGAAAAGACGGTTCCTTCCCTGTCTTGTCTCTGCACATCATCTCGGAGAGCACTAACCTGCGTTGCACCTTCCTCGGGCAAGATATTCATAATCAAATATTGACCTGGAAGGTGCGAGAAGTCGTTGCGCGAAGGAGCCCTTACCCTTGGGCGGACGCTCAGAGGCCACGTGAACTGGGCGATGGAGACGACGAGTCCTCCAAAAGATGACTTTCTTCTTCTTTTAGATATGGTTTTTACATGGAAGGAAACTGGAAAGAAACCCGACCGTATTGGTAATATGATGCGCTCTTCTGAATAATACCGAGTCTACAGATCTGTACATGTAGTACGTCTTCGGCAATCGCCCTGTGCCGTGGAGGGGGGGAAACCGCTGCAGTGGGCCGCTCCCCAGACCTCGGCTCCCCTGTGGCAGTGGCACTGACTACGTCTGAGCAGTCCAATAACCACTATTATTACCGATAGCCTGCTCGTACGGACAGCGAATAACCCATCACTTTCATCAAACCCCCCCCCCCCTCCCATACCGACCACCGCCATCGAAACGGGCCCCCCATCGACAACTCGGACCGACCGACCCGATGCCGCAGCAATGACCGACTCGTCCGCCTTTGTCCAGGCTCAGCAGCGCGTTGCAGCGCGTCGACAGGCCCGCGAGGACCAGGCAGCCGCACGCATCGCCGCCCAGCGGGAGTCATCACGTGTGAGCGCCGCGCTGCAGCGTGTTCCCCTCCCGGGCTTCCTGTCCGGGTCGCTGGCGCCGCTGTGGGACGCCGTGTCGTCGCGGGAGGGGACACGCCCGGCTTTTCGGGTGGGACAGGCCGACGCCGAGCTGCTGGACGCCGAGCTGCTGGAGCTGCTAAAGTCCCAGGTTGGCGACGGCCTCCGCCACTTTGCCGGGGGCCACCTCCAGGACGACTGGTCGGCAGAGATCATGCTGGCCCTGCGTGCGGCCCTGTTCAAGCTCACGGTTTGGGACCACGATGCCACGTATGGTGCTGCCCTGCAGAACCTGCGATATACGGATGCGCGGAGCAGCCGTAGCTCAGATCCGGGCGTCCTCGTCCCGCCGTCGAGATGGCAAAAGGGCCTTCACGGGCTCGTCACAGTCGCCGGAAGATACGTCTGGACGCGTTGGGAGGACTGGCTTGTCGACCACGAGGACGATGCCGGCCAAGGCCCCTCCCCTCGTGTGCGCCGTCTCGCCCGCATCACGTCGGCTCTGTCGACGGCTCACGCTGCCGCCGCGGCCGTCTCCTTCCTCGTCTTTCTCCTCAACGGCCGCTACCGCACTCTCCTCGACCGCTTGCTGCGCATGCGGCTGACCCCGCCCACAAGCCAGGTCAGCCGCGAGGTCTCGTTCGAGTACCTCAACCGCCAGCTCGTGTGGCATGCCTTTACCGAGTTCCTCCTCTTCGTCCTTCCCCTGGTGGGGATCAACCGCTGGCGTCGCTGGCTGTCGCGCACCTGGCGCAAGGCGAGAGAGATTGTCAGCACGGGCCCCGCCGATGCCGACCCCGACTCCACCAACCGATCCGCAGATGGCCCGTACGCCTTCCTCCCCGAGAGGACCTGCGCCATCTGCTACCAGGATCAGAACGACGCCGCCACCAGTGAGAACGAGGTCATGGCCGCCGCCGCATCTAGTGGTGTCGTCGGCTCCGCCCAGACAGACATCACGAACCCTTACGAGACTATTCCCTGCCGCTGCATCTACTGCTTCGTCTGCCTCGCCACCCGCCTCGAGAGGGAGGAAGGCGAGGGATGGACGTGTCTCCGCTGCGGAGAGCACGTCATGCAGTGCAGACCCTGGAGCGGAGATGTACTCGAGCCGGCCTCCAAGACCTCTGGGGCAAAGACTGTCGCCTTTTCCGATGAAGTCGTCAGACCAGATTCTGACGGCGACAGCGGCGAGTTGATCAAGAGCCCACCCGAAAAGTGATGGGCCATGGCACAATACCTACCCACCTGCCTGTTACGAAAGACCTTCCTGGTATCGAGGAGGGTATACATGCGACATCACAGGCATACGCCCCTACCACGAGGGTCCCTTCTAGACCCCGTTCAGGGAGAAAAAAGAGGATAAACGAAGAGACCGCTAAATTGACATCCAGCCGTGGCTAGCCATTGTTGAGGTGGCTTGCTGGGTCTGTCTAACTACACGTAGACATATGAAACTTTACATAGCATCAGACTTATTGACATGGGGAGATTGTGTATATCTGAACCGGGGGGGGGCGTTATACCTACTGGGGATTGTAATATCATGGCGAGGGGAGTCATGCGAATTTTTCTCTTCTTCTTCTTCTTTAGATGTAATATGTACATTAACTATGCTCATCCTCCCTTCCCACTGCCGACGCCATGTATGTCCGTTGAATATAAACAAAGAGAAAGGTGGGGGACAACCCCCCTCCCCGGTATATAAGAACCAGAAAAAAAAAGAAGAATACACTGTGCATCTTGCCAGGGCTTTACTTGCCACCCAAGGGCTTCTGCTTCGTCTGGACCAGGTGCTTGAGCTTGGTCTCGACTTTCATAAACTTGTCGGTCTTGGGGTCGTACCACCCGAGGACGTACACGACCATGAAGGCGGAGCGGCCCTGCAGCTCAACCATCCCGTCGACACGGATACACCCCTTGCTGACGTGGTGTTCCGTGCGCTTCCAGTTCTTGGCCAGCACCAGCGACGCAGCCTGGAAGGCGAACATGACGCTCTGCGACATGGGGCTGGCGGGCGCAGCACCGTCTCCTCTCTCGCCGCCTTCCCCGCCTGCGCCGCCGCCGCCTAGCCTCCTGAACAGGTTGGCAAAGTCAGGAGGACCTTGGATAGAGCCTGGTTGCGACGCCTTGGCCTGTGGATTGTCGTTGGACGACGGCGCCGCAGATGGCGGGTTGAGAACCGTTCCTGCCGCGGGGGACTGCTGCTGCTGCTGCTGCTCCTTGCCACGGTTGATGATGACGGACTGCCATGATGTCTCAGGCTCCTGGGTACCCGAAAGCCCGAGGGCGCGCGAAATGTCGTCCTTGGACCGCTTGAGGAGTACGTCCCAGAAGGTCCAGACCGCCATGGCTACGGCCTTGGGGTACATGATTGCGTCGATCTGGTTGGCTGCCACGGTCTCGATGGACCGGTCACCCCAGAAGAGGCCGTCGTAGTCGACAATCAGTCTGCACATGTTAGACGGCACATGATTCCCCCCCAAAGAAAAGGACAGTAAATGATTACATACCCTGAGATGTAGTGCTTTGGCGGCGGAGCAGGAGGGTAGATTATGTCGAGCCACATCTTCCTGACCTTGGTTGTCTTGCCGCCCATCAAGTTGACGATGACCGGGTTGGCCTCGGCTCGCCGCCGTACCGTCTCGGCGAGGGATCCTTGAGAGAGGGGATAAAGGTCAGCCAGCCAGCCACACGGAAGAGAGGCCTGGAGAACACTGGGCATTGCTCACTCTTGATATCCTTCTTCCTCTTCTCATCCTTGTTCACCTTGACAAACTCCTTCCACTCGGGATCGCTCCCCCGGTACGGCGGCTGGGCAATCTGCTTGGTGGTGAAGGGAAATGGGAGGAATAGGAGGGGCTCCTCCTCTTCGTCCATCTCGTCCTCGCCCGCCTCCTCGAGTTCTTCCTTCTCCTTCTCCGACAAGGAGTCCCACTCCTCCTCGGCCCAGTCGAGAAGCGGGTCCAGCACCACGCTCATATATATCTGCCACAGCGCGTAGTACACAAGCAGAGTGAAGAGTGCGTACCGCACCTTTCTCCATGACGGGAGACGTTGCTGGTGCTGGTGCTGGTGCTGGTGCGACGGCGGCGGCGGCTGTGGGAAGTACACGGGTAGGGTGGGGTCGATGGGCTTTTTGCTGCGAGAAGGCCATACGGATATCGACCTCGTCGCTGACATCGTCGTGGCTGTGGGGAGTAACGCTCTCTGCCCGAGGGCGGCGATTCGTGGTGTCGTTGCGCGGACTGCGGCGGCGGAAGCCGTGACAACCGCGGCTCGCCGTGAGGCGGCTGTTCGGGACAGCATGGTGACTTGTTAGCCCCTCGAGAGGTATCAAGTCCTTTTAAGAAAGGCTAGGGAGGGGAAGGGCGGAAAAAAAGAAGGAGAAACAAGAGAAAGAGGGCTATGATATGAGGCAAGAAGTCATGATTGCGTGGCGGGAAGAGGGATCTGAACAATGGGACTCCAGGTCTGGTTTTCGGCGATGCGTCATTTGCACCGTGCGATCTGTGCGGGTCCAGTGCCGGCGGACATGTGTAGAAACACTGTGTATATCGGATCATCTGTTGTCCGAAATCTCCGGCGTTTTGGAACTACAGGGTACGTACCTCCCGTCACAGCTGCATGTAACTCTGTCGATATTACGTTGCGCGAACAATCAATCGTCTCCTTGGAATAACCATCCAACGACGCTTCATCGTCAATCCACCCCCCTCCCGCCGCCCACAGTCATCCCGTCGAATCCCACACGATGAAGCTCACACTTGGGTTCACAGCTGTCCTGGCCGGGTGTGCGGCTGCGGCAGCGGCAGCCCCCGCCGCCGACGTCTACATCCTGTCCAACGACGAGGCCGCCGTCGAGTCGAACCTGTCCGTCTCCCCCAGCGAGGCGCGCCTCATTCTCCTCCAGAGGCTCGCCCCCGCCGGCAGGGGTGCCTCGACTGCCGAAATCCCCCACTCCGCCGACACGGAGACTCTCGTGACCCTGCTCAACAAGTATGGCGGCGGCGGTGCCGAACAGCCCCTGTTCATGCCGTCCCAGTCGCAGCAGCAGCCCAGCCAGCTGGTTGTCATGCTCGAGGGCATGACGGACGAGCAGATTGAGGAGACGGGACACGAGCTCAACACCAAGCCCAGCTTCACTATTGCCGACGCCCCCTCGCCCAAGGCCAACGACAAGTTCGTCTCTGACGACATTTACGCGCACGCTGGCGTCTCCAGCAACCACGAGTGCTCTGTCAATGAAATTACCAACCCCTTTGAAGAGCGCTGCTGGAGCGGCAGATCCACCGTGGCCAAGTACAACGTGCAAAAGGTAAGGAAATAGAGTACCACGGGGCCGTGGCGATGGGAGGAGAGAATTTCATTACCGCTGACACATGCACAGAACCCCGAGATTCTCTCGGATCTCACCCGCCAAATCTCCAACCTCGCCAAGCTCGCACGCTCCGGCGAGATGGAGACGACTCTGGTCCTCTTCCCCGCTTCTGCCTCGGCCAAGAAGTGGTCTGAGGTGACCCTGCACCGCCGCCAGTCGACGTCTGAGCAGGTCATCTCTTCTTCCTACGCAAAGGCCTACGCGCCCGACGTGTCGTCGTCGCCCAAGGAGGAGGACCATTCCGTCTTCTACAAGTCGTCCGGCGCCTCGACGTCGGCCTCGATCCCCGCCTGCTTCTCGTCCGAGGACAGCTGCGTCACTGCCACGGGCAACTGCTCCGGACACGGCAGCTGCACCAACAAGTACGGCAGCAGCAGCAAGGACTCGTGCTTCGCGTGCCACTGCCTCAGCTCCATCAACGAGGAGTCGGGCAGCCTGACCCACTGGGCCGGCAAGACATGCAGCAAGGAGGACGTCAGCGTCGCCTTCTGGCTCTTTGCCGGCTTCACCCTCGTCATGGTCTTCATCCTAACTACGTGCGTCGGCATGCTCTACAGCGTGGGCGAGGAGAAGCTGCCCGGTGTCCTCGGGGCCGGTGTTTCCAAGTCGTCGTCTTGAACGGCCGACCTCTCCACCCATCGATGAATGAACCCAACAAACGATAAGACGGAACGACAAACCAAGGAAGAATAGGAAGACGGATCGACGGAATGGATAAGATGGATGAGGCCCTTCAGAAGAGCGTCGCTCCCTTTAGTAGTGCCCGGGAGTGTGTGTGTACCATACATGTTGTTGCTATGCGTGTTGTTTTTGATAACATCGGCGTCGTTGTGTTCTTGCTTAACCAATGTCTCGCGTTAGACGAGGCTTTTCTCTCGCATCATTGACTTCACCGGATAATGGATATAATTCTTTTTAAAAAAAATCTGTGTCAACTTTTGCCGCGTTTATTGATTTTGTCCGAGCCGTCCAACTTGGTATCCCCACGAGCCGTGCACGTGTCAACTGTACTGTACGTGGCGGCAGCTAAAGCTGGCGGGACAGACATGGGAGCTATAATGTTTGATCGGGGGAGGGTAGAGCAGAATATGCCCACGGCGTACACAGAGGTACATGTACGCTTCAACGACCCGCGGGACACTTGGCACTGACCAAATGGAGATGTAGACGTTCGTCTCGGGTTCTTGCTGTACGTCATCCATGCGATGGTCACACTGAGTTTCTGTATTCATATAATGATGGGGAAAGCACCATTTGCTCATCATCCGCAAAACGCCAGGTATGGTTGTCGGTCTTTTTTTTATGTATGATAAAAGAGAAGATACATGAAGAACGTTTCGAAATCACCGCTCCCGCTGTCGGTCGTCGCCGCCAATTCTCTCCAGAGCCTCGAGCATCACGACCGAGTTACCACGGATGACCTACAGCATGGTTAGCACGTCGTCTGAGAAGCGGCAGGGTATAACTCCCGGGAGACATAGAGATCCCCCGAAGAGATTGCGTATGGGGTGATCAGAAGGACATACCACCATGCCTATCCTGACCTTCTCGCCACCATCCTTTTCCTCGACCGCGTCGTCCAGCACAATGTTCAGAAAGACCTAGTTTCTTGTCAGCCAGGACACTTTCCCTCCCCCTCCCCCAGAGATTAAGAATTTCGAAGACAGCAGTGGAAAAAACTGACATCGTATCCGCGGAGAACGCCGATGACCTTGCGGCTCCCGTTGAGCTGGACAAACAGCCGCTTGTCGAGGTACTGCCGGGTTCCAAAGGTTAGCCGAATACTAGTGCGGGGAGGGAGGTGAAGAATAGGAAAGAGTCTGGCGCATGATCCGGGGATCATGGAAGAGCAGCGTGAATAACATGAGCACAAACCTTCTTGAGCTCGGGCTGTGCGGGCGCCATCGTGTGAGAGGTTGATTGATGGGTTGAAGATGGAGGGGAGGATTTGAATCAAGGGCAGACCGATGCGACGCGACGTGGCGGGCCAAGCTCACCAACTCTTCTTTGACGTTGAGAATTCAGTCACGTGCTGATAAGATTGACGTCAAAGTACTATAACAGATAATAACACCCTTTCAATAAAATGCATCCCAGAAGTTTTGACTACTGCATGTATTGTACAGAATACAGGAAAGAAAACAAAAACAAGCAATCATTCAAAGAAAATGAGCTCTTTTGGTTCCAGGCGCAAAGCGCGCGTGATCAAAGTCTCCGACGATGGCGACGATGCGCCTGAAAGAGTCGCCTCAGACCAAGGTAAGCAAGCTCCCATGTCAAATCACACGAGACAAACTTGGCGTGCTGATTCCCCGAGAGAGCAAAAGGTTGACGGATGAAGCAGACGCCCCCAAGCCAGTGTTCGCATCTCGTGCCGGACGAAAACCCGTTCGTCAATCCAGTCTACGGAAAACCGCAAACGACGATGACGCCGCCCATAAGAGTGCAGACGAGGACGAGGACGAGGGCCCGGCCGTTGTGAGGCCCAACATCGCGCGCAGCAGCTCGAGCCAGAAGAAGCGGATGCCACTCAAGTCAAAGCTGTCCTCCGGTCGCAGAAGTGGCGACGACGACGACGTTGGCGAGGATGCAATCACCCGACCGCCCAAGAAGACGCCCCTGGGGAAGCGTGCCATGGAGAACAGCGCGTCCAAGAAGGGCGTGTCGGCCCTGCCGATGCGGACCTTCCACAACGACGACGACGATGATCGACCCAAATACAGCAAGGAGTACCTAGAGGAGCTGCAGTCGTCGACGCCCAACACGCCGCGGCCCGTCAGTGCAGCAGCTGCCGACATGATGGAGCTGGACGAGTCGGAACTAGACGGTGCGCTGGTGGTCGACGACGCCGGCATCGGCAGCCTGGCGCCGGCCACGACAGCGACAACGAACGCGACACAAGTCCTCACCGAGGCACAGATCCGCGAGAAGAAGGAGCGCCGCGTCCGACTAGCACGGGAGCAGGATTTCCTCTCGGTGGAAGACGACGACGACGACGACGCCGCCGCCGCCGCTCGCAAGCCAGCCGGCGAGTCTCGGCTCAAGGCCTCCGAAGACGAAATGGGCGAAGGTTTCGACTCGTACATCGAAGACGGGGGCCTGTCACTTGGCAGACGCGCCGAGAGGGAGCGTCGCAAGCGTGACCGCCAGCAGATGGCCGAGCTCATCACGGCCGCGGAGGGCAACCCGGACGAGTCGTCCTCGGATAGCGACGACGCCGAGCGCCGCATCGCCTACGAAGCCGCCCAGACGCGCGCCGGGATGGAGGGCCTCGACCGGAAGCTCCGCAAGGACGGCCACTCCGCCGACAAGCATCTGCTCAAGGTGCCCGCCAAGATGGCCCCAATCCCCAGCCTGCCCGAGTGTATTGCCAAGCTGCAGCTGTCCCTCAGGACCATGGAGGCCGAACTGCACGCCAAGGAGGCGCACCTCCAGAAACTGAGGGATGACAAGGCTGCCATTGCCGAGCGGGAGGTCAAGGTGCAGAGCTTGCTCGACGACACAGGCAAGAAGTACCAGGAAGCCATGGCGCAGGGCAAAGTCCATGACGGCACCACCACCACCACCACCACCGCCGCCGCTTCTGTGTCTAGTGCCGAGATGCTGGGGGAGAGGGGCCTCGAGAGTATCGGGGCGACGCCCCAGCGGGAGGGGTCGGCTGGTGACCAGGGGGAGTGAGGGGGCCTTCTCAACCACGAGCTCCCTCCTATACGCTGTCTAACCACCACAACTCCACATATATGCTCTGAAGGTTGCATCTACCGTGGCCCGGGCCTGAAGTAAAAAAAACACGAGAGAGGAGCACAGGAAGGCACCGACACCGGAAATGTCGGTGCCCGCAGCCTGGTCGAGATATGCAAGATGATGCGGTTATCCTACTCTATGCCATCTTGAAAGATGGTAACCCATACCCGCCGCAGTCCCTTTCGAGAGAACGGCAGAAATATCGATCCTCTATGGAAACCATAGGTCACCATCGTCCCAAGACCCAACGGGCCCGTGGCAAAACGCAGGCCAGTCATGTTAGTGACGATGGGCGACGATGTACCGTCCTCTCATGCCACATGTAGTATACAATATATCTATCAGTAGTCCGGCCCATCTCAAAAACCGAGCTATGGCATAATCGTACGGCAGGATAATGAGGACTAAATGACCCAATTTACTCCAAAGGAGTTGATATTATCACGTCTTGTCCGTCAATCTTTGAAAAACGTCATTTCACATTATCAAGTCGTTTTTTAGAAAGAACCAAGTCCTACCAGACACCCCGGTCCTCCCATCTCTTTTCCTACATATACATTAAGAAAGAAAGACATAACTATAAAAAAGGGAGTGTCCTCAGAACCGTATTTTCCCGTATGCAATCATCACGCCTTGCGAGTAATACACTTTTTTTATACTTGCTCATCGGCCGACACGGATAACTCCGGCGGCGGCTAGCTTCTGGATCTTGGTCCTCACGCTGGGATTGCGCATGTGCTCCTGGAGAGCCTTGGGGTCTGTCTGGGCCTGCTGCAGGATGGACTGCATGACGGGGTCCTGCATAATGTTCATGATCTGTAGAAAAAAAAAGGGTCAGTCACTTTGGTCAATTAGAAGACACATAAGAGGAGCCGCAACTCACATCAGGGTCGCGCTGGATGCGCTCCTTGGTCTGCTCCTCCGTCTCGTTGTCGCGGGCAGCGTACATGGCCGAGAATGCCTTCTGCTGCTGCTGTTCGATCTCACGGGCGTTGGCACCGTTGTTGGATGCCAGGTCCACCTCTTGGGCCTCAGTGCAGGCGTCGATGCACTCAGAGTATTTGCGCATACCAAAGTAGGCCTGAGCCTTGCGGATGTAAGCGCGGATGAACTGGGGGTTGATCTTTATAGCGTGGTCGCAGTCATCGACAGCGCTGGGGAACTCGAAGAGCTTGATAAATGCAGCCGCACGGTTGCTGTAACCGCGGGCATCATCGGGGGCACGCTTGATCATCTCGCTGTAGGCGGCGACAGCGCCGGGGAAGTCGTTTTCCTTGAACTTCTTGTTGCCCTCCTCGCGGGCCTCCTCGGCCTTGGCGGGGTCAATGTAAGCCTTGCGGGCAGCCTCTACCTTGTTCTTCTCGGCAGCACGGAGCTTGGACAGCACGTCGGGTGTACGGTGCTCCGTCAACGACTTGTTGTAGTGCTCAATGGCCTTCTCCATGTCGCCCTTGCGCTCGTAGGCCGTGCCAATACGGGCATAGCTCTTGGCGATGATCTTGAAATCGGCGTAGATCTCGCGGCCCTCAGCCACGGCCTGGGTGCAGACCTCGATACACTTGTCATAGTCACCCTTCTCAAAGTAGGCAGCACCCGCGTTGTTGAGGTAGGTGATGTCCTTAAAGGTCTCCCAGGCCTTGTCATAGTGGGAAATAGCCTCGTCAAACTTGCGCTTCTTGTAGTTCTCAGTGCCAAGGGCCTTCTCCTTGTCGGCCTCGGCCTTCTTCTTCTTCTTCTCCAGGGTCTCCTCATCCTCGGGCTCAGCCGCGGGCTCAGGCTCCTTCTTGGGGGCCGGCTCGGGCTTCTTGGCTTGAGGTGGAGGAGTGTTGTTCTGGGGAACCTCGTAGGCACCCTCGGGAGGCGAGTCACGGGTCTCGAGGTCGACACCCATGGCGACACCAAGCACCTGCAGCATCCTCGGGTCGCTAAACAGGTCGGGATTGGAGGGGTTCCTCTGAATGTCCTGGAGTTTGGCCATGAAGGAAGGGTCGCTCAGGAATGAGCTGGTCTTTGGGTTTGAGGCGAGCTTCTGGATCAGGTTCGGGTCGCTGAACATCTTGCCCAGGCCGGCACCGGGATCGCCACCTGTGTATCAGTGTTAGCCATCAGTGTACTTACTGGAGGGAAGGAGACCGACCGTTCGGTATCCGTGCTACGTACCTGCTTCAGACTCCATAGCCTTCTGGACAGAGGCCAGACCGCTCTTGAGCTGGGCGTTGGAAGCATCGTACTTCAGTCCTGCCTCGTACGCATCGTTGGCACCGACAAGGTCGCCCTTGCCGTGGAGGGCGGCACCTTTACGGCCCCAGCCCTTGGGCCAGTCGGGCTTAATCTCGGTAGCCTTGATGGCATCGCTGAGTGCAGAGTCCCAGTCCTTCTTGGAAGCATGGGCAGCGGAGCGGTTGGAGTAGAGGATGTGGTTTTCGGGCTGGATGGCAATAGCCTGGGTGAACTTGTCGCTACAGAAAGCTGGAGTTAGCATGCAGTCTCTCTCTTCATAGAATTATTAACCAAGTTCAAGCAAGTGAAGCCTCATCTGATGCTGGAGGGCGAGCGGTAACGTACATGGCCTCGTCAAAGTTCTTGTCGGCAATGGCCTTGTTGCCTAGAGCCTTGAGCTCGTCCGCAGAAGACATGTCTGGCTGCTGTGTGTGAAGGGAGGGGAAAGAGGGGTATCTCAAAAAGGGCAGTGAGAGTGATTAGAGCCAAAAGAGGATGGAGCCAATTCTCGTTGACTGAGGGAGAAGGGATAGAGGATATAATATCTCTTCTCGTGTGGGGAGAGTATTGGATAGAAAGGAAAAGAAGAGGCCGGCTCAAGATGCTGTCACAACGTCGTCTCTCGTCGTTCGGTGGGGCAGACTGCAGCGGGCAACAGCGACCGGTGGCTCCTTCCCCCCCGGTCATGGAGGGCTGCAGTGTCTTCTAGCTCCTTCGATGGGCCGAGACCTCCAAAACCAGCGTCGAGGTTCTAGGGCGTTCTCTGATTGGCTCACAGCTTAGAATTTTGCAAAGTAGGCAAGTCTACAATATATTCAAGTTCGAACGAGCCTTCTGTGCTGCGTTGGCAACAGACATGTGCTACGTATGATGCAGCCATTGCCGCGCAACTGAGTGGCATCGTATTCGCAATCTCTCCCTCTCTCTTCCTTATAAGAATGGGTTCATTCGTGGCCATCTTCCCTTTTGCTTTCTTTTTCACATCATCTCGTGATGGCCGTAACCTGCCCATCACATCTACGGATCAAACGACTGCGCCTTGACGGCGACCTTGGTCTCCTGCACAATCTCACCTGCAGACTTGCCCGCCATGAAGTTATAATCACCACCCTTGATAACCCACTTGCGCGAAGCCTCGTCAAATGAAGCAAACTCGCGCACGGTAACGGGCAGGCTGACCGTCTTGCTCTCCCCAGGCTCGACATGGACCTTCGCAAATGCGGCGAGGACCTTGACGGGATCGTCAGACGGCTTGTCAGCGGCGCCCACATAGATCTGCACGGCCGTGGCGCCAGCCACCTTGCCGGTGTTGGAGAGCTTGACATTGACGGTGTAGCTGCCGTCAGACTCCTCGACGCTCAGATCAGACAGGCCAAAAGTGGTGTAAGAGAGACCGTAGCCAAAGGGAAAGTTGACCTTGTCGGCGGGCAGGCGGTCAAAGTGACGGTAGCCGACAAAGATGCCCTCCTCGTATGTGACCTGTAGGCGGCCATTGGCATCGTGCTTGCCGGGGAAGTTGTCGTGCGCGGGGCTGTCTTCGAGGAACTTGGGGAATGTGCACGTCAGATGGCCCTCGGGGTTCTGGCGGCCCGTCAACACATCGGCGACTGAGTTACCCACCTCCTGGCCAGGGAACCAGGCCTGCAAGAGGCCCTTGATCTCGCCAAGCCACGGCATGGCTATGGCGACGCCTGTGTGGTTCACGACAATCGTGTTGGGGTTGGCTTTGGCCACGGCGCTGATGAGGCGGTCCTGGCTGCCGTCTTTGGGCAGGTTAAACGACACCTGGTCCTGGCCCTCCGTCTCCCATGCCGTCTCGTGACCTACGAAGACAACAGCCACGTCCGCCGCCTTGGCCGCGTCGACAGCCTCGGAGAGGAGGTCCTTGTCATACTCTGTCGCGGACATGTGACCGATGCGGACACCAATCCTGCCTTGGAGAATGCCGAAACCCTGGTCACCTTCCTTGACAGCGGGGCGCGTTCGAACCACTATCTTGTACTCTTTTCCAGCCTCGAGCGGCACCTTAACCTCTGGAGTCGCAGTGCCGCCAAAAAGGAAGCCCATTGCATCCTCGCAGTTTTTCTTTTGCTCAGAAACGAGCTTGTCGTTGATGATCAGCTGGCTAGGGCCCAGTCCGGAGCAGGTAAAGTAGTAGGTGGCCGTCTCGGGAGCCGTGTAAGTTCCCTCAATGGTAGCATCCTTGTTCCTGACTCCGAATCCGAGCACATTGATGTCACAATCCTCGTGCCCGTGGCTGACGTCGACGGGGACCGTGGAACCCTGCTCATAGAACTTGCGTGTCCAGCCTTTTCCGCCGGTGAGATCGACGACATTTTCTGAAATGGAGGGCATCATGCGGAAAGTATGGGCACCTGGTATCTCTTTTACGTTAGCCATGGAAGCCTCTTCTATCGCGTGGAGCCAAACACGGAGGGGTTGTGCAGATTCGGTGAGGACTCACCCTTGGAGTAGGTGAACTCGACATCGGGGCCTAGTGCCTCGTTCAGGGCATCCCACGGGGTGATGCGGTAATGGGCATTGACCGAAGCGCTGCCACCGCCATGAGCCATGCCCGTCTTGGCGTGGCCCAGGAGGGCAATCTTCTTACCCCTGACCTTGTCTTTGGACAGAGGGAGAATGGCATCGTCATTCTTGAGAAGTACTATACCCTTGGATCCAGCCTCGCGGATGAGGGCTTGATGCTCGGGCCTGTTGATGGCCTGCTCCGGGGGCATGGAGGGATCCTCGAAGCACTTGAGGCGCTTGAGAAACTCGAGAACACGCATGGCACGCTCGTCAATAGTCTTCTCGCTCACCTCACCGGACTTGATAGCGGCCAGGACAGCTTCTTGGGTCCTCCACCTGGTGGGGCCGGGCATCTCAAGGTCCAGGCCTGCATTGAGACTGGCGCCAGTCGAATTGGTGCCGCCCCAGTCACTCATGATGAGGCCGTCCCAACCCCAGTCGCCCCTGAGGACGTCCTTGAGAAGGAATTCATTGGAGTCGGCGTGGTGGCCGTTGACCATGTTGTAGGCGGTCATGACGGCCCAGGGCCGGGCCTCCTTGACTGAGATCTCAAAGGGCTTGAGGTAGATCTCACGCAGGGCACGCTCGCTGACCGTCTCGTTGACGGTCAGACGCTCTGTCTCCTGCTCGTTGGCAGCAAAGTGCTTGATAGTGGCGGCAACGCCAATGTCCTGCACGCCCTTGACGACCTGGGCGGCCATCTTACCGGCCAGGAAGGGGTCCTCAGAGAAGGACTCGAAGTTACGGCCACCCAGGGGATGCCTCTGGGTGCACATTGTGGGGGCCAGAAGACAGCGGGCACCCTTGGAGTGTGTCTCCTCTGCCAGAGCCGTGCCTACGCGCCTGGCCAGGGTCACGTCGAAGGTTGAGGCCATACAGCAGGCGGCAGGGAAGCAGGCAGCCGTGGTGCCACCAGTAAAAGAGTCTCCACGAGCACCATTGGGTCCATCAGACGTCTTGACCGAGGGCACACCCTTTTCAGGAATGGGGACCGTCCGCCAGAGGTCGGCACCAGCGAGCAAGGAGATCTAAGAATTGTCCGGAATTTGGTCAGAGAGAGATTCCATCAGTACAGACACGGGGGACAATGATCACGACACACCTTCTCCTGCAGCGTCAGCCGCGAGAGGATGTCGGGCAGGTTGACCGAGTACGCCATGGTGAAATGATGTCTCGGTTCGTACAAAGGAGGGGTCGGAGGGGTGATGGTCCGAATACTGGGAGAAGAATCACGAGTTACGGTGGCAGGGGGAGGGGGGCAGAAGAGTCCATTTAAGCGATTTACTCGAGGTCTCTTTCATCTACGGTTGTGACGGATGCAGCCGTGCCGAACGGCGGCAGCATCGCGGATAACACGACGTCCATTCGTAGGAAAGCGGGGAGACGAACCACCTCGCGGGTCAGCGATGGAGTCGGAAGGTTGCGATGTAACCACTGACGTGAGCTTCGAGATGGTGGTGGGCACCGGTAGCGCTGCCGATGATTTTCCAGGCGGTGCTCAGCCGGCATTGAACCGTGGTATATCCAGGAGCTAGCTGGATGGTTCCACCGTATTGGATCATGTCGTTCCGAAGTTTAGCCTCTCGGGATTCGTCTTCTTGATCTTGCGATGGATGCTGTATGGATATCAATTTCAGGTAGTAATAACGCAAAATATTAGTACATTGATTGATATGAGTCACGTGCCACTTGCGTGCCTCCATTGGTGCCCCGCAAAGGAGATGGGGTAGAAGTTTTAACAATGCATGCGTTGAAGGCTGGTGGATCGGATTGCCATCGGTTGGCGACGTGACACAGATTTGTCGGCTTTCTTCAGTTGCGCTATGGCTTGTTAGTCGTTGAACAAACGATACTTCTACCTTCCGTAGCGGTTCTATGTAAACATACTGTAAATGGTCGGAATAAAAGGCTTGTATATCATTTTGGGATCATTATGATCATACTACTCCGTATAGACGGCAGAAACCTGATCCTGAGCTAGATGGGACTGTATTTTATGTCCTGGTCGGGTGATGAGTCAGCCAAACATGGGAAAGAGCCCGCGAGTATCGACAACATTTCGCTGGAGTACTTTGGGGTTTGTCGCTATTGTGAATAGTATTATATAGTAATGGTTCTAGTCCTTCAGTTTCACTGATTCAACTCGCATCCCCCTAGTCCGTCTCAATCGGTTTCTTTGCGGGAGAGGGGAGAGAGGGGAAAGCTGTAACAGCTCTAAATATCTGAGACGTTCAGTGACCGGCGGGTCCAGGGGGCAAGCTTAGCTTCTAATGATATTTGGTATGACATAGCCACAGCTCAACCGTCCCTCCAATTCATCACCACTTGGCGACATGAAGCTACCGGTTCGGACACGATAGGACAAAGACGCTTCGCTAAAGCTTCTGTCCTCTGTACGCATTACACACAGAGAGATGGACGCCATCTCACATCTGGCACGAGGTACGGCCCCCCCCCTTTCACCCCCTCCTCCCTCCCCCCTCCCAGTTCGATACGCGCAGCTGACGCGACGACGCCTTTCTACAGCCGCCTCCTCGGATGAAGCCTCGTGGACGAACATCCCCACCAACCTACTACTCGCCGAGATTCGTCGACGACAAGATGGAGGTGACCAGACGGAGGAAAAGCCGGCTTGCGGAACCCGCGATCGCGGGCAGTACAACACGGCCGCTCACGTCTTTGCCCTCTTCCTCATCCTGTTCTTGAGCACACTAAGTATGATGATTCCGGCAAGGATGATAGCCCAATGCTTGCGAGAGGGGACAATCGCTTACCTGTGCGTGTGTTGATTACAGGCTGCGGTTTACCTCTGCTGTCCCGCCGGACTATGGGAGGCCAGCGGCAGAGGATCGTCATCTTCTACTGCCAGCATGTCGGCACCGGCGTGCTGCTAGCGACGGCCTTTGTGCACCTGCTCCCCACGGCCTTCGAGTCCCTCACGGATGCCTGCCTCCCCTCCTTCTTCAACAAGGGATACAGGCCCCTCCCTGGCTTCATCGCCATGGTGTCGGCCATCGTCGTCGTCGGGGTCGAGTCGTACCTGACGGCTCGTGGTGCCGGGCACTCGCACAGCCACGCCCACGGCATCTGGGACGAGGACGACAGTGATAAGAGCACGACGCAGATCCCCCTCCAGGAGACGACGGGATTCTCGCGACGACGTAGGACTGAAGAGCACCGCCCGACCCACCTCTCCCTCCAAGACGCCGAGGCAACCGAGGGTCTGGTGGCCGGCGTGTCGCCGCTCCCTGAATCTACCCCCACAACGGGGAGGAAGGCCGCCAAGGAGGCAGAGGAGAATGACGATTCGGAAGACGATGACTCGGATCTCGACTTTGACACGTCTGAGCTGCACCGACCGGTGGCGGGAGAGGACGGGGATGACAGGCCGTTGAGCGCCGGCGCGGTACCCGGCACGCCCGGCACGCCCGGCACGCCCGGCATCGTGACCCCGGAGGAGCACAAAAAGCAGGTGCTGCAGTGTATCCTGCTCGAGGCGGGCATCCTCTTCCACAGCATATTTATTGGAATGGCAGTGTCGGTGGCCACCGGCCCGGCCTTTGTCGTCTTCCTCGTCGCCATCAGCTTCCACCAATCCTTCGAGGGGCTGGCGCTGGGAAGCCGCATCGCCGCCATCCAGTTCCCCAAGTCATCGCTGCGCCCGTGGCTCATGGTGCTCGCCTACGGCACCACCACGCCCATCGGCCAGGCCATCGGACTCATCGTCCACGGGCTGTATGACCCCCAGAGCATGGGCGGGCTCCTGGTGGTCGGCTTCATGAACGCCGTGTCGTCTGGCCTGCTACTCTACGCCGGACTCGTCCAGCTGCTTGCCCAGGACTTTCTCTCGGACAGCAGCTACAAGACGCTCAAGGGTCGGAAGAGGTCACGGGCCTTTGTGGCCGTGGCCGGCGGCGCCTTTCTCATGGCCCTCGTGGGTGCATTTGCCTGAGCAACCCTCCCCCCCCGACCTCCCTCCTCCTGGTGAATGGGCTTGCATGCTCTGGACTAGGCACGTGCGGCATCTTTATCATGTGCCATTACCTATACTGTTCTGTATATCTTTTTGTTTTACACTCACCCGCCGGCCCGCCGGCCCTTCCTGTTAGACAATCCTTGTCACCATGTATTAGTTACCCAACGCAAAAGCATTAATGGAGAGAGAAATAAAATGTTACGAATTTATGCGCCTCGTGGCGGGTGAAACGATGCGCACACACTGATGCGCGGCTGCCATCTGGGACGACTCACACTCACATGTTCAGGCGGGTCGGGTGTGTGCTCTGCACGGCCACGGGCGACTCTGAGTTACTGTCTCTACGAAGCGCTTCTTTACAGTGACGACCTGATTGGGAGTGTTGTTATTTGAGAGATGGAGGGTGACATACATTAGGGAATTGGCATGCCATATGGCGTTGTTTCTTGAACCGGGGATGTATAAAGTGAACGCTCATCTTCGCGTATATCCTTGCCGTCTGTCCCTCGTTCTCCGAGGAAAACTATCGCGGTGGAGAGAGGCGGCAGCGGCGCGTCTTCTGAAGAGGAACCGAGAAACACGCTTCGGTGACGGAGTGAAGACAGCGAGCGTCACAGGCGCTCTCAGATCACGGCATCATAGCAGGAGTGGTCTGTTCAGCAGACACGTAAGAAGGCCAGTCGTCGATCCCGAGCAACAATGGGGAACTTGTTCAGCAAGTCCAAAAAGAGCCGCTCAAAGTCCAAGCCGTCCAAGTCCAAGTCCAAGTCCAAGCCGTCCAAGTCGGGGTCGCACTCCTCCGGCAAGCACAAGAGGAGATACGGCCCGAGAACTCGCTACTTCTTCATGGGTAGGTACATGGGGGGGGGAGGCGGGGAACGAGGGGGGATGGAAAGCTCAGCTGTCCCTGCTACATGGCGAGAAAAAGATGATAATCAAGTGAAACCCAGCCCAGTCCTCGAGTCGAAGAAGACGAAGAAGAGGCTAAAGCACGAGAGAGGAAGGTCGCGAGGAACAGATGATGACGGGCCAAGGTCGGAGTGCCGAAGAGCAAAGAGGGCCCGGAGAGCAGAGGATGAGCGAAGAGCAGAGGAGGAGCGAAGAGCAGAGACGATCCGGGGAGCAGAGGAGGACCACCGAGCAGAAGAGATGCGGAGAGTACAGGAGACCCAGGAGGCCTGGAGAGTGCAGCTGGCCTGGACAGCAGAGAAGGAGCGAGGAGCGGAGAGGAAGCAGAGAAGTTCCGGAAGAGGAAAGCGAGACGAGCAAGGTAGACTCTCCAGAGAAGACGGGGGAAACGGGGAGGAAGGGAAAGATGGAGGAGCCGAAAGAGGTCTGGTGGAAGTGACCGATGGGCTAGATGAGCTTGCCCTCGTCGAGGTCTCGGGAGCGGCTGATTGACCTTTTTGCTGGATGATTTAAGAGCTTTTTATATTTTTGGTGGGGGGGATGGAAGAGGAGGAGAGAAAGATGGTGATATCATGGCTGAGCTGTATTTAGAACACAGACAGAAAGTGGTGAGCACCAAAGGTGGCATATAACGTATCTACGGTATCTGATGAGGATAAGATTCCCACTCCTGGCTTTCTGCTTCTCTCGTCTGTCATTCAGAGCTTTCGACGAATAGGGCGCGCTTTGGCGGACATGTCGCCTTCCCCCACCCCTTGCGGAGCAACACTGAATCAGATACCGACTGTCAAGACGTACGACGCGTTCTGCGTATATCTTGACGATGCTCCCCAGAGATGCCGGACGTGTCTCCTTTCTTCTTGTTTCCTGATCTGCTGATCTGCATATCTACACTATGGGTTGCGTATCGAGCAGAGTTGGGCGTCATCGTCAAGACGAGCGCGATAATCACAGGTTGTCCCCCCCCCCCCCCCCCCTCCCACCATAGTAATGGTTCTTTTTTTTTTCTTCTTCTTCATCTTCTTTTTCTTTTTATTATTATTATTATTATTAAGAAGAAGAAGAAGAAGATCGAATCTCTTTTTTTACGTGTACCCTGAACGAAAAACGACTGCTTATAATACAGAAGACCAGCTAGGCCCCGTCGTCCGCGACGAGACGATCTCCAGGAGAAAGAGGAGCAGTCAGTCCCGCAGCCCGGCCACGACGCCATCACGAGCCGGCCAGGTCGTCGTCACCGCAAGGTGAGGATCGCCGATGTCCCCGAGTATGGCGAAGGAGAAGAAGAGGAGGAGGGCGGGAGGCAAGACCAGCTATCCTCCCTCCAGAGGACAGAGACCCGACAGCGAGATATCCAGAGGGTCGGGACACCCCATGTCTCTGAGCAGGACCTGGTCCAGAACGTGGGTGGCGGCGTCTTGGAATCCAAGAGCGATGCCGCGTCCGAGTGTGCCAGCGCGGACGCCAAGTTCTTCGATGCGAGGGAACGTCAGTCCAAGGAAACGGGGCTCTGATGGGGGGGGGGGTAATCAACGGCCCATGCGGCCATGCTCTCTGTGGCATACCATCTACACGTACGAGAAGATACCGATAATAACATGACTACTAGTAATGCTCTCCATCTACATGGCATGACACGTTTTGCAAGGCTGGACTAGCATGTACTAGTCAGATGGGATCACTGCACCTTTTCACCTTTTCGGATCAAGGTTATCGCCCGTACGAGGAGAAGATTGATGAGATGCCCATCGTTTCTTGTGAATAGATCGTAAGACAGAAAAGAAGGATTAGGGAAAAACTTGCTCAAATTGACGCTATACCGGGGNGGGAGGGGGGTTTCCCTTGGCAAGATGAGGTGGGCAAAAATAAGCAGTCAAGCACTTATACGTCATATGGGGTCAGAGCAGGACGTCTGTCTGTCTTATTTTGACAAACACCCCGTTGGTCTTACGGGGATATCCGGAGACGGAGAGAGGAACAATATCCTGATACGGTTGATTATACGATCATTACTTCATCGTCAGGAGAGAGGAGAGAAAAGTAAGGACGGTAATCGTATCGTACTCATGCATGTCTACGCTGGTCAATCTATCGATGGGGTTTTCTTGCTCAACTGGTCAGGAGCGTCCTGCGGAAAGAGCGTATATATCATGCCTCCTGCCTTTTCTTTTTTTCCCTCTCTCCCTTCTCTTCTGCCTCGCACATTGCAATAGGGTGAAGGACATTTCCTCTTCTCCCTTCCTCGTACATGTGAACTTCTCCCTCCATCCGTCTCTATATATCCCTTCCCTTGTCTACTACCTCTGCATCCCTCCCATCTTCCTGACTTCGTTTTTTCCCCCCCCAGCGCGGGGGATTCGCCTATACATATTACTCTCATCACACAATGGACCACAGCACCATGGACCACGGCGACACGGACAGCTGCAAAATCTCCATGCTGCTCAACTACAACACCGTCGGGGCCTGTTTCGTCAGCAGCAGGTGGAAGATAACATCGGCTGGCATGTTTGCCGGGTCGTGCATCGGCATCGTCCTCCTCGCCATGCTGGTCGAGCTCCTCCGCCGCGGTGTCGGGGAGTATGACCGCTTCCTGATCAAGCAGCACGTCGCCAAGCACGCCGCCGCCGCCGCCAGGTCCGAGACCAGGAGCGTGCCCGGAGATGGTACGGCGTCCAGGGCCGGCAAGGAGGCCGTCCCCATCCCGTCGTTCCGCCCCAACCTCTGGCAGCAGGGCGTCCGAGCTCTTCTCCATACGGCGCAGTTCACCGTTGCCTACTTCATCATGCTCCTCGGTATGCTGCCCTCCCCCTTGCCATGTACGGAGCGCGGTGAAGCTGACGGTCTTGTGTGGACAGCCATGTACTACAACGTCTACGTCCTTGTCAGCATCTTCCTCGGTATCCTCGTCGGCTCCTACATCTTCCAGTACGAAAGCGTCGATGTCTCGTATGTACTTACCCGTCCCCGAGGGATCGGCTAGACGGGCCTTCGTGCTGACCGTTTCCCTCAGATCGGACCCCAGAAAGCAAGGCGGAGAGGCAACTGTCTGCTGCGGATGAGGTTGGATTCGATCAAGAGCAGTACGGTAGCGGACTGAATAGGCGTGCTATAGACGCGACGGGCCCCTGAACGCACATATCCCCTCGGAGCAGGGAGTGGTGGCTGTGGGTGTGTGTATGTGTGTATCCGAGCACTGCCATTCAGTCTCCCTCATTCGATAGACGCTATACAAGATGACTCAGCCTTCTTCACACGATGACCATGATACAGTCTATATGATGAGGGTCGGATGGCCCAGCACACGCAGGCACTTGGCGACGTCCCACGAATCGTCGAGCTGATCTCTCCTGCGCCAGACCTCGTCCAGTATAGCGACGACGTCCTTCATGGAACCGAAGCCGTGAAGAGGGCCGAGGCCCGAGATAGTCCCACGGTAGACCGTCTCGTCCTCGCGGGGCGCCAGGCAGCCGGCGATGCAGATGGGTAAGGCGACGCCGCGCACGCACGGGCCGTAGGGAGTCGCACGTGCGGCATCGGTGACGGCCGAGACGCAGCGCTTAATATCCGGGTGGTCGGGCTTCCACCCCTGGATGATGGTGTGGAGGTAGGCGAGTATGGCGAGCAGCCAGATCCTGGAGAAGGCTACGCGGGCAGGATCGTCGTGGGAGCCTCTGTCGGCGCTGATTCCGAGGTGGAAGAGGAGGTCTGCGACGCCGTACGGAGACACGGCGGAGGCCGGCGGGCCGGCGCGGCTCTCCAGGTCGTCGAGCGCGGAGAGTCGGCAGAGCAGGATGTCGAGGAGGGGGGAGGCCCTGGAGGCCAGCTCGGCGGCGGTCGGGGTCCTCCCGGCGCGCAGCTGCTCCTTCTTCCAGGTGTCGAGGGACGACGCGGCGCCGACGACGCGCAGGGTGGCGTTATCCAGGCCGACGAAGTCGTCGAGGGCGAGGGGCCCGGCCCTCGAGGCCATGAGGCGGTCCTCCGGGGAGACGAGGTCGGGGGCGACGGCGTCGAGGTAGGACGTCAGGCGAGGATGGCGGTCGAGCGCGATGCTGGACAGGACGTCCATCTTGACGAGGTTGGCGGTGAAGAAGCGCAGGGCGGCCTGGTCGGAGCTCCAGGGCCGCCGGGCGCCCATGGACGGCGGGGGCCAGCTCCGGCCGCGCAGGCCCTGGAGGGTGTCGGACCAGCGGGACGGGTCGGGGATGATCTGGGTGAACAGGGCCATGGCGGCGTCGAGGTGGACCCTCCAGCTGTCGCTGCTGTTGATGGCGACCTCGAAGACGACCATGTTGACGATGCTCTGCATGGCCGCCAGCTTCTCCGGCACGTCCGGACCCCCCGGCCGGCTGTTGATGCGGGAGATCTCGCGGTGCAGCTCGCGCAGGCCCATCTCCAGCTGGTCCTGCAGGCGCCGGCCCATCTCCCGGTTGCACCGGGACAGGGGCATCTTGCCGCCCGACATGGTGGTGCCGAAGAAGTACGAGGCCAGCGAGATGGCCGTGTGGTAGACGGTCCTGTTCCTGTGGAGCATGTCGAGGACCCAGCCGCGGCCGCCGCTCAGGACGGGAGGCCGGTAGAAGGGGAACAGGTAGGGGAAGATGTAGTCTAGGTAGATCATGATGAAGTGCACGCTCATCTCGTCGGATTCGTGGCCACTGTAGCTGTAGTTGTTGTTGTTGTAGTTGTTGTTGTTGTCGTTGCCGTCACCGCCGTTGCTGCCGTCGGGAGGGGTGGTGGCCGATGAGGACGACCACCCGTTGGAGTGGGAGTGGGAGTTATCGCACTCGTCTCTGTCGCTGGTCAGGAACTCGACGATGCCGAACTCCCTATCTCCCCTGTTCACCTCCCCTTCTCTCGGCAGCACCTCGTAGACTGGACCGGTGGTGCTGATGCTGCTGCTGTTGCTGTTGCTGTTGCTGTTGTTGTTGTTGTTGTTGTTGTTGTTGTTGTTGTTGTTGTTGTTGTCGAGCCCGTTGAGCCCGTTGACGGCGCTGCCTCCTTGCCCTCCAGCTCCGAGATGCACGCTCCGCGTACCTGTCTCGAGGACTTCCATGTACTGCCGGTGCCGTCGGTGGCTGGCCTGCCGCTTGACCTGGGCCTTGATGCGATCGGCCATGTCCTTCTGGCGCGGTCCGCCGTCCATCCACGGCGGCTTCTCGTCCCCGAACCAGCATGCTATCTCTAGGCTGGAGCAGGTGTCGCACTCCGGGCGTTTCTCGTCGCATTTCTTACGCCGGAGACGGCATGTCCAGCAGCCGGCGTTGGAGCGGGTCCGGGCAGAGACGAGGTTGCGCAGCATTCTCTCTCTCTCTCTCTCTCCTTCTCTCTCTCTCTCTTTCTCTGTCTCTCTCTGTCTCTCTCTGTCTCGCTCAAGACTCAAAAGTTTCAACTTGAGATGCAGGTTCTTTTCTTTATAAAAAGAAAAAAAAAAAGAAGAGAAAAAATTGATGGGCCGTGTTTGTTGCTAGCTCGGAGGGGTCGGGCTGCCTTTCTCGGTCTTGGATGTACTCGATGGGATGAATGGGTTTTTTTTGTCTCTTTAATCTACGACTTGATGGTGATGAGGAAGAGGGGGGAAATATGACGAGATCACGACGGTGAAATATCTTTCTTCTTTTTTTTTAAAAGGACACACATATGCAATGTATGCAGGTAAGATTGTCCGTCTTATTATTACCTCGTACCCTTTTGAAAGAATATTATTACCACCAAGGAACATGACCACCTGCATATGACGACGGTACCCTACACCAAACCAACACCTGGATCTGGTCGGCAAACTTTTTTTTTTTTTGGTGTGTGTGCCGAGATGAGGCAGAAAGTCATTTGGAAGTGAACTGTTAGGTGGAGATGAGAGTCTTGAAGATAGCAAGCTTTTTTTTTTTTTTGGCTGCTTTGATTGCTTTTCTGGTTGTGAGCTCTATAATACTAAATCTATGATATTACTCGACACATACACACATACAAACTGTAGATAACACAATACCCGTTAAGAGGACAATGACATATTGACCTTCACCTAGAACCAAGAAACACAGTGACACTGATTATTATATCCTCCCCAACTGATCCCAATGACAAGAGAAAGAAGCAAAAGAAAACACAAATGACGAGAAAAAAAGAAAAGAAACCCCCCCCACCCCCCCAGAACGATTACGTTTCCAAACTTACATCTTTCGAGTAGGAGACTTGACAACAGTCTGCCTCCTATCCAGCAGTCCGAGGTCCCACCAGCCCTCGATGCGAGACAGGATGGTCCTCCGCTTCGAAAGAGCCCTGGCGAGGAACGGGCTGAGCGGACTCTTGGGACGAGACGAGGTGGTAGGCGAATCCTGGGGGATAGGAGGCGGAGGCGGAACGATGAGCCGAAGCGGTCTCTCGTCGAGAGGTTTCGGGGGAGCAGGACCAGTGTTGTTGTTGTTGTTGTTGTTGTTGTTCTTGCCGTTGACGTTCTTGCCACCATCAATGCTGCGGGAGGGGAGAGTTTCCAGAGTGCCGGATGGTGGCATCGTCTGAGCCGTGGGGGACAGGGTCCTCAGAACAGGAGGAGGGGGTGAATAGGATCGCGGCACGGACACGGGCGCCGGCTCATTCAAGCTGATGCCGTCGTCACCGTCAGATGACTGCTTCTGGCTGTTGACGGTCCACACGCCGTCGACGAACGCGAGCGGTGCCTTCTTGCGCAGTATCGCCCTCGGAGGAAGCCGACGACGTTCAGGAGCCGGAATACCGTCACCGCGGATGGCCGGTGCCGGTGTCGATGCCGTCCTCGTCGTCGTCGCCTGCTGCCGCCCCCCACGGCCACACCTTCACTCGACATCTTTGGGAGCGCCGGCATCCTCGGCGCGGGACTTGATGCGACGCCACAGGCAGAGGGAGACGATGGTGGAGAAGGCGAAGAGGATGCACAGGGCGATGCTGAGACCCCAGAGGGCCTTGACCTCGTAGCAGGCCGCCTGGTCCGGGTCGACCCAGGAGAAGACGTCTGTGCCGCCGTCCTTGGCGTTGTTCTTGACGTTGCTGTAGAGCGAGCTGATAAAGTTGGCCGTGTTGCCGCCCTTGCCGGGCAGGTCGTGGCACTTGAGGTAGCTGACCGGCTTGCCGACCAGGACGGCCACGACGATGACCATGACGAGGACGGCGGCGTCGGCGACCGTGGCCACGAGCATGGGGAGCATCCGGTCCCAGTAGAGGATGTAGTTGATGCAGATGTAGATGGTAGCAAGGCAGGCCTTTGGCAGAGGATCCCCCAGTCGTCATGTCAGCAAGCCTTGACTCTGCATCCCGGTCTTGCGCGTGGGATGTGGAGGGGAGGAGATGGAGAATCGAGGCAGCAGCCGGGAGAAGCAGCCGGGAGAGGCAGGGAGAGGCAGGGAGAGGCAGGGAGAGGCAGGGAGAGGCAGGGAGAGGCAGGGAGGGGCAGGGAGAGGCAGAGGGAGGCAGGAGAGGCAGAGGGAGGCAGGAGAGTACTTACCACTACAAGAGTCCCGACAAGAGCAGAGGGAGCAGCGTAGCTGGCATCGACGACCTCGTCGACAAAGTTGGCGGACAGACCGATGATGGTGATGAGAGAGGCGGCCTGCATGGCGCGCATGGCCGTGAAGGTGATGCCCAAGGCGCCGAGGGCAGGGGCGGCGGTCATCTTGGCGAGGGAGACGGGGGTGATTATGCTGAGCCGCGGACGGGAGCTGTTGACGGTCTTGAGAGGGAAGTGTCTGGAGTAGAAGGGGAGTGTTGCCTTTGAGGAGCGAATCTTGACGGTCTCGGTGGGGGAGTTGGACTACCTCGCTCTTTCGAGAGCAAGGCAAGCTGATGGAGARMGAGAGAGAGAGAGAGRGAGAGAGAGAGRGAGAGRGAGAGAGAGAGGGAGAGAGGGAGAGAGAGAGAGATGGAATGAGGGAGAGGGATATTTAATAGGTGGGAAAGATGGCACAGCCGTCAGTCAACAAGAAGAACAGGAATAGAAGAAGGGGAAGAGACAAAGAAAGAATATTCAACGAAATCGGTTTTCTATAAGAGAAAAGAAGGAGAAGAAGTGATTGACAAGGAGTCGACGCTGTTGACAGAGCAGAAACAGAAGAGGAGAGAAACGCTGAAGCTCAGACCCAGACAGGACAAAGGAGACAAGGAAAGAAGAAAAGAAAGAGAGAGGGAAAGGGTTAGGAAGGGGTGAGGGAAGCTCAAGGTTCTCTGATGCTGTAGATTGGATTGAGCAAGAAGAAGGGAGCAGAGAGACGAGGGAGTTTATATCGTCTTATAATGGACGGCAATGGAAGGCTGATACTGCTGCTACTCACCATCACTCTACTGCTCACCACTACCTCACTACCACTCTGGTACTTTCCCGCTACTCTGCTACTTACATGGTAGTATGGGAACAGTCAGAGATCACGATGGATGCTTCCAAATACAGCAACACGTTTAGACGCCCACATAGACGCGTGTGTTTCAGGACGAAGAGGAAGTTTATCCTTCCATCATCCCCTCTTGATCTATCCCTCTCTCGGTCAGTCATATCATGACTAGAAGAAAAAAACAAAACAAAACAAAAACAAAAAAACAAAAAAAAAACAATTTTTTTTTAATGCAAGTCTCATGTTACCGATCATGCCAAAGACCGGACCCCCGGCGGCACAGCCGTGTGGTTAGCCGCCGACTCGGCCAATCATGTCTCGATACAACGGCCGAACATCTTCGGGATCCACAGAACCGCGAAACCTCCTCCCTCCTACATTTGAAGTCTTCAAACCGGCTCTCCGGGGGCATTGAGCCGGTTACTAACCGCCGGAGAAGCTCGTCGTACAATAGACGCGAAATACGCATCGATTGGCTCGCATCCGTCGTCTTCTCAGGGACAGAACGAAACAGAACAAAAAGTCACTTGCTTTGTCCTGGCCTGTGGCCTGTTCAGAGGGTCTAGACCGCGTGAGTAGTATCATCTGGTAATACTCCATACCGATTTATGCATATTCCGATTCATTGTTCGTCCCTTGTTTGTGTGCATTGTGCATGCATGCATACTACTATCACTACTATCTGCACTATTACTGCTATCTGTACTATTGCTACTATCTGTACTATTACTACTATCTGTACTATTACTACTACTATCTGTACTATTACTACGATTACTACGATTACTACTACTCCTCCTCCTCCTCCTCCTACTGCTGCTCTGTAGTAATGATTCTAGGACAGAGCTGAGCCTCGTGCGTCCCCGTAGACGTAGAATTCGACGAGAGAAGAAAGGAGAAAGAAAACTTCCTTGTTAAACCGTGTTTTATGCGCCATACGCCATATCTAAGAAAAAACAAGAATAGAGTCAATAAAAAGAAAGAAGGAAAGACAAACAAACAGACAGACAAATCTCATCAAAACGTGCTTCCAATCTTCTCTCTCTCCATTCTTACACTCCCTTCCCTCACCGTGTCCAACGGCGGCCTACTGTGTTACAGAACTAGCCCCAGCCACCAGCCACCAGCCACCATCCGCCGTCATGCGAGAAAGATGCTTCCTATTTTCCAGACGTCGGCCCCCCCCCCCTTTTTGTTTTTTTATTTGTTTCTGTTCTGTTCTGTTCTGTCTGGGCTTCCTAGCAGGATTGTACCTGCATCTAACCGAGAAGGTCGTCGGACGCAGACCCGCCCTGAGGAGCAGCAGGAGCAGGACGGGGACCTGCACTGCCCGTCGGCTGGGAGGCCGGGGCCCCCCAGATGCCGGCGCTGCTCTTTTCCTTGGCCAGCTGGCCCAATGCGGGGGCGTTGGTGGGCGTGCTGGTCTTCTTGATGCCGGCGCTGGCCTTGCCCCACAGGGCGCCAAAGGCGTCACCGCCACCAGCAGCAGCCGAGCTGGAGCCGCCCGCGGCCGCCTTCGCGCTGGGAGCCGAGGTCGCCGACAGGGGGCTGCCGAGGCCGCCCGCGGCCGCAGAAGCAGCGGTGCCGCCCGTGGACTGCGCCGCCATGCCGCCACCGCCAAAGTAGTTGGGACCGGTCGGCTGGAAGCCCATGGGCTGAGCTGCCGGGGCCCCGGCCGCGGGGGCGGCAAAGGCGGAGTAGTTGGCTCCCGGGGTCGGCGTGGGCGAGATGGACGACATGCTGACCATCTGGCTGATGTTGGCCTGCTGCGGTGCCGACTGAGGCTGCGGGGCGGCGAACCGGGCCGTCGAGGCAGCCGACGAGGTGACGGCGGGGGCAGCGGCGGGCGCGGCCGACTGGAAATCGTCAAACTCGTCGTCGTCGTTGCCGGCAGCGGCGGGGGCGGACGAGCCGCCGGCCAGGTCGGCGAGACCGGAAGACCCGCCGCCGCCGCCGCCGGACGCGGCCAGGGCGGGCGTCGACGTCTGGGCCGGCTCGTCAAACGAGAAGAGGTCGACCTCGGGCTCCTTCTCCTTCTTCTTGGCCGGCTGAGCGGGAGCGGCGGAGGCAGCGGCGGGTGCCCTCCTCGACGGCCTCTCGCCAGCGCGCCTGGACGACCTGGCGCGGCCGGCACCGCCGCCATCGTCGTACTCGTCGTACTCCTCGAACCTGTCGGACCTGCTGCCCCCGCTGCGGAAGTCGTTGGGCTCCTGGCCGCCGAAGCCGCCACCGTCGCCGTACACGCCACCCGAGTAGCCGCCAAAGCTGGCCGAGGGACCCCCGGCCGACTCGCTGCCGAAGCCTCCGTAGCGACCGCCGCCGCTGGAGAAGCTGCCTCCGCTGCCAAACGTGCCGCCCTCGACGCCGGTGTACTTGTTCTTGGTGGCGCGGGCCTTCTTGCGCTCGGTCCGGATGCGGTCGACGTCGCTCAGGAGCTCGGCCAGCTCCTTGGCGCGGTTCCGCACGTTGACGCCCTGGTCCTTGCCGTTCTGGTCAATGTACTGGAACTGACGGAGCATCTTGAGCAGCGTCAGGTGGCCGCGGGCGTCGTCGATGACACGCTCGGACCCGTGCTTGACCAGGAACTCGAGCAGCTGGAGGGCCTTGTAGATCTGGCGCCACTCCTCGGCCGCCTTCTCGGTGAATCGGCGGTAGATCATGGGCATGATCTCGTTGAGGGTTTGGCTGTTTCGGTTACAGAGGCCGTGTCAGCAGACAAGCCATGCAGCGTGGAGAGCAGCCCCGTTCTGCTCTTTCCCCCTCCTGTCCTTGCTTCTCGGAAGGGATCGACATACTAGTTGAAGGTGCCGTTGGCAATCTCCTGCATGAGCGTCGTGGATGAACCCCACGGCTCATTGTTGGTAGCCTCTCGCACCTGTCGGGCACCCAGACGTTAGTCCCAACCGTCCACCTCGGGCTCGACAGCCCGCGCTGGTTGTCGGGAAGCAATGTTTCGGAACACACCTTGGACTCCATCTCTGTGTAGTTCATGACGGCTGCGACCGGAATTAGCGACGGGCGAGGCATCACGGCGGGTTGGGGTCGGATGTACCATTCTGGGCCTTGCGGAACCCGGCCTTGATGTCATACAAGGTCAGGTTCGCCACGGTACTCTTGATGTCGTTTATATCCATGGCGGGCGGAGGGGGGGAAGCCGGTGATGGAATGTTCGGTCGGAGTGGCCGATTATGATGATGATGACGAGGAGGGAGGACGGTCGATTCCGGGGCCCAAGGCGTTGAGCGATGTTGCGGCAGGCAGAGTCTGGGGAAATAAAACGACGACGGTGCGCGTTGTTAGTGCCAGCGAGGCTTCCCAATGCGCCGGCCGTTCAGGGGATGGAGTCACGTGATGTAGCCGTCGGCACACGTACGGGGGACTCGTATGCGTAGATGGATGGTAATATTATCACTGCAGCTAGACCGAGGAGATCTGTAGTATTGGGGGAGGCCTTGGTACGATATCTCCACCCGAGACCACCGGAGAGTAGCAGTATCATCATCCAAGAATGACTTGTAGATACGCTACTCGCGTGTGTCTTTTGGCAGCCATCGATACTGAGAGTAGTCGTGGTACCACCATCATAGTAGGATTGGTGGCAATATCACCATCGCTTTCGGTTTGGTATGAGCAGTAATGATGGAATAATGGAATGGCGGAGTTGTGCTCCAGCTGCATCTGTGATCGGCACCGACGTATCTTTTATCGCCTCCCATCTACGTGATCGCGGCTGGTCTGTCTCAATTTGCAGCTTAGCATCAAGAGTAGGAATTTGGGAAGATCATTTCAGACATTTCCTGCCCGGCTTGCTTGTACTCGGCTCGCTCGCAAGAAGTCGGACTCTGTACATCGGTAATCTGTACGCTCCGGAGCATTTCCAATTATATTATGTGGGACCTGAGACTTCAGGCCAACGCATCAATTTAGAAGCTCCCGACTTTTTTCCTTTTTTTTTTTCTCAGCCAGGAGAACTGGACAATTTCTGATTTATTGCCTTAGTCTCCCAGTTTCTATCCTGTATCTCTCCGTCAGTGTCTGTATAGCTGCCTCTTTTCTCCCTCTCTCTTTTCTCTTCATTTCCTCTTGTACTCTTTGTATTCGATATCTTCGTCATATTACTTCAGGTACGTCAGACTCTCTCTGTTGCTTCTTCTTCCAGCCCTCCTTTTCCCCATCGACCCACCCCCAATTGGTGAGAGCGAGGGAGAGAGCTCAGGAGGCTGGTCGGCGGTGGACGATGCGAGAAAACCATGCCGGGCTGGACCTCTGCTCCCATCCAACTCATCCATTCCTCTCCCATCAGACTCCAAGCAGACTTGGTTGCTGCTACATCCGGCGGCGCAGAACAGGACGTCTCCCTCTGACCTCTGGCGTCTCCTGCATGCCATGCCGGGTGTGTTTGGGGCCCAAAACGGGTCAGGGGAGTAAGGACAGATGTGTGAGGCCGGTAATACATTGGCCCCCGTTGTTGCTCCTCCCTCCCTCTCCACCTGTCCAGTTGCAGCCAGCAACGGTCGGCCGTAGTGCGGCACTGTAACCCTGTTCGTCGGCATGTGTGGTAGTGGTAGTAGGCTGGCGAGGCACACGGCTGCTGGCAGTGAGCGAGCGGTGCTGCGATCCGATGCTGCTGCGGGCATGTTTTGCTTTGTCCGCCCCACGAGCTGTTCAAGCTCAACACGCATCGTCGCAATCACCACTCTGCCTTCCACCCCCTCACACGCCCTCGCACGTACCTTCCTCCCTTCTGCCCATCGTGTCTCCGAGCTGTGCTTTTCGGGGAAGCGCCTGCCTGCCCTGGACCCGGTCGCTCCTTGCTGAGAGTTCCCTGACGACGGCTCTTACCAAGCATCCGAAGCTCTTCCGAGCTCAGCTCTAGGCGCTTCCATACGTAATGCCCACGCCCCTCTCGGGCCCACTCCATCTCGCCCCTCTCGTCTCTCCGATTCGCTCTTCCGAGCTTGCTTCCACTAACAATTTTGCCCCTCACCAGGGCCTTCAAAGCTTCCGTAACCATGAGGCCAACACTCTTCAAGCCCCTCCTACCCCGCCAAACCTTTTGCTCTCCCGTTTCCAGATCTTTCACCTTTGGTCAACTCGCATCATCCGCCAAATCTTTCCAGAATACTCGTTCATTCTCTGCAACAGCAAACAAAATGGGTGTTACCGCGTAAGCTGTCCTCGCCGAGACTTCTCATCCTTTCCTACCTCTCCCCTCTCCCCTCTGACCTCGTGGCGCCATCTGATCTCATCCGCTAACGCCAATTCTCCTCAAACAGTTTCTTCGACATCAAGTGGGAGGGTCCCGTCTTTGAGAACGGCCGCCCTACCAGCACCGTCAAGGGTAAGTCCAACTCCGTCCCTCGTATACCCGGGGAGCATCTGCTCCCATCCGTCTACCATTCCTGCCCATCAATGGCTGCAGATTGGTTCCGACATCACGCCATCTCCGAGAGGGGTCTGCCTGGGAAGCTTCCTCGTCCGAGAGCTGCACTCGAGGGCGACGACCCCTCCTTGCCTGTCCACCCCTCTTCCCGTGCCCCGCGTCTCGTCAAAACGCGCATCATGCTGACATTTCACCCCCGCCACATGCAGAGCAGACGGGCCGTATCAACTTCAACCTCTACGACGACGTCGTCCCCAAGACTGTTGAGAACTTCCGCGCTCTCTGCACTGGCGAGAAGGGCTTCGGCTACGAGGGATCTTCTTTCCACCGCATCATCCCCAACTTCATGCTCCAGGGTGGTGACTTCACCCGTGGTAACGTACGTCTCGACTTGACCCTGACCACTCTTCTCCACGTCAGATGAACTAGTTGCTGACCATCTCTCTGCAGGGCACTGGTGGCAAGTCCATCTACGGCGAGAAGTTCGCCGACGAGAACTTCGTCAAGAAGCACACCAAGCCCGGCCTGCTCTCCATGGCTAACGCTGGCCCCAACACGTAAGTTTGAATCTACCGGTGCACCAACCACCTGCTGGCCCATGCGACGCTCTCTGACTCCAACATTCCTGCACAGCAACGGTTCGCAGTTCTTCGTCACCACTGTCGTCACCAGCTGGCTCGATGGCCGCCACGTCGTCTTCGGCGAGGTTGCCGACGCCGAGTCCCTGAACGTTGTCAAGGCTCTCGAGGCCACTGGCTCCGGCAGCGGTGCCATCCAGTACAAGACCCGCCCTACCATCATCAAGGCTGGTGCTCAGTAAAGCCTTACCGCTTTCTGAGAAATGCCGCGTGCCCTTGTACCATGAATTTTTAAAATTTCGGCGGATGGAAAGCGTGGAATAGGTAGACCGCGAGATCCCACCGGATCTGCGCACAGCCGTATAAGCACAGCTACAGAAGCTACAACCAGCTCTTTTTGTAACTAAAATTACGACGTGGTCGAGGGTCTTAGTAGGGTTGCTATGTAGAGTGTCAACTCGAAAAATTCTCTTCCTGTCAATTTCTGAATCACTTGCAGGCGTATAACCGGTAAATGACTCTCACTGAGAGATGGATGGGTGAACGTGCCGAACAGCTTGTTTGGCATTGGCATGAAAGCGAACAAGTAATGATATGTACTCCGTACTAGTACTAATAGCATCATATATACCCGCCCGTCCCATGAGGCGTCCCCCCCCCTCCACGCGACGTTCGACCTTGTCACCCTCTCCTGCTAGTCCGTCCCTGCGCTATGATGCGATGCTACCCCTATGAGAAAAAAGTATAGAAGGAAAAGTAGACCATAAAACAAAAACTCCGACCCATGCAACTCAATAGGAAAGTTGTTCACTTGTCGTCTTGTCTGATCAAGATGTATCTTTCAACTCTGAGAGACGAGGAAACAATGGAAAGAGGTGAAACAAGAGAAGAAGAAGAAAGTAAAAGTAAGAGGACATGCGGGGAAAGATGGAAAGAAGAGGGAAGAAGAAAGGAAAGAGGAGGTTTAATGGAGTGAATCAGTCGATCCGACCATACCATCTTGTATAGTAGACGCAGTTACTGGGTCCGACGGCGGCGCCCTCCTCGTACAGGTCGAAGACGGGGGTGTCCTGATGGTCGCTGTAGGGGCTGACGTAGGGCTCGGACTTGACGTCCCTCCCGGCGACGGAGGTGTCGTCGCGGCCGGCCCAGCTCTCGGTGGACTGCTTGGCGACGCGTGAGACGCGGAAGCCGATCTTGCCGGCCACCTTGACGGGTTCGACGAGGTTGTCCCAGACCAGGACGTCGACGAGCTTCTTGACGTCCTGCTCCGACAGGATGGTGTTGTTGGTGATGCCGCTGGCGGAGAGGAGGCGGGCAATGTCGCGCACGGTCGGGTACCCCTTGTACCCTGCCGGAAGGGGGAGGAGGACGTCCTTGCGTTGCTGCTGCTGGGTAGCCGTCTTGGCAAGCTTGGAGGCGGGCGCGGCTGGGGTATCGGTGGCCATCATCTCCTTGGCGTCGCGTTTCCTACCGGCAGCGGTACCATTGGCGGAGGTCCCATTCTTTGCGGGAGCGGGAGCGGGAGCGGAAGCGGGAGTGGGAGCGGAAGCTGGGGAGGGAGTATGGTTCCGGGATACGTAGGTGCTCTGCCGCTTGACGTAGTCGAATATGACGCGCTGGAGCTCCTCGATGAAGGCCTCGTCGAGGTTCTGGTCCGTGTACCAGGGTCCTCCGGTGGCGCGGTCGCTGGGCTGTATGGAGGCCTTGATGAACATCTTCTTGTTGGGGTGCTCGACGTTCTTGAAGGGGACGATCAGGCCCTTTGCCTGGAGCTGCTTGATGGCGTTCTTGAGGACCGTGTCGTGCATGTTGAGCCGGCGCTGCAGCGTCTGCGACCAGATTCCGTCGCCGCCCGAGTCGTCAATCAGCGAGTAGACCATTATCTGCTCGTCCGAGGTGCACTGCTTGTACCTGGGAAGGTAAAGAAAAAAAAAGTCAGAACCAGTCATGTTGCTTTTCCCCTCTATCCACAAAAGTGTGTACGATGAGCGTTGCGAGAAAGAAGAAGAAAGAAGAAAAAAAAAGAAGAAGGGAGCGTTGCGAGGATGACAGAGACAAGAAAGCTTACTTGTGCGCTTCCTGGGCATCCCGCCATTTCCAAAAGACATTGCCCGAGGCCTCGCGCATGGTCACAAACAGCTTGTCGTCGCTGAGGGCCTGGACGACGCGCAGCAGCAGACCCTTGTCGCCGTTGGGTATCACGCCCAGGTCCATCAGGTTGTCCTGGGTGAAGAGGTCATTCTCCCTCCCGGACTCGCGCACCTTGTCGTACAGCGCGTCCTTCCAGACGGCCAGCTTGGCGGCCGTAGGGTCATTCTCGTCCTTGGCCGCTGCCGCCACCGCCGCCGCCGCGGCAGCAGCAGCACCCCTGGCCCCCGTTGCCGGTGCCATCGAGCGGTGGGACTGTTGATCCTCCTCCTCTTCTCCTTCTCTGCTCTCCTTTTCTCTTCCCTCTTCCCTCTTCCCTCTTCTTCTCGTCTCAGCTGTCCTTGGGGTTCTGCTTCGAGAATACAGGTGGTCCAACCCCCTCCTTCGCTGGGGTGTCTGGAGCTTTCGAGCGAGGACTTTATATGTATATCCCTTATTCTATTCTTCGGTGGTCGAGAAGTCCGGAAACGTAGGGACTTGGTGGTGGGAGGACGAAGGAGGGGAGGGGAAGAAGAGATGGAATTTCTCTCTTGTGTCGTAATCACTCTCTCGAGGTGAGCATCAGCGTCAGGATGATGCAGATTCAAGTAGTGAGTGATCGTATATTGGGGCCCGAGATGACCGGCTAGCTAGTTGAGAGGGACAAGAGAGAGAAAAAAGGAAGCTGGACAGTCGAAAAAAAAAAAAAAAAAAGTTCATGATGAGCCCCGCATCGATGGGTCACGGTTTACCGACAGCCTTGCAGGGTCAAGCAAATTCTTAGTGGGGCCTGCGCTGGTGGGGGACGAGCTGTTGTTCGGTCGGGGGCGTCTCATTATTGTTACATTGCAACGGGTAATTGACATATGAATAACTCGGTAGTGATACTGCCATTATTACTCCAACTCTATTCATATCCGTGCTTGCTCGTACATCGAGCCACATCACCTCAGACAAGACATGATAGAAGAGGAAATACTTTGGATAATAAACATTCAACTGTATATGCTACCTCGCATCAGAATAAGAGAAACTCATCTTTGCATAAAAGCGTTGCTCCCTGGTCCACCCACTCTACCCACACTCCACCTCCTCCACCTCCAGTGGTTTGATATAGTAGAAAACGCCCGTAAGAAAACGCCCTGAGCCTCCCTTCGGTACAAAGCCGTCGAGTTATGAGATTGGAAAAGCAGAAGGAAATAAAAAAGGATATAATGATACACATGCTGCCCCCCTCCCCGAGGACAAGGGGTGTGTGTATGGTAGTATGACAGGTTTGGGCGAGTGACTCGCACGCCGTAGGTCGCTCAGGTTGACGTCTTCTCTGCCTCACGCTTGCCCTCCTCGGGCTTGGCGGGGCCATCGTCCTTTTCCGTATCAACGTCCATGGCCTCGGGCTCCGACTCCTTGGGCTTCTCCGTGGATTCTTCCTCTGAAGGCTTGGGGGGTGACTTCTCCTTGCCGTCCTCCTTGGGCGCCTCCTCCTCCTCCTCCTCCTCCTCCTTTTCTTTGGCGGCGGCGGCGGCGGCGGCGGCGGCAGTGGAGGTAGAGTCGTCTGGCTTTCCCGTAGTCTTGTCCTCCTCTGCTGCCTTGTACTCAGCGGTGGCAGTAGTCGTAGTGGCGGCGGCTACGGGAGCGGCCTCGGGCTCTCCGTCCTCCTTCTTGATGGCCATGCTGTCTTCGGCCGGCTCGACGTCGGGCATGCCCACATCTTCCTTCTCGGCGGGAGCCTCTCCAGACTTCCCGTCCTTCTTCTCATCGTCCTTCTTCTCTTCCGTCTCCTTCTCGGCCGAACCAAGGTCCTCGATAGTATCGTCCGGGTCCTGCGCGTTCTCCTCTGCGGCGGCGGCGGCGGCGGCGGCGGCCTCGGGTGGGTTGGATCGCGCGCGCTTCTCACTGCCAGTCTCGACGGGCTCCAGGTGCGAGTCGTTGAACTCTCGCTTGTTGCTTCTGTCGCCCCGGCCCGTGACGCCGTTTGTCCTGGCGAGGTCCTCGTCTCCCGCGGGCTCGAACTCCGTGTTGTTCTCGACGTGCTTCTCAAACTGCCGCTCCGACATGCGCACGTCCTTGTTCTCGTCCTCGTCCAGATCATCGAGCTCGGCCTCCTCCTCGTCCGTCATGCCGCCAAACGGCTTCCGGGGCACGTCCTGCATCTGCACCGACGGAGCCGGGCCGGTCTGGCGGAGGTTGTCGATGACGGCCGCCGTGATCTTGTTGAGGTACTCGCGGCTGTTGGAGTTTTCCATGTTGGACGATCGCACGTTGAGTTCGAAATCGGGGGCGTAATACTGCTCTCTGGGTCAGCCCGGTTTCTGGAAATGTTGCGTCTCCGGCAATCTCAGCCTACCTCGTAGTACTCATTGTACGGCAAGGTACGGTCCATTTCCTGGCCGACGAGGACGCCGGTCTCAAAGGCCCAGGTTCGCGCGACATTGCGCATGGTGTAGCCGCCACCGCCGAGGACAAGTGTAGGCAGTCCGAAGCTCTTGACGTAGTTGACGCAGTTGGCGTGTCCGTCCATGCTCAGGTTGAAGCATCCGAGCCTGTCACCAGACAGGCTGTCGCCACCGCACTGCAGGACCACGGCCTCGGGCTGGAAGTACCGCATAACGTTCTCGATGACGGGCTCGAAGACTGACTTGTACGCATCGTCCGTGATGCCGTCGCGGAGGGGGTAGTTGACGGCGTAGTGCTTCCCCTGGCCGATTCCGATGTCGCGCAGTTCTCCCGTGCCGGGGAAGTACTCGCCGTACTTGTGGAAAGAGACCGTCATGACGCGGTCAGTGGTGTAAAAGGCCTCTTCGACACCGTCGCCGTGGTGGACGTCGATGTCGACGTATAGAACGCGCTTCTTGAATCGGAGCAATTCGATGATGCCGAGGACAATATCTGGAAGTGGTCTGTTAACATCTGTGGCCAGAAACACACAGAGAAACCTTTTTTTTCTTTCTTCTCTTCCCCCCCCTCTGAGCGGTGCTTACCATTCACGTAGCAGAAGCCACTGGCTTCCGACTTCTTGGCATGATGGAGTCCTCCGGCCCAGTTGATCGCAATGTCGCACTTTTGCCGGTTCAGGCGAGCGGCACCCTCCATACTGCCGCCGGCGCTGATGCCGCAAAATTCAAAGAGACCATCGAATACGGGGCAATCATCTCCCACGTTGTACTTGCCCTGCTCACGCATGTAGCTGTCCATGTTGTCGGGAGTGACCTTTTGAAGGAAATCGATGTAGTCGTCCGTGTGAAACTGGGTCATTTCGCCTCTGGTGGCTGGCTTTGCTCGCTGTCGTTGAGATCAGGGTCAGCCTCAGCGACTCATCCATCGTCTTGCTCCCGGGACGGGGCGGGGGAAGCTGTGTGCGCGCGCGCGCGCGACGAGACGATGCTACCTACGTAAATCTCCATCTTCTGGTATAGATCGTATTGCATGATCAAGCTATGCGCCAACCTGATACGATGAGGCTTCATCGGGTGACCAGTGACATAGGCGTAGTTACCAATGTCCGAGTCGTAAAAGTAGGCCACCTTCTTGGGCGTCGAGGACCCGTTGAGGACGGACGAGCCCAGCTGGGCCATGGTGCTGTCGCCCATTGTACAGAATGGATTCCAGCAGGTGTAAACAAGGGGTGGTCGGTGATGGTGAGAGAAGAAAGATGAGGATGGGAAGAGTCGAGAGAGAACGTATGTAAGCAAAAGAAAGCTGCCCCAGACCTTTGCGTAGACAGGCTTTCGGGTGTGACGAGAGACAAAGAAAAGTCAAGAAGATGTGGCAGAGGCGTGGCGGGACGAGGCAGCTGGATGGGGGACAGGAAGCCTGCCAGAGAACGGTCGGCTCTCTCTCTTACAGCAAAAGCTTCGGAATAATGTCGCAGCGGCAAGGCTGAGCTTTACAGTCCATACGGGATTGACGGTAGATAGTCTTGTACTCCGTAGCTTATGACTGGATAGCGTCCGACTCCAACCCCACCATACCGGCGAGGCTGGCGCTTGGCGTCTTCCACGGTACGCACACGTGACTTTGATGACTAATCGTACAATTAGAGCTCTGTGCTCGCTCAAGGCTGCAGTACTGTCGTCAGTCCAACACCAAGCTTGTTCGTCATCCCGCCGCCTGCCGTGCAGCTCATATCCACCGCGTTACCACATCGACATTGCTGCTGCGGTAGTCTGCCTCGAACCGCGCATACATACTCCCCGACTCACAGACTAGAGAGCCCGAAAATTTCCCAGCACATACGTACATCATGGATCGCTTCAGGCACTTGCTTGGAGGTGCGGGCATGGGCGGTCTCGGTGGCCCTGCACCTGGTCAGGTAAAGCTGCTTCCTACCCTTCTACGCCACAAGATACCGGGTTGCACACGATACACGACTGTCGAGCAAGGGGATTCATGGCTAACTGAACGGATGTTATCAGGACAACTCCAACCTGATCGATAATTCCGAAACGGTGTACATCTCCTCCCTTGCGCTGCTGAAGATGCTCCGCCACGGCCGCGCTGGTGTTCCTATGGAAGTCATGGGCCTCATGCTTGGAGAGTTCGTGGATGACTTCACCGTCAAGGTCATGGATGTTTTTGCCATGCCCCAGAGCGGTACCGGCGTCAGCGTCGAAGCAGTCGACCCTGTTTTCCAGACCAAGATGATGGACATGCTGCGGCAAACAGGAAGGTGAGCCGAGAATGGAACAGTAGCCGACGCGAGAAAGGGTGGAGGACCAGAAGGACCCTATGGCTAATGCTGTACGCGTAAATCAAGGCCCGAGTCCGTGGTGGGCTGGTACCACTCGCATCCCGGTTTCGGCTGCTGGCTGTCTTCTGTCGATATCAACACTCAGCAGTCGTTCGAGCAGCTCACGCCCCGCGCCGTCGCCGTCGTGATCGACCCCATCCAGTCGGTCAAGGGCAAGGTGGTGATCGATGCGTTCCGCCTCATCAACCCCCAGCTTCTGATGATGGGGCAGGAGCCCCGCCAGAGCACGAGCAACGTGGGCCACCTGAACAAGCCGTCGATCCAGGCGTTGATCCACGGCCTCAACCGACACTACTACTCGATCGGCATCAACTACCGCAAAACGGCGCTCGAGGAGAACATGCTCATGAACCTGCACAAGCACGTGTGGACCGAGGCGCTAGAGATGGACGACTTCCGCGCCGAGGGCTGCAAGAACAAGGACCGCCTCAAGCAGCTCGTCAGCCTGGCCGACGGCTACGAGAAGCGGGTCAAGGAGGAGACGGAGCTGACTAAGGACCAGCTCAAGACCCGCTACGTCGGCAAGCTCGACCCCAAGAAGCATCTCGAGGACCTTGGTCGGGAGCTCATCGAGGACAACATTGTCTCGGTCTCGCGGCAGATGATTGACAAGGAGGCGACGGTACCAAAGAAGGACGAACAGGCGGCTAATGGCGACCAGATGGACACGGAAGAGGAGCTATGAAGAAGGTACCGAACCAGCATGACAGCACAAACGAATCCGTTACCTGACCCAAACCCACGAGAACTAGAAAAAAAAAAAAGAAGAAGAAAGAAAAAAAAAGAAATCTTTCAGTAGTACAGGCAGATGTTGATGATGACTTTGTACCAGTACCGGCGTTGAGGCTTGGCAATCGCACACAGTTTGGGCGATTAGAGGCCTGATGATACGAAACCATTGCATTGGGATCATTCTTCTTCTTCAACTCACATCTCCCTGCTGTCTCAACCTGTGCCTCGTCCCATCTTTCCCTCTATGCTTGCCGGTGCTGATCATGATACCGAATGAAGGGTGTTCAACCTTTTCCGTTTTACCGTGCAAACAGAACAGCCGTCTGTGGCCCTTTGTCCATGATGAGAACGTGATGACAGCGACGGAACAGCGCGCGTTGGTCCTCTGCCCATAAGAGGAACGAGACAATGACAAGGACGGTGACGATGATCAGAACGACGTCCCCATCTTGTCACATGTCAACTCGCTCTTTCCTTTGACCTGAAATAGTCTGTCCATCCTTTCAGGGACATGGAACAAGTCATGGATAGCAGAGAAGGAAGAAGGCTCGTCACATCTCTGATTCGAACATATATCGGTCTTTCTCATGGAAGAGAGCCCCTGAGAGAGTCCCTGACTCTGTGGGTGAGTAGGAACAGCGTCGCCGTTCTCTATTTCCACACAGAGAAGACATGGCCTTGTCAAGAGCAGACAAGCCACATGGGCTATGCCTCAGACAAGACGATACGTGTCAAAGAAACAAAACCAAAAAAAACAACAACAACAACAACGGAGACAAGGGCGAGGAACACACGGACGAGGCCATGGAGCATGGACATCGCAATGTCCTGACCATGGAGAAGGACGGTCCCTATCAAGTTATAAGTAAATGCCTTCCCGCTCGCTTCGATCCCGCTCTTTGCTCATCACGCATCGCGCTCAATCAGTCTACCGTATTGCACACATAACACATACTCGCATCACTCTTTCCAGGCATACACACACACACACACACACACGCACACATGCGCACACACATACATCTGACGCATACCGTATTTCTTCTTTTCGTGAGTTCCTCTTACACGCGGAAATATCTCCCTTCTCTGTGCCGAAAACCGTCGGGTCATGCACGGCAGGATGGGTTTCCGCCGCTTCGTCTCTAACCTCGTCCATGCTAGGGAGTCCGAGCCCCAGCTCCGAAAGAGCACCAAGACCGACAGGATCAGGAACTTCCTCCTCAGGAAGAGGCAGGACGTGCCCGAGAAGCTCACCAGCCGGTCCCAGCCCGACCTCGGCCTCGGTCAGCCCATCCACCCCTTCGCCGGAAGGATCGCCGAGGTCCCCACCGCTCCTGCTGACGCCGTCTTCAGCGTTACCGCCGCCCGTCCCGAAGTCTACAGCCCTACCGTCGCCGGCGCTGTCGCCGGCCCCGCCCAGCGTCAGCCTGTGCTCGGCCCGGGGCTCCCTGCCGTCGTCGACACCGACGATGCTATAATCGGTCGCGTCAACTGCCAACTCTACCCGGGCCCGACCCTCGACACGGTATCGGCCGTGACAGAGATGTACCGGCACGTGCCTCACGCATTCACGGGACCCGTGGCCATCTTCCTGTACGGCCACGTGGGTCGAATACCCAGACGGGTGACAGTCTCGTTCCCGTGGTGGTACAGGGATATTGCCCGCCACTGGGCAGTCCGCAGAGGTATGCGCTGCGTCTCGGACGATCCCGACCTGTTTGTTCTCGTCGGCGGCGTCGACAGGGTCCGCACTGTCCAGTTCACGTACACGGACCTGAACGTTGACGACTACAGCCTCAGGCAGGGGCACGCTACCGCTCGGGTCATGTGCCTGGCGGTCCTGGCCGACGAGCTCGCGCAGGAGTATGTGGCCGGCCTGGCCGCGATGCCCTGGCCCGAGCAGCGTGGGCTGGCCGACGATGTGCGCTGGGTCCTCGGCCGGATGGCCGGGCGAGGCATGCGCTTCGACTCTGCCACGTCGAGGAACATCCGGACCCGGGCCTTCTGGATGCCCTTTATGCTCTCGTTCCCGGACGTGGCAGCGCTGTTCCGCGACGCCGGCATCGCGGTGCCCGAGACTGCTCGGCCCGAGGACCGCAACACGGGCATCCCCAGCCTCGTTCCTCTCAGCCCCAGTCGGTCCGCATCGCAGAGGTCGACCCGGAGCGCCGCGGTCCGCAGCGACAGGACTGACCGGCCGGCGAGGTCATCCAGGGCGAACCGCAGATCTGAGCTCGCCGTCAGGGCACCCGCGTCCCGGCCCCCAACGTTCAATATCTCCACCAACTTTTAACATTGTCAAGTTGGATCTCAAGAACGGAGAATTCACTGGGCTGGTCTCGGTCATTCTTCAAGGCCACGGCTTCATATCTCTGTTACTTCCACTTTTCTCCTGTCTTCTCTTTTTTTTTTTTTTTTACATTGTGGGCGTTTAGGTTGAGTGGCTAGATCTGCATAGGCGGTTTGTGGTAGAGAATTGAAGAGTAATGTACTATTCAAGAATAAAGTGAAACGTGTGGATAATATAGAAGAGAAGGCTATAGAATAAAGCGATATCTGCATGTCGACCCCAGAGTTCGTTTTTCCTCTTCAAAGGGGGGCAGAGAACATTACAAGCTGAGAGCCATGTCCCGACTCTCCATCTAGGTAATATCATCGATACCTATTAGACGTTCGACCTCGAAACCATGTACGGTGTAGTAGACCAAGGGGAATCAGTCGCTCACGAGCCGTGACACACACACACACACACAACAGCGGGGAGAAGTCCGACAGAGAAGGCTGGAGGACGCGTGGATGCGACGATGCGCACATGCCGTGACGGGTGACGTTCTCGGGGAGCGGGATGACCTTGATTCTGGGGATGATTGAAGTCGGCCATGGGGATGATTTGATTGATTGAATAATTCATGCTAGTATTGAAAATTGCTGCGTGGGGAAGAATACATCACAGGTTCTTGATTACTACTGAACTGCTCCGTATACTAATCGTCATTACCAATCTTTTTTCTCCTTGACATTTCATCAACAAAAGGCGACTCTACTTGGCTGTAGTGTTATCTATTCACCCTGTATAATATAATATAATATAATATATATATATATATTATATATATATTATGTGTGTGTGTGTGTGTGTGTGTGTGTGTGTGTATACGTATAATATTATAATAGAAAATACTATTAATAACCTTCTTAGTCCCTCGTGCCGTGTGCCCCCATCCCCTCCATGTTAAGCAGTCTCCACCAATAGGACCTCAAAAGTCGTCTAGCGCCGGTCTAGACGAGATGTCAAGAACATGTAGAGTAGATCATTATTAACATTATTTACAGTATCAATCTCTACGTCGATACTGATGCCCGTCGCCGTCGCCGTCGCCGTCGCCGCAGACGGGCAACTTTACAAGAATGCAGTCCCGAGAGCGGCGCAATAGTCGGCGCCGGGAAAGCGCAGCATAGCGGGGGGCACCTCGTCCGTCAATTTTCTCGCGACTCCTACAGATCTGTACTCACAACCACTATCATTACATGATGATCAAACATTCGCAGAAGGAGTGCAAACCATCGTTTCAAATTTTTTACAGATGGAAAAAAAAAGAAGAAGAAAAAAAAAGACTTCACAAATCGTCAACAGTCTGAAGCAGGAGAGAAGAGAGGAGAGGAATAACCGAGAATAGTAGCTCTCACTGCATCTTCTTCGTGAGAGCAATGTAATACATGTTATGGTAGAGCCATGAAAGATTTGGAAAAAAAAAGAAAAGGACAATCGCAAGGAATATAACAAAAGAATAGAAGAGGACGATGGAGACTTGAACAAAAAAAAAAAAAAAGACCAGCCCGCGCGTATTCCATTACCAACGAAAGCCCATTGCCAAAAAAAAAAGAATTTCAAAAGATAAAAAAAAAAGTGTTTACCCTTTGCGCCGATTGGTATAACCATTTATAACTTGTACTTGTACTCGTAACCTGGGACCTTGTCTTTATCCCCATCTCATCATTATCCCGACCTTCTCCGTTCTGTCCTCATCACCAAACTACCCCCTCCCGCATATCCAGCAGCGCTCTGTGTATTCATCCTTGCTGTGAGGGCGGGAAGCTGAAGAGGCAGGGTGGAGAGAATGAGCAGAGGGAAGATGGCATGCGCCATCTCCGCCGGACAAGGCTGGCTCGCATCCACCAACCCGACGAGGCCACTACGCCCCGATGGGAACCTTCTTGTTCCGCTTTCCGAGGAGGGTGGCATTGTCAAGGTTGAGCTCAAAAGGCCCCTTTCGACGATTCTTATCGCGGACCTGCTGGCGCGCCGCGTTGGCCACCGTAGCCGAATGCTGGCCGTATCCGCGCTGCTGGTCGGAGGCCCTCTCCCTCTCACGACCCCTATGCTGCTGGTCGCCGATGTTGGCATCACGCATGCTCTGCTCCAGGCCCTGAGTTCCCGACTGCTGTTTGCCGGCAGCGGCGCTCTGCGGGTCGACCTCCATGACGTCGTCGTCTTCTCCCCCGTCCTCGTCTTCCTCGTTGAGGGCGTTGAGGAACTTGTCGACGCCCGTCTTGGTGCCCGTCTGCTGGCGTCTCTTGGCCTCCTCTTCCTGGCGGTGGACGGCGTAGCCGACGTCGAACACCTCGCGCAGGTTGACGGCGCCGGGGGAGCGGAAGTCGTAACGCTTGCCGGCGTCCTCGAACTTGGTCGAGTCGAAGGCGCGCAGGGGCTTCTCGGGCTGCAGCGCCGCCGCGGCGGCTTGCTGCCGGGCCGCGTCCTCGGGCTCGACGCCCTTGACCCAGGGGTGGGCGAGGAACTCCCTGATGGTGAAGCGCTTCTCCGGGTCGACGGTGAGGAGGTGGGCGATCAGGTCCTTGGCCGACTTGGAGATGTCGTCCCACCAGGGGGAGAGGAAAGTGTAGGACCCCCTGGCCACCTTTTCGGTGAGCACCTCGATGCTCTCGTCGTAGAAGGGGGGGAATCCGCAGAGGAGGGTGTAGAGGACGCAGCCGAGGGCCCACATGTCGACCGACTTGGAGTAGCGCTCGTCCTTGACGATCTCGGGGGCTGTGTAACCGACCGTGCCGCAGGGCGTCATGGTCTGGTTGTCCCAGACGATCTTGGACAGACCGAAGTCGGCAATCTTGATCTGGCCGATACCGCCGGCGCCCTTCCCGGGGATGAACTCTCCCTCATCTACCTTGTCCTCATCCCCAGGCTGCTTGGGCTTGGGTACCTTGGCCTGCACCACGGGGATGGGGTTGAAGAGGATATTCTCAGGCTTGATGTCTCTGCGAAGCAAGTCTGTCAGTCACTTCCAGTTCGCCATATGCGGTGCACGATACGCCTGAGAGGACGTGTCCTCGTGTCTCTGCAATGCACGACAGCCCCGGGGGTGACGTACCGATGCACGATTCCCTTCTCTTCATGCAGGTATTCGAGTGCCTCTGCCACCTGAACGATGACGTGTCGAGACAGCTCCTCGCTGAAGTAGGTGAGATGGACAATCTGGTGGAAGAGCTCTCCGCCGATAGCCAGCTCGAGGACGATGTAGTAGTACTGCTTCGACTCGGAAAATTCAATGAGTTTGACAATGTTGGGGTGGTCGAGCTGCCTCATGATCTGAACCTCTTTCAGGATGTTTGATCGCTGCGAAGCACATTTCAGAAATTAGCATACAACTGTCTCTATGATATCACTCCCTTGGGGCGGATATGACGGAAAGAAAGGGAAAGGGGGGGGTATTTCGGAGCCATGTTGTCTCGTTTCTTCTTCTTTTTTTTTTTCCCGTTCTGTGGTGGGATGTGCATTCAAGAGGGTTTTGGAGTCTTGGGGTTTCGTGTTGTCGCACCTCGGCAGCTTTGGGAACCTTTTTGAATTCCGGATGTAGATGGTTGTTTCCCTAATAACCGGTGTTGGCTTCCGGTTCTCATACGCTTTTCCTTCTCCCTCTTCAAGCGACGCAAAAGCCAAGTACACGAGGTGGGGAGGTAAAGAGGTATATCATGGTGGATACGGAGATGATGCTCAGAGAGAGGACAGACGTGTAGAAGGGTGAGGAGAGGGGAGAGGAAAGAAAAAGAGAAGTTGAGGAGGACGAATATCAAGGTGAAAACCAAAAGAAATGATGCGCTCGGCCTCGCCTTTCACTCACCTGCATACTGTTCATCTCGTACTTGCGAACGACCTTGATGGCGACATTGCCGTAGTCGCCGCGGGTATCCCTCGCGCGGTAGACATTGCTGAAGGCGCCGTCGCCCATCTTTTCGGTGAGCTCCCATCGTTCCAAGCCCGGGTAGCGGGGAAATCTGCTCTTGCTCGCGTTCTCCTCGGCAACGAGCCTGGCGAGGTTAGCCTCGTCGGCGGCGGCGGCGGCGGCGGCGGCGGCGGCCTTGCTGCTGGCCACCTTCTGGGCTAGGTCGGCATGGTGGGCGGCGATGTTACCGGCTTGGGCTACGCGGTTCTGTGCGTCGCCGGGGGCTTCGGAGAAGGCTTCGTGGGCCTGGCCGTGGCCGGCAGCGGCAGGGGCGGCAGCGGCAGGAGCAGAGGCGGAGGGGGCGAGGACGGGTTCGCTCGGCACTCCCCTGTCGACATTTGGTTGAGGAAGTGATTGCTCGTCCTTTCTCGGAGACGACGACGATTCTTCGTTGAAATTACGAGCTTGCTTGCCTGCGCCCGTTTTTCTCGTCGTCAGTCAGCAGGTAGGGGAGAGGGAGGGTTACGTATGGTGGGAGAAGAGCCAGGCGTGCGTCGTCGTCAAGAGCGACCTGCCGGAGCTCTGACCGGGGAAAGGGGAGAAGAGGGGTAAGGCCGAGCAGGGCAAGCGACATGAGACAAGGCGGGAAAGAAGAGAGCAGAAGGGCATACCGTGGCGGATGAAATTCTTGAGCTGTTGTATGGTCGACATGTCTGCCCAAGGGACGCCTCCGACGGGCGGGCTCGAAGGGGGCACGAAGGGGGCACGAAGAGTGAGGGGAGGGAGAGACGGACGAGAGGGTGCAGTCGGGCGTTGGTTGGTTGGAGTGTGGGGATGACAAACGGAGAATGGACAGGCAAGAAAAGACGGAGGGGAAGAGAGGGTACGAATCCGGCTCTTCTGATGGATGGAGCAGTGGAAAATCCTCTTCTTTTCTTACGACTTCTATCTCTGTGGACCCTGGAATCCGAAAAAGAAGGAGAGAAAAAGTCCCAAAGTGAAGGGGGGGGGGAAAAGGACGCGGCAATATGGCGTCAGGGCCCTTATGACGATGCGGGGTCGAAGAGGGATCAGAGGTGGTGGAAAAAAAAAACCACAAGTGCTAGGATCTTTACCGGGTAGGAGGAGAGACTATGGCGTGAGGGGGGGGATGACAGATAGGGGATGATGAGGGTAGTCTAGGAGTATGGAAGAGTATGGCAGAGTGATACGGGACAGAAGTAGGAGAGGAGGAGATGGAGGAAGAGGAGAGAGGGAGAGAGAGAGAGAGAAGACGGGGAGAAGATGAGGACGTAGTGACAAGTCGTGATGGTTGTTTGAAAGAGGAGATGACGAGTTGGAAAAAGGAAGTGGACAGGGGCCTAGGCTGGTTTAGGAAAGGGAAGAGATGGAAAGTTGTGGGGGGGCGGGGACTCAGGCTCTGGGACTGCTATTTATCTGTTTTATCACCCGCGCAGTCAGTTGAGCCGTCAAGAGTTGGTCTCTAATCGTGGTGAGCATCACGGATACTAAAGTAATTCATAACAATCGTGGTGATGGTATGGTGAGAATGGTGTCGATATGCAATCATGTATCGACTCGTCAGTGGTATGTATTACGGAGTATTTGTCGATGGTCGTAGCAGCAGTCTACGATTTCTTTACGAGTAATACAGTGAGGGATAGTACGTATTACAGCAGCAGCAGCAGCAGCGGCGGCGGCGGCGGCGGCGGCGGCAGCAGCAGTAGTGGTGGTGGTGGTATTACAACCAGAGTCTGAGTACTCGAGTGCAGCAACAGTCATCAAAGTCCCTGTACGAGTATGATGAAGCTGACAGGGAAGGAGGGAATGAAGTCAGAGGCTGTCCAAGATGGCGGATACGTACAGCAACTACTAGTCTGATAGTGAAACAGAGGAGTAAAGCAGAGGGGATCTGCAGAGTTGCAGTGGTGTCGTGGTGGAGGGTATCATCGATACAATACAGAGCCGGTACGTGTCAGGTGCGCATCCGTTCCGGGTACACCTGTTCTTGGGTATCGCTGCTACCTGTATATCATCAGTAGAGACAATCACATCTCTACGGCCGGTTCCAGGTTGGTGTCGTGGTGACATGAACTCCCATCATCACCGGCAGCGACACTTTGCTGCCCACGTCCCGTCCAGGATCAATACGGGCACCGATAGGTCAATCAACCCCAGGTCCGCCCTGAAATTGAGGCCTGACTGGCGGATCTTGATGACGGCCAAGGTGCCACTCCCAATCCCTCCCAGCTGCAGTCCCCCGGTGGAGAAGCGTGCAAGCTTGACACCGTCAACGGGGAGGTTTCTACCATCCGTACTCGTAACTCCTGCATGCAATTCAAGCAAGATAATAATCAGTACTATCATCATTCATCATTACACGGCATCGCTACTCTGCTGCCTCTGCAGTCAATGACGATGAACTCTGTTTCCCGACGCCTCGCACAATTTTTTTTTAAAGTTCCCATCAAACATATGCGCCGCCTACCGCCCTCCACCCCAAATCAACTGAACCAGTCAATATTATCATTACCCGTACGCGCCGTGTTCCTCATTGCAAGGTACGACGGCAGACATCGGGCAGAGGAGATTTGACAAGGTTGTTACCGTCGCCTCCTCGTATATATCGATACATTATTACCAGGTAGAGCCCAAAGTAATATTACCACCATGACCCTGCCATGGTTTGACCCCTGCCACTGTCGTCAATCATATACCGTGTACATACCTGTACCTTTACTCTCTCAACAGATTACGCCTATGACGTCCACCAACGACGTCATGACCCGAGATGGAGGGGGAGAGGGGGGGGGGGGGGGGTAAGACCCTGCGCACCGCCGCCCTCCAGCCCGGCTGTTGCCTTGGTCTGGGTCATGAGAAGGGGAACGGGAGTGAATTATCATTCGATGGATTGACAATCACTGATAGATGGAGTCAGTATTTACCATGACCCCTCCAAGACATCATGTTCTGATCAGCCAAGCTGTCTCGAAAGATGATGGAAAAGAAGGGAAGAGAAGAGAAGAGAGAAAAAAAAAACATGGAGAGATGATTGATGGACAGGTTAGATGGGAAAATAAGTATATATAAGTATATATATTCATATATATATTTAAATATAATAATAATACCCTTCATTACATTCAAATATATATCCCCCCCCCCCCCAAAAAAAAAAAAAAATTCCTGTGCGAGATTACGTAATAAAATGCCTAGATACAAGAGGGAAAAGAACGATGAAGAGAAACAGGAAAGAACGGAAGAAAAACCTGACCTTTTGAAGTTCCACCTTCATCTTTATAAGTCTTTTTTTCTTCTTTTTTTTTCCACCTTGACATGATCGTACACAGGCCAGTTGCATTGAATATTCATTCTAGCATCCCTGCCTGTATTCGCATCATATTTATTGGCTCGCAGGTTACCGATACGAAATCAGACGGGCCACACGATTGTTTCCCACCGATCAGAATACGATACGGTGCGGTGCGGTGCAGCCTACATCGTCGCCGCCGTCATCCTGACTCTGCGATCGCCGACCCTCATCTCGATGGCCACCAAACATCTGATCTCATCCTCTCCGTCTGGGATATCCCCTGTTCTCGACACTCACCACGCCTCAGACGCTAGCCAATCATCTTGTTCAACTGCTTGCAGCGATTATTACGTGTAACGTGGACTACCGATGCTCGTACATGTGTAATTCGCCTCTGTAATTCGCCTCCCCTTGCCCCCCCCCTTCACCTCGGGTCGCTGTGTAGCCGATGCATGACTCAGCAGATATACATTATGTGTCGCACGCCGGGTGGTACCATTACCTTCCCCTCCATCGCCCCCCCCCCCAAAAAAAAAACATGTTTGTTCGTGCTGTTTCGTGCGGGAACGATGTCCATGCCGGTACCTTTTTTCCGCTATTCAATGATCGGTGCTCCGTCAGACCAAGGGGGGGGCGGAGGCGAAAGGGTTGGGTAGGGGACCTCGTCGGTGGCCACGTAGCTAGGTCCCTTCGCCATCACACCTCGCCTTCGTACCCGAGAGACTTTGGACCGTGATATCAGTACAGTGCGGTCTCGGCTGTAAAAGTCGTCGTCTTCGGTGTGTGCTTCTCCGTCCCAGTCCCGTAGCTTGATCTCGGGCTCCTCCTTGACCGGGGGATACCCGGTTCCCTGGATCGATTTGGCAGGGAGGAATGAGGAATTCAAGCCATCATCACACAGTCTGATCAGCGCAGCTCGAGAGCTGGGGCGTCGCCGAGTCCGACGTGCATGTCGATGATCGATGTCGGCGTAGCTGACGAGCTGATGATATGGCATGCGGTATGCAATACCCGATCACAGAAGGCCTCGGCTGGTCTCTCGTAGTTGAGGAGAACAAGGATGTTGGTGACAAGTTCATGCCCGCCGAGCTCTCGTCACCCACCGGCGCCTCGCAGGGGAAGCCGACCATCGGGAGTGAGCGTTCAGGGGGGCCTCACCTCACTCCTCCTTCTCGGCAGGCCAGAATATCCAGAGGACGACCATGAGCAGCTTGAGCAGGGCCGCCAGCCAGAGCGCACCCCCAATGCCGACGGCACTGTGGGCGAGCAGCCCGCCCACGACGGCGCCCCCGATCAGCAGCACGGGAGCGGCAGCCCTCCGGTTCCTCTCGGCATTGACGGGCGCGAGGAGGTCCTTGTCGGAGAACAGGTCGCAGTAGATGCTGGTCAGCACCACGCTCGTGAGCGCGTTGTACCGCAGCGCCCGGCTCGTCACGGCCTGCGCGCAGCTCTGGAAGGCCACCAGGCCGATGGGGAGCAGCACGTTCCAGGCGGTCGAGTCCGGATCTTGGGCCGGCGACGTCCGGCCGACGACGGACGCGGCCGCCGTGGTCAGGAGCGCCTGCGCCGCAAAAGACGCGCACAGGACCCAGCGCCGCTTGGGCGAGAAGTGCCGGTGGAAGCGGGCGAAGATGAATGAGCCCGCGCAGAACGAGACGAGAGACACGCCCGACCGCCACAGGCGCGAGCTGGCCGGCGGGTGGGCCAGCGAGGCCAGGCCCAGGCCCACGTAGACCGAGTTCCCTACATGGCTCGCCCCCCTCTCCTGTCAGCTGGGCCGATACTGCGCGGCGGCGTCCCGTCGGGGACGGAGGGGGAGCGGGACGGACCGGTCTGCATCGAGACGAAGGCCCCCCAGACCTGCGTGGATGAGCTGTCGAGCAGTCCTGTGACGAAATAGCAGAGCAGGAGGACAAGATCTGCCCATGAGCGGTCGACCTCGGCGTGCATCGACCTGCCAAGCCTGGATAGGACGGTCCGGCCGGGAGGACTGTGCTGTCGCAGAAGAGGCTGCTGCTCTTCGTCGGTGACGATGCCGTCGCGAGTGCTGGCCATCCTCTCTCTCAGACCGGATGGGTTCGGATCTCTCTAATCGAAGAGCGGCTGGGGTTTTGGCTGTGCAGGATGTCCGATGTGATGGTTCCCCACGGAGAGATGGCCGTTGAGCATAGCAGCAGCAATGGTGAGCAGTCCGTAGTAGTATGACTACTATGATGAGATATCGTATGCATGTACAGGTTACCGATTTATTATTATCACACGTAATGCAGGTTGGGGAGATGGCCAACATCGACGGAATGGGTCGGATGGCGGGGGGACCCGATCGACTGATGAGAAATGCGGGGGAGGCAAGGGACAAGAGAAACAAGGGAACAAGGGAGGGCCCATGCATGCTATTACCGCGGGGAAAGGGGGGAGGGGTGTGGGCGGTCGAATGCGCCGGATTGAATATTACATTTATTACATTCAAGGATATCCGTAGTAGGCAAAGCGAGAAGATGCCTCGCTTTTCCTTTTATCTTGGCAGTCACTGCTGAACAACTCCAGCACAGTACTATACATGCATATGCATGCATGCATTATTCTTTCATAGATTATTTCCTTGTGCAGAAACAAGTAAAGGAAAAGGTATCAATACCTGATCACAGTCAGTCTTGGAGAGCTGCATACATATTATCGTGGCTTGAGATGATATTCCTCCACATATGTATGACCGGCTGCGAGGAAGGATCCCCTTTGCCTGTCGGACTTGGTTCGGTATTAATGATCATTTAATGATAATATCACTCCTACTCCGTACCGCATGCGTGTACAACCCATGTTGCTACCCCATCGTGTAATGGTCGATAGCATGCAGAATGCAGCTCCGATGACGACGACCGCCAGAGGCTGGGTAGCAGATCCAATGAGAGATGAGCCAGATCAATAACGACGACAAGACTTGGTCATCTTGTCTATCGGGCGAACTTGCCGCGAGCGGGCGGGGGGGGGGTGAGGGATAGTCAGACTTTTACCGACCTGGGACTTGGCCGATGGGTGCCTCTACGAGAGCGAGCACATTGTCTGCTCCTCATCCTCTCTGTCTCTGCACGGCGTTTACGTCACCTCACTCTCTCTCTCCCGTACCTACAAATATTCCGAAGCTTTCCTACGTCAACCTCACCAACCCCTTCCCCCCATCCAACCCCCGAGCTTGAGATTTATTCCTTCCCGATCCGTCAAGATGAGGCTCCAGAGCAGCAGCACAACCCTCCTCCTCGTCGGCATCGGCCTGACCTCCGCCCTCCCCCACCTGGACAGCCCCCGTCAGCGGCTCCTCAACGGCCTGGAGCTGCCAGACCGGTACCTGCGCTCTCCCAAGACTCGGGACGAGGGAACGCCCTACACACCCGGTCACCGTGATCCCTACGATGAGGCCGTCGATCCCGTAACCGAGAATCTCGACCCGAAGCCCTGGCGCAATGGCTTGGGAGCATCCGTCCTCGGTCCGTGGAACCCGGACCGCTCCCGGCAGGATCCCGATCTCGTCAGGCCGCCCAGCACCGACCACGGGAACATCGCCAACATGCGCTGGAGTTTTGCAGACTCTCACATCCGGATCGAGGTGAGCTATCCCCCCCAAGACGAGGACGAGGAGGAATAGGAAATGAAGAAGAAGAAGAGATGGGCAGAAGGGCGGCAGGTCTGACACACCGGCAGGAAGGTGGATGGACCCGCCAGACGACGGTCCGTGAACTGCCCACGAGCCTGGAGCTAGCAGCCGTCAACATGCGCCTGGACTCCGGGGCGATCCGCGAGCTCCACTGGCACAAGGAGGCCGAGTGGGCCTACGTCCTGGACGGCGAGGTGCGCGTCACCGCCCTGGACTACGAGGGCGGCAACTTCATCGACGACCTGAAGAAGGGGGACCTGTGGTACTTCCCCAGCGGGGTGCCCCACTCGCTGCAGGGCCTGGGGGACAACGGCACCGAGTTCCTCCTCGTCTTCGACAGCGGCGCCTTCTCCGAGGACTCGACCTTCGTCCTGACAGACTGGCTCGCGCACACGCCCAGGTCCGTCATCGCCAAGAACTTCCACCTGGCGCCCGAGGTGTTCGACCACCTCCCCGCCGGCGAGAAGTACATCTTCCAGGGCAGCCAGCCCGGCACCGTCGACGAGGAGCGGCCCCGGGGCAGGGAGGCCAGACGGTCCAGGTACGACTTCGCCCACCGCCTGCTGGACCAGGAGCCCAGGAGGACCTCGGGCGGGGAGGTGCGCGTCGCCGACTCGGCCAACTTCCCCGTCTCCAAGACCGTGGCGGCCGCCCACGCCGTCATCGAACCGGGCGCCCTGCGCGAGATGCACTGGCACCCCCTCGCCGACGAGTGGTCCTTCTTCATCAGCGGCCGGGCGCGCGTGACCGTCTTTGCCGCCGAGGGGACGGCACGCACCTTCAACTACGGGCCCGGTGATGTCGGCATCGTGCCCAAGAACATGGGGCATTTTGTCGAGAATATCGGCCGCGAGCCCGTAGAGATGCTCGAGGTCTTCCGAAGTGACCGGTTTCGCGACTTCTCTCTATTTCAGTGGATGGGCGAGTCGCCCAAGCGCATGGTCGTCGATACCATGTTTGCCGGCGATGAGGAGAACGGAGATAGGTTCTGGGAAAAGGTCAAGGATGCCCACAAGGATGACATCACCAAGTGAGGAGGGCCCTGCCCTTTTGCTCTTCTCTGGGCTTCTACATCTATAGGCACTCTCGCGCAGCTGTCTCGTTTGGGTCTACACTTCGATATAGTATGAGTCAATCGTAGCATGCAGACTCCCAGAATACCGTCAGGATTCGTCATAGCCGAGGCCTACACGCTCAGATCCCATCGTGAGAGAGAGTGTAGGTAATGTAATATCGTGCTGCTCATGCTCTCCAGCACACCTGTACTCATCACCTCGTCTTTAAGCCGGCGCATGTCTGGTCACGCTTCGACATCATCCCAGACTCGGTGCTGATATAGCACAGATGATTCGCCGATACGGATGGATTCACGAGTGACATCGCATGGGGTTGAAGCCACCGGTTCTCGCCACAAGCCGCCTCTGTACAGAGCCTTCCCATCGTTAGAAGCGGTTTCCTGTCAGAGGGGCACGCTTACGAATATCGACACACACCGTACACACGAGAGTAGTCCATCACACTACAGACTGCATATACCAATCAGATTCCCCAAATGTCTTTCCTCTTTTTTCCTTCTTCGTATTTCCTGTTTTCATCTTCTGCGATGTGGTTCCCACGTAGAGACGGTACATGGGTGTTGCCAAGAAATAGGGGAGAGGAGGGATAAATCATGGGAATCAAAGGAAGGCTTGTACGGGGCCAGGGAAGGGCGGGAACCACCCGGATATACCGGCCACGAACTCGTCGAAGATCAATGGCTCCCTCCAACCAACAAGCACGTCTGGATGCCTCTCAACCCTTCCCCCGCATCACCGCTGAGCGGAGACCATCGTGGCCTGCATATCAGGGCGCATGTATGCGTAGACGGCAGATGCAGCTGTCGTCTGCTCCGCTGCAGCCACTACCTGAACTGGTAAGCGTGAGCTTCCCTGAGGAGATGTCAGCGTTGATGAGAAGAATGCCACTTGACCCTCTGATGGAGATGGATGGCCTCGATGATGGGAAGAGATTCGGACGACTCTCGGTATTGTGCAGAAATGGAACCCTCGAGATCACCCTCCATCTTGCCATTCGGAATCATCCGTCGCCTTTCTGAAAGTCGGGCTTCCTTATTCATGAGGGTCCCATCTGGATGTACTCGTAAGCTTCCTTGCTGTTCGGATGATACGGCACGTCCACTCGGTCTTGGCGTCTTATACCTTTCGCAACCACAGAGCTGTCTACGACCACTTGCTCTTCCCGTACCGGTCTCGACGCTCTCGGCGGAAACGGTCGAGGCTAGCCGTCAATGGGGGGGGGCTATAATTCTTTGGCCGATCCTTTGGCAAGACGTATAATTCGATTCGTCAGCTGAGGTGAAGCTTCAAGGTTCATCATATATTCAGGAAGATTCGGACCGGAGAGCTATCTGTTTCCCTGATTCGACAAGGAAAATCGTTGCAGAATGTAGACGTGACAATATCTTCTCTTATCCAGAGCCTGAGCTCAGATATCCTCCTGCAGGGAACTTTGAACGAGACGGGAGAAGAATGATAGTTTCATGCAGACCAAGATGCTCGGTGAAGACGGGAGGAGATGGCGCGGGATCATCAGAGCGGGACGAATCTCATCACAACTTCCGACCCCCCCTCTATTCATCGTGATGGGCCGTATACTTGTGGGCTATCCTGTTGATGCAACCTGTCGTTATGTATGACAACCTGGGCTTCGTCTGGAAACTACATTTCTTTGAAAACTTGGGCCCCTGAGCCAATGGGGCGGATAGATGGATGAGGGGGACGGCACGAGGCCGCCTATGTCTCGAACGCTTGGGGAAAACCTGCTCTTGGGTTTTGTGGCAGATCGACTGTCAAGATCTGGGCTTCGCTGATAGAGCCGAAGTCGATGAGGCGGCATCGGTCGTGATCCAATTCCGTGACCAGCCCATCAGACTACCGGTATTCATTCACTGCCGACGATATATTAAGACAGCCGTCACCTATCAACCGGCCCCTCTCTCCCAGGACTCAGCTCCAACTTCCCAGACGTACTCTGCACTGCTCCATTCTGCACTCGTCCCTTTCCCAAGCCTCTCTCTCCCCTGTTCGAGAACGTCAAGTGATGGACCGCCTGCATGCAATCAAGCAACGCATCGCGGAGTCGTACAGGACCGACCCCAACATCGACAAGGTGAGGAGATATGCTGGCCCTGTAGCCCGAAGCCTCCCCCTTTCCACGGCCGACTACCTGGCCGAGAAGCTCCCGGTTGTCCAGTGGCTTCCCCACTACAACCCGAGATGGATAGTCCATGACGCCGTTGCCGGCATCACGCTGGGAGTCATGTTCATCCCCCAGGGTCTCGCCTACGCCAAGATCGCCACCATACCCATCGAGCACGGGCTGTACTCTTGCTGGATCCCTTCAGCCGTCTACTTCTTCCTCGGCACCTCAAAGGGCATGTAAGACCTTCTCGTCATCCCACTCTTCCCGTATGACTGACCCTGCCTCTCTCTCGATCCAGAACTATCGACCGGGCCCACGTCCATTCTGGGTCTCATGACGGCCGAGATTGTGAGCGATCTGTCCGGCGAGGGATATCAGGCAGCCGCCATAGCATCGGCCATCGCATTCATCGTGGGCGTGTACACCACGGCCATCGGACTGCTGAAGCTCGGCTTCCTTCTCGACTTTGTCTCCGCCCCCGTCCTGTCTGGCTGGATCTCCGCCGTCGCCATGGTCATCCTCCTAGGTCAGGTCGGCAGCCTCATCGGCATGGATGTCGACTCCGGTACCGCCGCCATCATCCGCGAGATTCTGGGAAACCTCGACCGGATCAAGCCGCGCACCCTGGCCATCGGGCTCACCGGCATCTTCGTGCTCCTCGTCCTCGAGCATGTGGGCAGGCGCTGGGGGGGCAGGCACTTTCTCCTCAAGCTGCTGTGTACCAGTCGTGCTGTCGTGGTCCTCGTCGTCTACACGATCATTTCATACCTCGTCAATCGGCGGCGGGACAAGGATAGTTACAGGTGGGATGTCACAGAGATCGAGACGAGAGGGCTGTGGACACCTCGAACCCACGACATGAAGCTCGTACAGAAGGTGGCCGGACGTGCTTTTGCGCCCCTCATTGCGATGAGCGTCGAGCATCTCGGCGTCGGCAAGGCATTTGGACTACGCAACAACTACAAAATTGACAAGAGCCAGGAGCTGTTCTTCCTCGGGGTCGAGAATATATGTAACAGCTTCTTCGGTGCCATGACGAGTTGAGTTTATCTCTCTCTCTCTCTTCTCTTTCYCCCCCCCCCCCCCCTTTTTTTTTTGAGAAGAAAAAAAGAAAAAAAAGTACGTGAAGTATTGAGACGCTCACACGAAGACACAGCTGGAGGTGCAATGTCCCGAACTGCCGTCAATTCAGAGTGCAATGTCCGGAGCCCCGTCAACTTCCTCTTCACAGCAGGCTTCATAATCCTGACTCTGTATGAACTGGCACCGGCATTATATTGGATCCCAAAGGCCACACTTTCAGCAATAATCGTATGTTCCGTCCCTCCCTCATAATACTTGTTTCTTTCTTCATCTGATCGATGGGAGACACATAGATCATGGCCGTAGCCCACTTGATCTCCCCTCCTCGCGTATTCTACCTCTACTACCGCACGTCATTCGTCGACTTTGTCGCCTCCCAGCTAGGCTTCTGGGTCACCCTATTCGAGTCTACCGAGATCGGTCTAGCCGCAGCAGTCGGGTTCAACATCGTCGTCACGCTCCTGCGTCTGGCCTTCCCACGCTCAGTACAGCTATCCAACATCGAGTCCGAGTCCGAGGGAGGCGCGAGGGTGAATGGCCCCCTACCAGCCAGCAATGCCATCCGAGTCCCGCCAGAGGCATACTACATCCGCTTTACGGAAGACCTTCTGTTCCCCAACGCCGAGAGACTCAAGAGCTCCATCGTCGAGTCAATCAAGGTGCGCTATGAACCGACAGCCACCACGGACGTGAGCCTGTCGTCTTCCTACGGCCCAGACCGCACCTGGAATGTCTCGGATACGAAGCGCATCCCCCGGCTGCGTCGTCGCAAGGGCATCACCCCGATACGTGCAGACCTGGCCCGGCTTCGTCACGTCGTCCTCGACATGACAATGGTTCCCTTCATCGATGTCACGGGTACCATGGCACTTGTTGAGCTTAAGATGGAGCTCCGCCGGTATATCGGCAGCCACCTGCAGTTCAGATTCGTGGGCTTGTCCGACCCCGTCCTCGAGAGGTTCCTCCGCTCCAAGTGGGATCTTGCCAACGAGGGGGATCGGAGGTCGTCCGACAGTGACCTCGTCTACTCGTCGCTTGAGAATGCTCTGTTTCATCGGGAGGGCAGTGATGTGGATGATGGGGCAGAAAAGGCCATGGACGTGTAATCACGTATGTGGACCCCAAAGCTCCTCGAAAGAGCGAACTTGTAAGGAAGCAAGACAAGCGTCATTCTCTAGCACCGCCGAGGGTACTGCAACGTACCAAGCACCTGGGAGGCCGAACGCGATAGGAAGGCAGGCAAACTTGGGAAAGGGGCATGGCAGGCATGATGAAGGGCATGGCAAAGACCGCCCAGATAACCGTTGCCACGAGAACAGGACAGATAGGAGTGCAATCTTGTCACGAATCAGCTCAGCATCCAGCATCTGCTGCAGGGCATCGAGAACCAGCCTTGCGAATTTTCCAGCCAGATGGGTGGTGAGTCCATGATCGGCCAAATACAGACCTGCGCAAAGGAAAACATTCTGTGGAGCGATGTAAACGTGCATATCTGCTCTGGGCGTGGTCATGATCCCATGGGGACTCATGTCGTTGCGGCAGAGCTTGTTGCGATGGATGATAATGAAAAATCCATGTCTGCGACTTTCGTCAACTTTGATATAACCCAGAAGTATCCCCGATACATTGACATTCTGCGTGGTAAATATATATATATATATATATATATTATATATATCTATGTATCCCACACTCTCTGTATCTAGATGTCCTTCCACGTCGTCCAATACCTGATGTAACCATACTGCAGGGCGCTCAATAACAAAAGCAGATACTCATCATTCAATCTTGTTGGTATCAATGTCTCTACATTCGTTTTGGGATGACCAAGTAACATTGAACTCGAGATCTTCTTTTCAAGATGCTCAAGTGCCATCCAGGTTTCATCCGTCGGACCGTCGGTATATGCGCAGAGAGGCAGTTCGATCGTCTCGAGATGGGCAGGAAAGTCCATTGCCCCGCTCTCGAGTTCTGACTTGATTACCGATATATGACACGGTCTTTAAAATATTGTGAGTCCATGTTACAACTCATGTCCGAGCTCATCCGGACACGTTCACTTGCGGGCGGGAGGATCGAATCCAGACAGCTAAAACAAGTTTTTTTTTTTTAAAAAAAAAAAAAAAAAAAAAAGGTTGCTCTTGATGGGAACCCAAGATGAAAGGCCCAGGAGACAGCCAACCATCTCAGTTGACAGCTGCTCGAGCTTCAAAACGCAAGACGTCGAATGTAGAGTTGACGTGTTTCGCTAGATAGCATCTGCGCACAAGATTTTTTGTTCTAGTCAGATATCGACCAGGCCCTCAAACGATGATTCTCTGACTGCAACTTTATACACAGCATGCTTGATCTCTACGTCATCATCATCCTCAGAAACCAGGGCAGTCCCCCCCCCCCCCCCCCGGTAAGCTTGAGAAGATGTGTTTGCTGGCCGAGATCAGACCTCTAGAGCAAGGTGCGCACCAGCACATCGATAGGTGGCTCGTGCAGCTCTGTCCACTTGATCTGGAGGAGAAGAAGAGGAGATGCTGCCTCAGATGGCGTACTTCTTTGCATACCATGAAAAGCGATAAGTATCAATAGTCTCGGTCGGGGATGAGGAGTGGCCCATACCGAGTATCGGATCTGCCTTGGTTGGCTCTGGACTAGTATCGGAATTGCATTTGATGGGCGAGGAGAGAGAAATCGTTCATTGGGGAGGAAGAGGAGGAGGAGCGGAGTCAAGGGGATTCCTGGAAAGTATTACGGGTCAGGATGGACGAAGCACGAAGCAAGGCAGAAGAATGTCAGGTAAAAGAGGGCAGATCTTGAAGAGCTGTCGGTTGACGAGGCATTGTGCTTCCTGCTAGTGACAACACGCGATGGCCCGTAGACGTGATGCAGTGGTCTCTGCCTACCGGTACGTCCTGGGTCGACAAGTGTGTGTCTTGGCGCTTGATTGATTGAAAGGAAAGGAAATCTATGAGGTTATCTACAGATGTGAGTGTGGCAGCAGCCTCTGACGGCTTAGTAATACAAGCTTGGGTGCCGCAGCGAGAGAAAAAATCATTTATGAGATTGGTGGCAGAGGTTAGTATTTTTTTTTTGGGAAGCATCCATATCATGACATTACAAACGAAAGGACGTGGGCTATCATTCCCTTGGGAAGTGAACGCGTTTCTCATCATCAAACTCACCTGACCAGTCCCCAAGTCGCGGCCAACGCCGACCAAGTACCATGGCTACGAGATCGTCATGTCGATGACGGGTAAACGTGACATGAAATGTATAGATATCAACCTTGCTCGTAGCAGCCATCACTTTGTTAGCACCGAAATAATCGTCATGGTAGTCATCGAGACCCCGTAAACCCCCTAGAACCCCCCTCTCGGGGGGAAAAAAAAGGGAACGTCATATGCACAAGAGGTGAGCAGATGAGGCGTAGCTAGGGCGGTTTTGTTCTTGTGAGTGTCATTGCTGTCATGGGGCTTGGTAGATGATACAAGTGGTGTTGGCATATATACACGGGTAAGCCCATTTTCTGCTTTGTTCTTGCTTGTCTCTCCCAGTTGCTTTGTTTCTTTTTCGTCCACTCTAATTCATCTTTCCCCTTGATCTCTTCCGCAAGATATCTGGACTCGTTTTTTGGATTTTGCTGTTTGCCTCGTCAGGGCTCCTGCGCACCTCGCGAGGCGGCGACATGCCACCGGTGGCAGATCGCTGTGATTTGACATACGACGTATATCGATGTGGTGAAACGAGTCTACGGTAGAACATCGACTTGTAGTCAATATACGAAGACGGCGATACCGCCGTCGTCGTTTCTTCCGACAGGCCTTCCTGTCGAGGTGTCGGCGTACGGGATTCTTCCGTCGTCTCGTAGACTGAGCCGACGTGGTTCATGTTATCGAAGGCGTCAAACGCATCTTCGGGGAACTGTGCAGTGACAAGATCATCTTCATCATCAGCAGTGACAAATGTGTCTTGCCTCTTATCATCCAGAGAGTCAAGAGAGGAGTGGCTCTCGCCGCAATCCGACGCCGACGAGTCGGTCGCGCCGACACTGTCCGATTGAGATGAGGTATCATCGTCGTCTAGACCGGCGCGGTCGAAGGTGCGGCCGAAGCCACCCGTTTCGGACCCTGAGAAGGACATGGAACGAGAGAGAGGGTGCGAGTGAAGTCGCGATTCTTGACCGTCGTCCGTTCGCGGAGGTGAGCTGGCCGTCTTGGATTCAGGAGGGAATAGGGGCTCGCCGGCTGTGGGCTCAACGTCGTCGTCGAGAGTATCCGGCTCCTCCGTCACGAAGCCTTCATCTAAAAACGACGTGTATTTCGCAGCAGAGAGAAAGAGTGTATCGAGTGGGGCGGTGCTGCTGACGGCAGTGCTAGCGGCAGAAACGTTTGATGCATCTGTGACGGTCGAGTCGGTTGATAGGGTGCGGGTATGCATGTTCTCATCGCATGATGGCGGGCCATCTGGTTGGGGAAGGTAGCTGGCGAAGTATCGTACGATGGAGTCGAACGACTTGGTGCGGAAGAGCTGAACGGCGTAGTCCCAGTGTTCAGAATCCATAAGCTTGGGGTTGGCGATGATCTCGACGGCGAGCGATTCCAGAGACTCGTGAAGCTCCCGGAGACGCTGCTGCCGACGTTCAGCCATCAGGCCATGGAACTCTTCTATAGTTTCGGCATCGTGGGAAACCTCGCACACGTCGGCGTGGAAGGCTTCGGGGTCTTGGAGGGAAAAGGTGAAGGTGTTGTAGCGGTCGTGAAGAGAGGTGAAAAGGTCGCCCCTCTTTAAGCCAAATTTCCAGGCTGGCCAACTCCAGCACGGGTCGTCTTCCATGGTGTGCTAGGTGGAAAGGGGAGGGGAGTGTAGCGTATGGTCTGCGTATTAAGCAACAGGTGAGAGAGTCGTGAGAACCGAGAGAAGAAGCAGGGCCGTTGGGCATCCGGCCTGTCCGCCAAGCAGCAGCAGTGCAGACGTCTGTCAACGAACGGCCGGATTTATGTGAGGGCGAAACTCGATGGCATGTTGATGTTGATTATGCTCGGTGAGATGGACGAGTTGGGCAGTTTGCTAGACTGCACGGGGAAAGTACTTTCGCATATACTGAAGTGTAGGTGAGAAACTGGTCGTGATGGAGTCAGGAATGGGGACTCAGAAAAGGGGATTGGGACCGTGGATAACAAAAGGGAGTGAGGACAAAGCCATGGAAAGATGGTCGGGGGGGATCAAGGTAGCAGGGGTGGGAGACGAGGGGAGGACTGAATGCAGCAGGTGCGTCGGGCGGTGGGTCTCGGCCCTATAGAGGAGGTGATTGGTAACTTCCTCTCTGTGTGGGTGGGTCAGCATCAGCACCCTGCAACAGGATTTGTGTTGCTAATCCAATCACTTCCAGCGCTGTGACAGCATTTCGAGTCACGTTCCACTTTTACATACCAATAAAATCCTTCCAGGTCCATTTTTATCGTCCCCACTAGGCATCACTGTGCATTGCATCGGCGGTGGAAAGGCTTTTTTCTCCTGATTCGGTTCAGTCTGAAATGGGAAGGCCGCATGAGAAGGCCACACAGAATTCCTCACATATAAATGTGATCTGTTTGATATCCTTACCCAATCAAATCCACCGGATCGGGAGAGGAATAATCTAGTGGAATTGATTAGATAATAATAGTAAACATATCACTCATATCGATGTAGAAGTCGGGGTTATTCTCTTGTTCTCTAATAATGATAATGATATCTATATATGAGGGTAATTGTGACTGTAGAAGTGGCCTTATTATTGTTGGGATTACTGCCCATCGGGCCGGAACAACTTATTCCGGCCGATGACTCAGCTGTTTGTTCCAACACTTTGCACACCACCACACATCCATACGGAGTACACGTCTCGTAACATATCTGTATGTAATCTGTACATGTATGTAAAGGAACAAGAAAAAGCACGTCTTCTGCATCACAAGCCCCCTCCTTCTGCTCCATCACTACTCCGTGCCTCTACGATTCTTGGCAGACTGCTCATCAGACTGATGAGGGGGCATAACCACAATGGTCGGTTTTGAATGAGACGCACGATGGAGGTTGCGTGTATGCCTTGCAATACCTATAGTGATAACATTATCCGTAGTCGGCATCACCGACTCTACTTTTTTTTTTCACTGCCCCTCTTGACATGGACATCCTTGTTGTTCCAATTTGCACTCGTGTTGGTGGCTTATGGTATATTAGTATTACGGCATAATGCGGCGTCGGGCGTAAGAGCATCTCTCTTTTACTTTGGCGGCTGTCTCGTCACAGCCTCAACGTGGCTGAGAAGTTGAGGAGTGTGGCCGTTGTCACTTGGTAGCGCTGTGGCGCCGTGGCAGTCAATCTCACCGAGAAACAGGCCAGACGAGTCTCTTCATTAACCGCCGACTAGGAGCCAACGGGGGCAGGAGCAACGGCCCGCTCCTTCTTCTCCGCAACTCTGCTAGTTCTCGTAATACTAGCTACAAGTACTAGCCCTGGGTCCTGGTTTCTTTTCATTTCCTCATACGACGTACATCGTTCGTTCCGTGGATCCTGTGTAGTCTTACGAAAAGAGTCTTTGTACTCGTACACTCCGAGTGTTCGTCCTCCAAAAAACTTTGACTATTCTTGTCTCTCGACCCCCTTTATCAATCACATCAACAGACAATATTACATCACGTAAGCCCCTCCGCCCCGGTGCTTATGTCCGATATTCTGTGTGCGGGGACAATATTATTATGGTACAGATTATTCTGTACACCCAACACCCTCCTTCTGTCTGTCTGGTCCAGCTCACCTGCCTTCCAGCACCTGATACAGAGGTACCTCTGCTGACGGCATTCAAGTCCGCACGCGCCCAAGTACCACGCTGGCATATGTCGCCCTGCTGCGCCTTCGGATTTGTCCAACAACTCTGCCCTGTACGATACTTGCCCGTCTTAGTCCGCAATAGTACGTGCTCGAGTATCAGCACACCCGACTCACTAGAACCAGAGTACACGTTTCGTACTTGGTGGTGCATGCTACCTAGTCCGTCGTCGTTCCTTCTCCTCATGATGAGGCGGATGATGACTCGAACCAGCAGAAAGTCTTAACATTCGTTTCGTCATATCCTGTCGGCGACAAGACCTCGCCCAGATCACTACACATCTGACGTTCGCAATCATTTGTATAGCCCTATTTCCTTTTTTTTTTCTCCTCTTGTTGCTGTTTCTGTTCCTGCATTGTCAACTGTCCAACTACCAATACATCCAACCCAACTTGCTCCTTCCCCCGTCCTCGACGCTGACGCATCTTACGGCACCTTTCTCTCTCTTCAGTCAGTCTCCTTTCTTCTTTGCACGTCATACAATAAGCATACCATCGTAACCCGGCTATTCGTGAATAGTTGGTGACCTGTCACGAGCTCCGCCGTTCCTCTCATCAAACACCCTGCCCTGCTAATCGGGCTGACCTCTCGTGCCACTCTGTGATACCGGCTTACCACCGTCTTGACGACAATTCACGGCCCCTTCACACCGCACATCAACGCCGCACTCCGTTACTCGTCATCGTGGGTCGCTAGCAGCAGTCTCCAGCCTCTCGTGTGCCCTCGCGCCTCAGTCCATATTCCTGCGCACATAGACGGGGAGTCGGGGTACCGTTGCCGCTGCGGCCTTGCCCCTCATGGCTGAGCTCGCAGCTGAGACCTCGGTGCCCACGGAGGAGAAGACGGAGCCCATCCCGCCATCCGAAATAGACATGAGGCTCAGCGGGAGTGCTCGCACTCACGATAGTGAGCACGAGCACGGCCATCTCATAGACGATGAGCTTGTCGTGCCCCTAGACTACCTCCAGCTGGAGGAACACCACCACAGCCAGAACATCCGCCTCCTCCTCCGCCCACTCACCAAACTCCACAACGCCCAGACAGTGAGTACTGACGGAGATGGAAACTGCCAGTGGCTCGTCCTCCGCGCAGAGGTCGCGTCCTCGAAAGAGCCCGAGCACAAGGTTTTGGCCGTGACGCAGACATCCAAGGACATCAAGTTCTCCGTCAGGATCCCTGGAGATAGTATCAAGGGTGCCCAGGGCCCTCTCCTCTGGTGCGAGCTCTACTATGACCCTCAGAGCGACAGGGTTGTCTTTGTCAACAAGTCGCATGATCCCATCATGCTAGAGAGGGCACCCCCCCATCTATCCTGCCTGGACGTTCCACCAGAGGAGACTAGACAGGTCAACCCGGGCCTTGCAAGAAGCCTCAAGCCAGGAACTTGGAGGATACGTGTCCGCAATACACCTGTCTACGACTTTCGGATCCTAGAAAAGCGACCTATCGCCATCCACCACCGGTCCTCCCCGCCGCGGATTACGGGCGCGGACCAGAGTCCGGGAAACGCCAGCGTCAAACGAGCCAGGAGTGCCGATATTGACGACGATAAGAGAGTCAAACGCCGTATATCGGGCCCGGATGATGATGCCAAGCTGGACGATGGGGCCGTCATGTTCCTGCCCGACCGGCTTGTCTTCCCTCTGCCAAATGGAAGAGATGGGGGGGGGGAGGGAGGGGAAGGAGGAAGACGCATTAGGGAGCTGGTACCGGCCAACAGCCACGCTCTTCTAGATGCGGACAAGGATGAGACTGTGGCGGTCACTGGCGTATGCGAGCTGGACAAGTACACGCTGACCAAGCACGAGCCCATCGCCGCTTCTCAACAGTCAGCTGTGTACACAGCATCACACTCCAAGGTACCTGACAGCGTCATCACGGTTAAAGTCCTGAAGACGCAGATGGCCAATGGCGGCGACAAGCCATACATGCATGAGCGCAGCGTGATTCGACAGGCCGACATGTGGCTGCGTGAGAGTCAGACCCAGGATGGCCTGGAGCATGGGTCTATTGTCAAGTACTACGGTGGCGACGCGCGCCATCTCTCGCTGTACATGGAACACGTGGATGCGCGGGATCTGACGGCCGTTCCGCTCTGGAGGTTGAGTGGCTGGTTCCAGGGAGGACGCGAGGATGCCGTGCGCATACTGTGTGACATATCGGATGCCCTGAGCTACCTCCACGGCCGCAACCTGGTGCACAACGACATCAAGCCCGCCAACCTCCTTTACTCGCCCGCCCGCGGCGCCGTCCTCTGCGACTTTGGCCTCTCCACACAGACCGCCAGGCCCCCACTGGGCGGTGGCACTCCCTACTATCTCCCACCAGAGTTCATCGGGCAGAAGCTGCGCGGCCCCCCGGCCGACGTCTGGGCACTTGGCGTCACCATGCTCTACGTCCTGCGGAAGATTCGACTGCCCGATACCCGAGCCCGGCCGAATGATCCCCGGCCTCTCTACTGGCAGATTGCCGCCATCCATAATGCCAATGTGCCCCATAAGCAGTATGGCAACGGGCAACCGGCCGCCAGCCAGATGCGCGCGTGGCTCGTCGAGGTGCACGACGCCAAGGAGGCGCTGGATACTCGTGACACCCTCGAGCGAGTCGTCAAGGATATGCTCTCCCCAAACCCCCAGAGCCGGATCACCATGGCCAGAACCGTCCAGGAACTCAGCGGCTTGGCCAAAGCTCAGCACCGACGCCAACAGCAGCAGCAGCGAGATCATCAGCAGGGTCAGCAGCAGCAACAACAGTCGACACCGACAGAAGCAGCAGCCGTTTAAGGACAGTTCAACACAGGGGCTTCGTTTCTCTTATCCTCTCTCTCTCTCCTTATTCTCGAAGATGCATTTATTTCACCTCTATTGTCTGCAGATACTTTTTTTCTCCTTTCGGGCCACAGCACTTTTCCATCTCTTCCTTCCCCTTCTTCTCTTTTTTTTTCTATTAGTAAATCCCCTGTGAGACATACTGCGGGCATGATTTTTATGATGGTATGGAATGATAAAGGAGTCATTGACGGATATACACACGAGTGAGTGGCATGGTTTCACGTGGAACAGCTGGATTGGACGCGATCAGGCCAAGTATAGAGTCTAAGTTGCTTATCACGCATGTTTTTTTTTTTTTTACCCTTCCTCTTCAAATTTCTGGGTCATTCTTTTTATGTACATACTACTATATGTTCTGCATCTTGGATATCTCAATATTGTTTTACTTGAACAATGCTGGAGCATTGTTCCATTGACACAAAAATGAAGATGGGTGCTCCGCAGTCCCGGGTAAGACCAACGACTCCATAGCACGTGACGTAAATGTACCAAAGTTGGGCGCACCCATGAAGCTACCAGCAGACAAAGGTTGCTTGCTGTCTATACAAAACACATCAAAACTCAGCGGTCTTCTTTTTCCTTTCATCTCCTCTTCTCACGATAACGAAAATAATGGATCCGGCCCGGCGAGCGATGATTGAGGGGTGGCAGTCACCACCTAAGCGAGACGTGACGTCGGCCAAGTTTGACCCGAGCAGACGCGTGACCAAGCCGGCGCGACCAGATCACGGCACGACCAGGTCATCTGGAGGAGGGAGGCAGCTGAGCGACCACAGCAGCAGAGGGAATAGCAGAAACGACAGAGGGAGCAGCAGGAACAACAATAGAAGAAACGGAAGAAACAACAAGGATCCACGGTACTTGACGCAAGACGAGCAGGAGCGGCGATTCGTCGCGGATGAGGACAAGTTTGTGCTGCGACAGTCAAAGAAGAAGGCGGCAATACGGGTGCGGGAGGGGCGTGCCAAGCCTATCGACTACCTAGCCTTCAACCTGGGATACATTGACGAGGAGCGTGACGTCCTGGACGACGAGGAGGCAGACGTGGACATTGACGTCCCGGCTCCTTCATCGGTGGTGCAGGACCTTGTCCAGACGGCGGCGGAGCTAGCGGAGCTGGAGGCCGAGATGGAGTCGTACTACGTTCTCGAGACCAACGGCAGGAACCGGGATTACTGGAAGGCGCTGAAGGCGCTGTGCGCGACGCAGCGGGCCAAGCTGGAACCCGTGGGCAGGGGCAGCAAGAACGAGGAGCGAGTGGTCAGCAGCGTGTCCGACGACATTGACCGCATCCTGGCCCCCAAGTCGTACGACCAGCTCGAGGCGCTCGAGGGGCAGATCAAGGCCAAGCTGCGGAGCGACGAGGACATTGACATCGACTACTGGGAGCAGCTGCTGAGGAGCCTGGCGGTTTGGAAGGCCAAGGCCATGCTGGCAAAGGTGTACGACGCCATTGCCGAGGAGCGGCAGAAGCGGCTAGAGAAGAGAGGCGGTTCTGGTTCCGGCGGCGGCGCCAGACCTGCTGCGGCGACACCCACTGCCTCTGCTGCAGCTCCGCGGACGGGTAGCCAAGGTCAGGAGAAGGAGAAGGAGCAGGAGCAGGAGCAGGAGCAGGAGCCGGAACAGGAGAAGCAGGAGCAGGGGCCAAAACAGCCCAGCGATGCAGCGGCCCGTCCGCGCAATGAACCCCCGCCCCCGGGGACAGCTCGCTTCTCACAGATGGAGGAGGGCGGTGACGGGCAAGGAGACTCTTCGTCGCAGTTGGCGACCACAGACGCCCTGTACCACCGGGAGGCGGCGCGTGGTGTTTCGGAGAACGAGGAGGTCTTCACGGCTGAGGAGGCCGTCCCCGGCGCCCGACGCCCCGCCTGGGCCGAGCAGCACCGTCCCCGCAAGCCCAGGTACTTCAACCGCGTCCAGATGGGCTACGAGTGGAACAAGTACAACCAGACGCACTACGACTACAGCAACCCGCCACCCAAGGTGGTTCAGGGTTACCGCTTCAACATCTTCTACCCGGAGCTCATCGACAAGACAAAGGCGCCTACCTTTAAGATCATCCGCGAGCACGGGCGACGCAGGGGAGAGTCCTTTGCTGCCGCCGGTGAGACGGATACCTGTCTCATCCGGTTCATTGCCGGTCCGCCCTACGAGGATATTGCTTTTCGCATCGTCGACCGTGAATGGGATTACAGTTCCAAGCGGGAGAGGGGGTTTAAGAGCTCATTCGACAAGGTATGCTTACACACACACCCATACACACACACACTGGACCGTTTCTTTTCCCATGCTTCTACCCACGCGGACCATGATCCATATTCCTTTCTTGCGTTTCTTTCTTATATCTTCTCGACTCTTCCTCCCCCAACATGGTAGCACATGGCTGCTGCTGCACTCCCCCCCCAACGGGGTGTCACAGACGGCCCAGCAGAGGATGGTTGATCTTGACATCTCGGCTACACCCTGCTCAACAAAGAAGCTTCTCACTGACCGTTCTCTCATACAGGGTATCCTGCAACTACACTTCCAATTCAAAAAGGTAAGCTCCCCCCTCCCCCCCTCCCCCCAACACACACACACAACACACAACACACAACACACAACACACAACACACAACACACACATACACACACACGTGCACACTGTGCCCCCTTACTGCTAGATCATCGATGACTGACTGATTCACCATCTTCCAGATCTTCTACCGAAAGTAAACGGCGGTAGTGGCGGTGGGAGCCGCATGCTCCTCGACTCTATCACCCACTATATAGGACGGTTTATAACACTACTCGGAAAAGGAGGCCTTGTAGAAGCAGTACGTGAGACGTCTGGTTCCCCCTACCTTGGCGAAGGCACTCCTGTTCCTGCTAGTTTACAGCGGCAAACATGGAGATTTTGTACGCCACGCATACCCAAGGAAAACATTATAATAAAACACGTAAATCTATCTCGAGATCGTCATTCCTCCCACTGTCTGTGAGCACGGTCCGTGGTGGGTTGTGTGTACAAAAGCTGAGGGACGACAACGCGTGGACGGCGACGAACGATTCTCTCAGGAAAGTCCCATAGTAGGTAGGATACAGATTCATGGTGCGTGTTGTCTGAGAACTCGACACAGAAAGACGTGAACAAGAGGAACATTGAGAAACGTCATGTTCGTTTCCATCGTCTTTTCGAACAACTGCTAGTGTCTCGTCTTGTCCCCCTCGACCGGGCGCGACTCGCTTATTGTTTTCCCACGACCTCTCTCTCTCTCTATCTCATCTCTCTCGTCTCTCTCATCCCCTACAGGTAAACTGGATGGCCTTCCATCGCTTGTGTTACACAAGAGCTCGCTCTTACTGACCTGACCCTTTGTTTTGTTTTGTTTTGTTCTGCTCTTCGCATCATGGTACACGCCCCTTCCCGGACGGCCCCCTTCCCTTTTCCTTGGAACCGGACTCCTTGCAAATCCACACTCCCTGTTTAATCTCGGATACATACACCTTGTTTCTATCATTTCTTCCCTGCCCCCCCCCCCCCCCCCCCCCCCCTCTCTCTCTCTTTCTACTCCTCTCGAATGTATCTAACGCTCCACGATCCATGTATTATACACACGGACGCCCCCGTGTAACGTCCGAGCCACCAAAAAGGAAGACTGCAGTAGCAACGTACCGATATCTAGATTTCAGCCTCTTCGCCTGCAGCCGGAGTCAATGGAAAGGCACGTATAAGAGGGACAGTCATGTATGAACGGCCGTGACACCTGTTTGATGCCTGCCTCACGTCACGAATGTTCTGGAAGAGAGAGATACATGGCGTGCATAGCACTGATGCGGACGGCTCTGCTGATATGTGCCTCTATCTAGCATCGCTCGCATATTGTTGGTAGGAAGAAGAGGGGGGGGGCGAAAGAAGGAGAGGAAAACATTCTCGGTGGACGGAGTCGTCCGCCGCGGATAGAAGAAGGACATGATAGATCAGACTCTTAGGCTCTGGCCAGACTCCCCCCGGCCCGGCCTCCCCGGCCCGCCCCCTATCATAGCTCACAATCATTGCTCCAACACACCTGGGGTCTGGCGTGTAAATCTCGGTCTCTGGGAGTATCTTTGCAGACGATCTGCTCACAGACGAGAAAGACACTCCCACTGGTATTGCCACGCTATGCTTAGCTGCACACCTGGAGCTGGAAAAGTGCCAGAGAAAGGGGGAGGGGGTTGCGTCCCATCGAACCTGGGTATCCGTCCGCAGTCCAGCGGTCGTATGCGAGCAAGGGAAACTACATCTGGTAACCTTGCATAAGAGTAGTGTATACGCGTCTCTTTCTCTAGGAAGCGAGTGGATGCTTCAGCTCGGCATACGTCCTGACCAGCTCTCGTTATCTTTTCATACGTGTACTCGGCAGTCGCTGGCTCAGTATTCTCCTTCCCCTTCCCTTCTTCGGTTATGTAAACTCTTGCGATCTGCAGCGTCACACAAGGCAAGCGGATATAAAGGGGTGAGAGTAAGGGCCCATCGAGCGTATTGCCACCTGTCATATCCCTCCCCCCCCCTAAATGCCCCTGTCCTGGCACGAAGGAATATCATATCTCGTCTGAGCCCCATCAGACCGATGGACACAGACAGCCAGGCAGAGAGAGTGACTGCATACACGCGCACGCCACTATCGCTACAAGACACACCACCTGTACGACACCCGTCACTTACTTCGCTCCGTCCTAGAGGTTTGTAAACGGCAGGAAGCAGAAGTAGGCCCAGTCGGTAGCATGGGGGATTGACTTGTGGCGTACTGCTAGCAGCGTTCTAGGCCGTCTGTTTCGGGAGAGAGAGAGAGAGAGAGAGAGAGAGAGGAGGAAGGAAAGTGGAAGGTATACACAGAGGTGCATATTGATGAGCGAGGTGCATTCATTCATGGTGATGCTCTTGAATAGACGCATCTACATGAAACAAGTTGGTACGCATGCATCGCAAGCTTCTCTCATCACGATTCCTTCCTTCCATTCTTCTCTTGCTTCTATGCGTATCACGGAACGCATGTCAAGGAATGCAGAGGGATTGTGAGTTCAAGGTGAAAGGGAGCCTCCTACATGCGTAAGGCTAGACAAGATGGCCATGCAGTTAATGTCCGTTGCCCCCTTCTAACCCCATCCCCAACCCTGACCCCGATTCCCCCCCCCTGGTCGCTTCTCTTCTCTACTCGTATGTAGGCACCCCACGTCTTCCACACACACACACACACACACACACACACACACCCCTCCTCGCTCTATTCCCGGGCGAGAGAGAAAGAAAAAAGTGAGCTGTAGTCAATGTCCATTCCCAGCTAAGTGCTAGATCTCCTACATCCCTGCCTGAGTTTCTCATCCGATGTGAGAGCTCATGTACATGGGCAATGTGCTGCTTGCCAGTCTACCTTGCGTTGCGCAACGACCAAGAGAGGGCTTTGCAACAACATCAACAAGAACAACGACGGAAACACCGTTGACGGGCGTCTTCGTGCCATCCATGTTATTTCGAAATACTACTACATGCTGCTACTACGTACCGTAACCGCCACTACTACTGATGAGTTACTGCACTCTGAACCGTCCGTGAATACATGTATACATACCTTTTACCTTGCTTGACAACTTTGTGGGACGATTATCAGTCTCTCTCTCTCTCTCTCTCTCTCTCTCTCTCTCTCTCTCTCTGTCTCTCTACACCCAGGGTTTAATCAGTCACATCACACAAGGTGCCCCGTCCACCCATCGGCTACCTTTACTTCCCTCTTCTTCCCATTCACTTGCACTTTTCCTAGGCATATTATACAGGCCAAGTCTCGTCCTTTGTCATAGACCAGACACATCTGTTTCCTCCTTCTCCTCTATCAATCCCTTAAACCTTCCCGCAGCAAACTTGTTTTCACCTTTCTCACCTTTCGCTTCGACTACCTCCCGGGGGGGGTTTTATTTTCCCCAGAAAAAACACACACACACACACACACACGAAAAAAAAAACAAGGAAAAGATCCAAACAAGTCATCACATCTCGACCTGTTCCTCCTCTCCAACTCCCTGTGTCGAGGGAATAACCTGGTACGTCTGCTGTATGGGCGAGATGGATCATCCGCCAACCTGCAGGGACGAGCGGCCCGAGGCCTACGCGGACTTGTCTCTCACGGCACCCATGCCCATGGAGGAGATAGATACGTTCTTCTCGATGCCCCAGGTGCACCGAGGATGGGAGGCAGCCACCTCGCATCCCTTCGGCCACTCCGCTCCCCAGATATCCCACGGAGATTCCTACCCACAGCACTTCCAGGGCCCGGAACATGCTCCCTTCATGTACGGCTGCCCGCCCCGGAGCCATCCTGCATGGAACGCACGACCTGCGGTGGTTGGAGACGTGGAGAGCAGCAACAGCAGAGACAGTATCCTATACTCCGATGATCAAGACTGCAGCGATGTCGATGCCCAGGGGGAGGCATGGGCTACTCCGGCCACCCCGTCTCAGGGCCAAGAATCCGCAGGATGCAACAAGGCTGAGGCATGGGAGGAGTTTTACCTGAAGAGCCCTGGGGCCGGTGATGGACACTCTACCTCCCTCGTCTCCCACGACGACGGTGGAATTTCCTTTGGCTGCAACGGCCCGGCTGGCAACAAGGGAGGATCCTACGGGTCGATATCGCCTCCGGCGGCTGGCGAGGCCTCTGAATCCTTGGATGGGACCGTCACGGACAGCCCGGAGACTCGAGGGACCGGGGAGCTTAGCTGCCTCGACGGGACCTCGTCAGAGAGGCATTACGAAGCCGGCGAGACGAGCCACAGTCAGCGGCGGCAGCAGCAGCCGGAGCAGCACACGCCCTACGCCCAGTACATCCACCGAGCTCTTATGGAGAAGGAGGACCACTGCATGTCCCTCCAGGAGCTCTACAGCTGGTTCCAGAAGAACACCAGCAAGTGCAAGCCCGGGGAGCGCGGGTGGATGAACAGCATCAGGCACAACCTGAGCATGAACGCCGTAAGCCCTTCTCTCCCCTCTCCCTCCCTCAGCTTCCAAGTCCCACCTGGGGCGATGTAGGGCGGCGCAGATGGAGATGCTGACATGTGTGGGACGATGACCTCTGCAGGGCTTCAAGAAGAAGGGAGCGCCCGAGTCCGCGGAAGGGGCCGGGGACGGTCCCACCAACGCCGAGACCACGCGGACCACGTCGTGGGCGCTCACAGAGGAGGCCATCGCCAACGGGATCCAGAGCACGACTCGCTACCGCAACAAGAAGAGCAACGGCGGAGGTGGGGTCGGCGGCGTGGGTGTCAGCCTCAGCGTCAGCAGAAATGGCAGCGGCAGCGGCAGCGGCACGAGGAGGCAGGACGTGCGCATTAGCCGACCGCTTGCTTCGGCCAATAACGCGTCGCCGTCTTCGTCATCGTCCTTGTCGTCGTCGTCGTCGTCGACGGCGGCCATCACCACGAGCATGTACGGAAATGGAACGTGCAGCAGGTTCGGATCGACAAGGGTGTCCAAAGCCGACGGCAAGGCGACCCGCCGCGGTCATACCGCAGCAGTCCAGACACCCCTGTCGCTCCCCCTCACCATACCCGGACACCACTTGGTCGCACGCCGGGCACTGTCGCCCACGGCGGCGGCGGCTGCGACGACGACGAGATTGGCTGCAGACGGGGCGTACGAGTACATGAATAGCGACGGCGGCAGCAGCAGCAGCAGCAGAAGCGACAGCAGCCGAAGCAGCAGCAGCAGCAGCCGAAGCAGCCAGATGCAGGTGTGGACGCACATGGGCGAGGCCATGATGCCCTCATTCTCGTCCTCGTCCTACTCTTCCTCCGCCGCAATGTCACCCCCCTCACCGCCAGGACCTCCAGAGGCCTTGCCGGCCTACCCACCTGTACCACACCAGCACCACCCCGTGGCAGGAATTCCGACGACGCAGGGACAGTACTGTGGCCAGGTCTACTATGATGGTGGTGGTCACGACAGTCAGGGATATCATCCATCCATGCATCCTGATGCGCCCGCCGCCGCCGCCGCCGCCGGGTCGCCTTCAGCCTTTCAGAAGGAGTATCCCCCCTTATGCGAGGGCGCAACCGCTGCCTGGCACACCGCCATGGCCATGAAGACGACGACGGTGGCGGCGAGCCCACCTCTCCCTCCTGCGGGAATAGTCCTCGACCACCAGTACGGGGCACCCGGTATTACTGCAGGGGAACCAGGCAGCCTATACAACGACCGCGACTGGCAGTTGACAGATGACGGTTACCAGCTCGGCCACCAACAACATGACTATTACCCATCCTGGGAGGTTCCACCTTACCCGGATATTCATGTCGACCATGCCGTCACCTAAACGAAAGCCGGCGCAGGAGTGCGAGAAAAAAAAAGAGGGAAGAGACAGAAGAAAGAGGGAGAAGAGCAAGGTTGGGATCTGAGAGTACTAAAAGTGCAATAACACACACTCTATGCTTGATGAGGATGGGGATAATACGCATCTGAAGGAGGGCAGGGAATTGTGGGAAAAGAAAAAGAAGAACAAGACATAAAAACCAAAAAAAAACCCTCCCTCCCCCCCCCCCCCCCCCCCCCCCACCCCGAGGAAACTGGTCATCGAATTGCACATGGTTTGCTCTTGATATCTGGTTGCTGATTTCCATTGATGTAATGTTTTTCTTCTTTCCTCGTTGGTTGTTGGCTGGTGATTGGTTTTGATAGACAAGAGACTCTGCGTATCACTATTGGCTTCGGACTGCGGTCGTGCTTTTCCCCTTCTCTGGCGTTTGATCTTACGTGGCCTTGATTCGGGATCCTGAGGGTATTCTCTTACTCACAATGAAGGAATGGGGCTCTTCGCCTTCTTCAATCAGTTCTAATCGAGCATGTTTCTAATATCCACGACTCGGACTATGTGCGGCGATCCTATCCTCTTTTGCAACTCTGTTTTCATACTAGGTTTCTTGCTATTTCTTCAAACCCCGATGATGAACAAGCTCCCTCTCTCTCTCTCTCTCTCTTCAATTCTCGACATGGTCTTGACGTCCATGTGGGAAACATGGAAGAAAAAGAAAAAGAAGAAAAGGTGCCGGAATGATCACAGGACATGTACGTCGTACGGATCAGGAGCATCTAATCTGTATCATGGTCTGCGTCGCTCACTCATCCCTTCTTTCATTTCCTTTCAGCTACCAGATGAAGCTTGGCATTCGAATATGGGATAGCCTGACGGCAAGTATTACCATCTTCAGACATGCTATTATGATATTATTACCATATGATGGGATGCACAGCAGCTCTTCCCCTCCAACCCTCAACCCCCAACCCTCCTCCCTCTTCTTTCCCAAGCCTTCCAGCGAGTTGACCTAATAGGAAATCAAGGTCGCGGTCGCAATTGGTTTCCAGCCTACCGGATGCATGTGTCTCCTGTCCCGGTTGGAACATAGAAAGGTCGGGTTGACAGCATGTGCGGCGGGTGCGGGTGCGGGTGCGGGTGCGGGGCCGGGGACCATTTATTCTTTCTTCTTTTTATTTCCATCCGGACATTGTTATCATCATGTGTATGTGTGTGAGTGGAGAGGTGATGAATTTTATGAATGGTAAGGCGACGCGCATCATTCATCGACGGTGACGCCCCATCCATCATCCATACACCCGAGGTACAGGTACATGTCCATCGAGGTCGCCGACTACGTAGGAATCATTACCGGGATTTTCCACCACGAGCTTCGTATCAATCATCATCACTGCATCGAGGAAGGGGAGAGGAGGAGTAGGCAGGCAGGTGGAGGAACCCTTGTCAACGTATCTAGGGGGTAGATCTCTCTTGCTGCGTGCATGTATTATTCCCGACATCAGGATGAACCAGGAAGATATGAAGGTTGTCTATAATATAATAATGAGCATTACTGAGTGAGGGATGAAAGAGTAAGGCTGATAATGTAGTACTCGTATTTCCTCGATGCCGACCATCTTGTCTCTCTCTCTCTCTCTCTCTCTCTCTCCCCTTCTCCTTCTCCTCTTCTCTTTCCATTGTTCGAAATGACTACATTGCAGGATAAAGAGAGAGAAGAGAGAGATAGAGAGAGAGAAATCGGCCGGCAATTCTCATGTCTTCAAGAGCCGAAGCTAGGTGGTTGAACTAGCTACTAGTCCTGTGGAAGCCGTTGTCTCTGGCAATTCTCGGGGTCCTAGGGATGAGACATTCCCTCCCTCTTTCCTTTCTTTTTTTTCCCTTTCCCTCTTCCATTTTGGGTCAGATGCGGCTGTATGGGTGTGTGATGGAAACCTCATATCCGGCCTTCTGGGTCCACGTGGGACATCCACACACGCCCTATGAGTGAAAGAGAGAGAGAGCGAGAGGGCGAGAGGGCGAGAGAGCGAGAGCGAGAGGAGGTTTCGAGGAGATGAGAGGGAAAACAAGGCCTTTCCCTTTTTTATTAGTAGCCGTTAAGCTATCGTTTGTATTGCGAATGTCGTGTTACATTGCGTAAATCGTCTCTTGGCCAGCCCCCCCCCCCCCCCCCCTTTTTCTCATCCTCCATAGCTACTGCATCGAGACTGAAAGAGTCGACGCATAGAGGCTTGCACATGTATTCATCCTTCCACGGTGGATTCGAGGAAGTACGAGGTGAAGGTCGGTGACCTATATCAGACTGACGTTAATATGTTCAGAGCCGTAAGAGTGTCGTCTAATGTCTCCAACATTCTGCCTAATATATATCCATCTTTCCATCTCTCCCTCCATTGGCTCTGCTTGCCTCATCGTCGTTTCCCTCGCCTCCCCTTCCCCTCCCTTTGGGCTTCAATGCTACGACAGCACAAAAGCTACCGCGCATACGATGTCGCCCGGGTGACTTCCTACTTGGCCCCTCCCGAAGCCGAGTGACACCGCTCATCTACGTATCTCCCTCCCTCCCCTGCCCGTCTTGATGGCTAAGGATACGAGCTGTGTGGATGGATGATATCCAGAGTATCCTCGTGTCCATGATTCACAAGATCCTCTATCCTGACTTGCTCATGGCGAGGTGGAGACCTAATAGTATTACTCCACTATCCAGTTGTGGTTGATTGTCACGTATATGATACGTTGATCATGCACCAACGGTCATCCCCGGGGGAAATGGAAAAAAGAAAGAAAAGGTCTGGGTAAGGCTGGGTTTGAGATGTAAGATGTGCGTACTGGGAATACCCAGGTGGCCGGTAGCTGGTACGACCGACCCCCCAATCAACCATCCTGCCTAGTCTGCTACCTTGCACATCTGATAACATACCCATATACCGATACTGCTTTTGGCCAGGAGGATGGGAGCATTTGAGCATTCGAGTTGAGAGCCGAGTTGAGAGGGGGGTTGAAGGGGGTGAGGAGATCACCGGACACGCCTACATTGGGCGCTCACACCAACCCCCCCCTTTTCTATATATTATATATTATTATCTTAATCTTAACCCCCTTGTACTCCGTATTGTATATATCACTCTGCCCTTATACTTCCCTCCCCGTGACGTTCTTTTGATTACGCTTGATGATGTGCGTCGTAATTGTAAATTGCAAATCCTACCATACCCGCAGCATCTAATGTGACCTGCTCGGATATCGGTTCTCTCTGTACGGGAGTCCCCTCTCCCTCTCCTCGTGGGTGGTGTATATGCCCTACGTGCTATTTCTCCCTGTTCCTCCACGGAACCTGCGTACGTACGTTGAACCGAATGCTACGTGAGGACACCCATCTTTTTATCGATCGTCGTATATTATATATATATATATATATATGTATGTATATATATGTGTGTGTGTATGTATGTATGTGTGTGTGTGTGTGTGTGTGTGTGTGTGTGTGTGTGTGTCTGGTGGCTGCAGTCTAAAGAAGGATACGAAACAGCTGAAAAGCCGGGGAAGAAGAGTAGTGACTACCTTGGATACCGTGGACAATGTATAGGGAGAGGAGAGGAGAACAAGGGCCGGGAGGAACTTGCTGCATGGCGTTTGCTTCATTACCTCGCGCATATCGCACATATCCCCCGAGTATTGCGAGAGAGGTAAGTAAGTAGAGATCAGGACACCAAAGGGACAGCTCCAGCCCTACTATCAAGCACACGCAAGTGTATGATTTAGCGCTCAAGAGTCCGGCTTCAGCTCCGACTCGTCGGTCCCCCGATATGATACATGATACACCCACTGCTCAGGAAAGGGAGTGGAAAGAGAGGAGCCATGTTTGATATCATGTTGAACCCCCCAGCCCTCGCCCCGCAAAGGCTTCCGTGTGCATTGCGGTCTACTCTTGCACGCCTGGTGCGTGCATTGCATTCGAAGAGCTAGAGATGAAAAATCAAGAAGATTAACGTTAAATATCAAGATAATAAAAAAAACAGTGGGAGGTTAAAAGAAAAAAAAAAAATCTGAGCTGCACATGCGTTATACTCTGTCGGCCTGTTGGAGCACACTTCCCACGCCCGGGGTGGCGTGTCGCATTGCTGATGCGCCCGTTCGGAATAGGAAATCTCCGTGGCGTAGATCGAGACCTCTCGCTTTCTTCTTCTCCTTCCTCTCTCTCTCTCTGATAGACCCCTTATTTGCGCGGTGCGAGAGGAAGGGGGATGGAGAACTTCGTGTCCACACAAGCACATTCCTGTAACCCTCTCAACGTTGTTCTCCCAAGCCACTTACTCTCCCCTATTTTCTACACATCACATGGAGGCGTGCATGCTCTACGTCCAAGCTTCTCTTGCTCCCAGGAACGAATGGGGACGGGGCGATTCCCTGAAAAGTATTAGCCAGGGGGAGGAGAAAGGGGGGGGGGGGCGCGTCGATCTAGGTAGGATGCTTTCGTTCGTGGCATGACGCGACAAGGACAAACAGGACAAATCGCGATGGCAGTGACAGAAGAGAGAGAGTCAGGAAACTTCATATAATCTTCAGGGAGATTCTCTCCTACAGTAAACGGAATTGGTCATCATGTACAGGTAGTATCGTTACATAGCATCTGTCTGTCCCGTTATTTTTTCCACATCTGCGACACGGACATCCCCCGAGATACCAAGGCCAGATCTTACACGACCACCACGCCACGCCGAGTCAGAGCCAGTACATGCAGTTGCCTCGTTGCAGGACGTTATGAGTGAGCACCGTACGCTCCTGTATCTTTCGTTTCCAAGAACAGGCTAGGTCGGACCTCGACCAATATCAGACGGGGATGGCGTCGTTAGTGTATGCGGGGGACCGTGCTCTTAGATGCGGAATACAGGAGATGATTGGGGGGGAACAAAGATTTAAAGAAAGATGGGGAGGGGGGGTTGTGCGGAGCGACGAGTTCGGACGCAAACGCAGCTGATCGTCAGAACATCTTCCCAATCAGAACTTCCTCTTCTTTTTGGAAGGGCCTGCTGCGGCCTTCCGTTCAAGTTCACGCTTGAGCTCCTCCCGCCTCCTGTCTGCACGTTCCGTCGACGTTTCTCTCGGTTCGTACCTGATCTCCCCCTTCCGGGTGGACCTTCCGCGTTGTTCTCCATCCTCTGCCTCCTCCTCCTTCTCTCTTGTCTTTCCTTGACCTATAATGCCCAGCTTGCGTGGCCGATGAGCGACGCTCTCTGGGGAGCGGCCCTGCGCAGGATAGCCATCTCTTGACTTGGGCGGGGGGGACGAGCCTCGCTCGCCACCTATGCGACCCAGCCTCCCATGCTGGGACGTTGCGGGCACTGGACGAGGTGGATTTGGTGCTGGAGACTCCGATACCTCCGAGGCTGTCTCATCCCCTTGCTCCTCGCCCACGTCCGAGGCAGTGTCGGATCCATCCGGATCTTGGGCTCTCTCTTTCGTCGCAGGGGCTTCTTCCTCCTCGACAGTCTCCTCCTTGGTCCCTATAGTGCCGGCGTATGTGATGGCAGGGGAATCTGGCTCATCCCTCTGTGCGGGAGGTTCCAAGCGCTCTCTGCGAGTTTCTTTTCTGCTGCCCATGGCGCCGACGCCGCCGATGCGTCTGGTGGGAGAGGCACTCTGCTCAGGCACTTCGTACTCCCGCTTGGGTGGCGGCGCAGGAGACGGCTCATCATCATCATCGCTCTCCGTGGGCATGTCATCGGCTGCGTGGTCCTGTTGTTTTTCTGAAGCTCTGAGATGCGGCGGTGTCTCCTGGATCTGAAAGTCATCGTCGTCCTCCTCGACAGGGGGGTCGGACGTCTCATCTCTAGCCTTGGCTGACTTTTGAGAAGGCTGAGACGGCTCAGTACCGCGAGGAATCTTCAGGGTCTGGTGCAGGTCAAGCCACCATCTGTCCAGTCTCTGTAACCCCTCACCTCCCGAACAATCACACCCTGGTACTTTCCGGGAAGGACCGAAAACGTCACCTAGCAAGGCTCCCGTGCTGTCGGGGCCTGTCTCTCGGTCCATAGCTCCCTGCCACTGACTCCTATCAAAGGGTGCGAGACCCTTGACTCTCGCCTCGGCGACGGATCGGCTGACTTTCCTGTTCCCCGAAAGTGGGTTGAAGACATGTTCGACTCCCATCCCGCTAGCCTCCAGCTTGTCGACGAGTTTTCCGATGACACGATCCTTGTCACGCAGCATCTCGGCGAGAGACTCCACCTCCCTCGCTCGGCTGTACTGAGCGTGAACCAGGGGAAGGACGAGAGACGTGGCGGTGGCCGAGGACGCGGCCTTCCTCAGATGTATCGGCCACTCAAGAGGCTTCAGCCCGGGGATGTCGCAGGTGCATCGAAGTGTGAGTCCGCCCTCCCCCGCATCCGTCGGTGAGGCTGATGACAGGCTCAGCGACGTCTTGTCGTGGCCGTCGTAGGTCGGGTCCAGAGCTGAGCGTACGGCAGAGAGGAAGATGGTCATGTTCTCCGGCGTGTCGCTCGGGTCGATGGTGGTGTTCTCTCCCCATGCTCTCATGCAGATGGCCTTGCGCTCGAGGCTCTCCACCCACGTGTTGGCCATGTCCGTGATGCGTATGGTGTAGTCGGAGGCTCCTGTCGAGATGGAGATGAGGAGATCTGGTAGCTCGGTCGAGGGAGGCAGCGGCAGCGGCCGCCATGCCGGTTGGGATGACATGGCTTTGATGAGCGAGAGATGACGTGTGCACCGAGGCCTGAGAGATCATCGCCGCATTCCATAGAGTGCCCGCCGGGAACAGAACATTCCAGGTCGATACCACGAGCAGGTTTGGGGGGGGATGAAACTATGGTGAGAGAAGAGCGATATTGAATGACTGCAAGAGTCCTATGGATGAAAAGTGGTGGCTGAGCTGATGTTTGGCATTGAGCTATGGGCGTGAGCGAGGCGTTGGGTGATAGTTCGATCTTCGCAGGCAGCAGCCAGGCACAGCCAAGCGCTCCGAGGCAACAGTGATGTCAGATTGGAAATCCAGCGGAGATTCAGTTTATTCAGGAGCTGCGGGTCTACAGGTATCATTACCATCACCATTGTTTCTCAGCTCAATATCCCAGATAGAGAGGGGTGGTAATCATGGAAAATTCAAGGTATATGATATACTCGATGTACGCGGTAATATTGATCACATAGTAAGAGTATTGGAGTTATCTATAAACAGGGAGAGAGGGACAGAGAACGAGAGAGAGAGAGAGGCATGAACTAAACGCATTTTTGCATGTGCCAACCGGGTGTTTTAATATGCACCAAATATCTCAAGCAATAAACAAAACGGCATATGCCACCGACCAACTCGCCTACTAAGCATTCACGTGATTGTTGCCCTACGAGCCTTACCGCCATCTTGACAGCAGTTGCCCAACGAAGGGTAGATGAGAAGGAAAATGTAGTTGGATGAAGTGCATCCTAGCACATGGCGGATAAGAACTTGGCATTGAAATCAATCTTCACCCGTAAGAGCCATCTGTTTGGATTCTAAACAAGCCGGACATGGCGTTGGGCGACTTCTTGGGTGACCATGTACTATCGGTCACGAACCCTTCGGAACATGGTTACCATCATGGACCGTTTCTAACGCAACGGTCTTCCTCTCTTCGTATATCACGAATCAATACGTTGATGTGAGTACGGTAACACAATATCCTGCCTTTATTTCATTCATCTGATTTCATTTATTTTATTTCTCATCTTCTAATTCTAAATGCTGAGCTGTTTAGATGTGACACTCCCATGGATGCTTCGAATAGGATGTGCGGTCGGTCGTTTCAGTCAACAACATCTGTAGGTATAAGACACTGATACCGGCAACAACCACATTCGCTGTCTATCTGCATAGTGCTCACATCGTATCAGTTTTATCGCCATCTTCGGAAGGCACATGCTCTACACATCGCACTCCCTAACCGGTCCAACACGTCTACCCAGGAGAGGGTCATCGGCGAAGAGTACGTCTAGTCCCACCCCGTATTAGTGCCTGGCTCCCGCTGCTGACTAGACATATAAAGTGCGATCCGCCGCTTTGTTCTCGAGGGGCACTGGAAGAATGCCCGTTATATGCACGAGCCCAAGAAGCTTGCCTACCAGTCGCTTCTTCTTCGCTTCGCCAACGAGTTTGAGGAGATGGCGTAAGTACACGTGCACGCCGCTTGTCCTACCTCGACTGTGCGTCCCGCCACACGCCGCTAACGGGAGTACAGGGAGGAGAATATCGAATTTGCCTTGAAATACGGAAGGGCATTTCATCGAGCCGGTTCCCGACCAGCCTTCAAGCAACGGTCCAAGCAGGCGTCGCCGCCGGAAGCTGCTGCGCATATGCAGGGACATTACGAGGATGAGGATAGCCGGGAATGTGCCAATCAGCTGTTTGCTGAGATGGAATATGCTAGAGGGATAGTGGCCAGGGATATTGCAGTTGCAGTACGCGCATGAGACGACATAGAAAGGGGGACGAGTTGTCTTGAATGGTGCCTGTTACTGACTTTTGCTCCTGACTTGTCCCAAGAACGGCATCATCTCATTACGTGCTTTCAGGTATTATTATACTAATACTAAGTCAATCTGGTACACATATTACTCGTGCATCCAGTCAACGACGCACTCGAACGTATCGAGTAAAGCGCGTCAATCAGTCGGCTGCACTAAGAAAGCACTAGTACCGATGATGCTACACACATAAAGAGTAGTTCCGGTGTAGTTTTGCCTGTTCCGCACTCGTATGTGCGGAGTGTTAGTAGAGGGTACTTAGATAAAGGTGTTACCAGTAATAGTAATCCATCGAAACCCGTATAATACGTCGCTGCATGGTGTACGTAGGCAGACCCTTTCTTTTCCTTGCCTCTGTAATATGACTCAAAAAGAGTCATCGTGATCTTGCAGCCTTGAGGTATTGCCGACCGCAATCGATGCTGATTTCCCATCAGTGTTCCTTCTCTGTCTTTGCCCATTTCAGGAAAATCGCTTATATATATATCATTTCGCATGTTGCTCCCCTTCCTCTCCATATTCTCTTCTCAACTCACGATCAAAGTCGGACATTTCCATCGACCCTCTAGAGCTCTTGATCTTCGCGAAAACATGGCGTCCAGCATCAACCCGTTGACGGCGACAGCTTCCGAGTTGCAGGATAGGCTCTGTAGAGACCACTTCAGCAGCAAGGACCTGGTCAAGCTGTATATGCATCGGATTTCCAAGTATGACGGCTACTTGAAGTCTGTCATTGCCACCGCGCCCGAGGATCTCGTACTCGAGACGGCATCCAGGCTCGACGAGGAGCGCACTCGGGGGATCCTCCGCGGACCGCTGCACGGGATCCCTATTGTCATCAAGGTACGATCCCGCTTACTCTATGCAGTACCGGTCAGCTCCAAGGTCTGACAAGCCCCTAGGACAATATCGCCACCGTTCCCGAGTTAGGCCTACCCACTACATGCGGTAGTCTGGCACTCGAAGGGTCCAGACCACGCAAGAATGCCGCCATCGTCGACAAGGTTTGGTCCCCTGTTTCCTGGGAAGAGTGACTTGGCTAAGCTGGTGAAGCTCATCGCGGCGGGTGTCATCATTCTTGCCAAGGCGAATCTAGCAGTTGAGTTCCATAGCCAACCGTTCTGAACCACCCCTGAAGGGACTGCCGCTCACGATGTTGTCCAGGAATGGGCATTCTACAGGTATGTCGATTCACTCATGTATGCCTGCAGCAGAAACCGAGGCCGCTCACGCCAACTTCAATGTGACAAGGTCCAACTCCGCCAATTGCGGGTGGTCTGCCGTTGGTGGCCAGACACAGTCAGCATATGTCCGCGGCGGTTTCCGTATGGACGATACCAACGGCGGTCATAGCGTAAGACGGGCACCTCCCTCTCCTTTGGCCTAGGTACTCATCCATGCTTCGTCACAGAGTCCCGGTGGCTCCTCCGGTGGATCGGCTGTGGCTGTTTCCGCCGGCCTGTCTCCCTTAGCCATCGGTACCGACACGATGGGCTCGCTCATCGCACCTAGCGATCGGGCAGCCCTGTACACGATCAGGCCCACGCTCAAGATCGTGCCGCAGCAGGGCATCATACCCATCACGCTCGAGTCCGATTCGGCGGGGCCCATGGCAAAGTCGGTTCTCGACTTGGCCCTCTTGCTAGACGCCCTCGTCGATCCGACTGCGACAGAAGTTCCGGAGCAGGGATACAAGGGCGCCGTCACGGGGAAGTGGGGTGATATCCGTATCGGCGTCATCGAGCCTAGTGACGAGTGGCTTTTCCAGCGCGACTTTGTCAAGTTTGAGCCTCAGGCATCGGAGCAGATGGTGAGTTCACGCAACAATAAACAAGATGCATATCAAGAAGGCCGTTCATTGACAGCAGAGAGGGAGGGCTAGCAACGTGAATGGAGGGCAGCGTACAAGAAGCTGGCTACTGTTGCCAAGGTCGTCAAGCCCATCAAGCTTATATCCCCCAAAGAGGCGACCGTTGATGGAGCAAGGAAAGTCTGGACGGCATTTGGTATTGGCAACCGGATGAACCACATATACTTGCGGATATCCTGCATCGAAGCTAACCTTGTGTGCTCACGCAGATTCGACTTTCAAGGGACTTCTAGAGGAGTACCTCGCCAGCGTGGATGACTGCAAGGTGCGCACCCTCGAGGAACTCGTCCAATTCAACAAAGACCATGCAGAGAAAGAGCTGCCGCCATGTAGGTGCTTCTTCCAGCTTGGCTCTTTCCTTCCAATATTCCTCTCCCTCTCTCTCTCTCTCTCTCTCTCTCTCTCTCTCTCCGAGGTCTTGAGAGAGATCGCAGGATAGCAGTCACTAATACGCGGGATGTTTGTTGAAAGGCGCCGACAACCAGGACACCTTGATCCGCGCACTAAGCGCACACATGCCCGACGACGAGTACCGCAGCATCATATCGTCCGCACGAGAACGATGTGGCAAGAACGGAATAGACAAGGCTCTCGCAGAGAACGACGTCGACGTCATCATCGGTCCCGGCGATGGCCCTATGTTCTGCGTCCCAAGCACGGCAGGGTATCCTGTGGCTTCGCTGCCGCTGGGATATTTGGACTTCAACGGCCGGCCGTTTGGGATGCAGATTACGGCAGGGGCACACCAGGAGGCACTCATTATACAGGCTCAGAGTGCGTGGGAGCATACTTTTCCCTTTCGGCGACCGCCGCCTTTGGATGATATTGTACCCGTCAATTCTACAGTCTAAAGTCACGTTCGAGCGTGACCAGGGATCATTCAACACCACAGTGCCCTTGGTCTAAGACGAGTTTCTTCTGAACAGACATCTCGTAAACGTCTCATAATGATATTGTTATAGCGTACGCACATACAAGACACCTTTACAGCTCTCCAGAAATGCACCCCCCGCTGTTTTGCATGTGTCTTTCCAAGATTGAGAACAGGCCGCCCGCGCGCTAGCGCCAGGTCTCGCGATCTCCAGGATACTCGATGACGACACGGAGATCGAACTCTATGCCGTGCTATTGGAAAATCGCTGTATTTATGTAAACGTGCCACCTGGTAGCCGCACCTCCCAGGTATTCCGCTATATATCAGTTTTAATTTGCCGGTTGCGTCAGTTTGACCACCACTTGTCATCTTTGTTTTGGCCGAACAGCAGTATTTCACATACACAGGTTCACAGCGATGCCCTCCCACGCCAAACGCAAGTCAGCCTCCCCGCCCAACGGCCACAATACTAAAAAGGCGAAGAAGATTGGCGGTGGTACGTCCTCGCACCAGCATCATCCTCTTGCAGAGGAGGCAGAGGAGCACGGAATCGTCCTGCGCAAGTACTACCCTCCTGAGATGAGCAATGCTCGCGCCCAGGCCTACACGGATCAGGAGTTACCCCGACCGATTGAGGAGCTACAAGCGGCGCTCGAGGAGACGGCCAAAGAGCGGAAGGCCGTCAAACCAGACAAGGCCATGGTGCACTGGTTCAAGATGGACCTGCGACACGCGGACAATACATCCCTCGCGCTGGCCAGCCGGCGGGCCCAGGAGGCTGGCGTTCCGCTTGTATGCATGTACCTTGTCAGCCCCCAGGACTTCGAGGCGCACTTGCTCTCGCCAGCCCGAGTGGACTTTATGCTGCGGTCGCTGGCTGTCCTCCAGAGAGATGTTGAAAATCTGGACATCCCGCTGTACGTGGAGACGGTGGACAAGAGGAACGAGGTGCCTGACCGCGTGCTCGAGCTCATGGGCGAGTGGGGTGCCAATCACCTCTTTTGCAACATGGAGTACGAGGTCGATGAGCTGCGCAGGGAAGCATACATGGTTCGCGACCTGTCCGAGAATGGAAAGTCGTTCGAGGTGGTGCACGATACGTGCGTGGTGCCCCCGGGGAGCCTGCACACGGGCGCGGGGAAGCAGTATGCCGTCTACTCGCCCTGGTTCAGGGCCTGGCTGGCCCACGTGCACGATAACCTCGGCCTGCTAGAACTGCGTGAGCCCCCCGTGGCAAATCCGAAGAGTGCGCGCAAGGATTTCGCAAAGCTGTTCGGCTGCACGATACCCGCACCGCCCAAGGACAAATCCTTCATCTCGGACGAACAGAAGAAGCGCATGCATTCCCTCTGGCCATCCGGGGAGCACGAGGCACTTGCACGCCTGGAAACGTTCTGTAAGAGGAAGATTGGGGAGTATGCTGACGCACGAAACACTCCTTCGGCAGACGGCACGTCGTGCATGTCAGTGCATCTCGCCAGCGGGACAGTCAGCTCGAGGACGTGCATCCGCACAGCGAGGGACAGGAACACGACCAAGAAGCTCAATGGCGGCAAAAATGGCATCGCCAACTGGATCGGAGAAGTGGCCTGGCGGGACTTTTACAGGCACGTCCTCGTCGCCTGGCCTCATGTCTGGTAAGTACTTGCATGCAAAACGCAGGAATGACATCGTCATTAGATTTCTGACAGATTGCCCTTGCAGTATGAACAAGCCGTACAAGCCTGCCTACTCGAACATTGCCTGGTCCTACGACAGGGAGCACTTCTCCGCGTGGTGCGATGGTCGCACGGGCTTCCCCATTGTCGACGCGGCCATGCGCCAGCTCAATAGCACGGGGTACATGCACAACCGGTGCCGGATGATTGTTGCATCGTTCCTGTCCAAGGACCTGCTTATCGACTGGCGCATGGGCGAGCGTTATTTCATGGAGCACCTAGTCGATGGGGATTTCGCGAGCAACAATGGTGGCTGGGGGTTCAGCGCGAGCGTTGGGGTAGATCCCCAACCCTACTTTCGCATATTCAACCCGCTGCTGCAAAGTGAGAGGTTCGACCGCGACGGTGAGTATATTCGCAAGTGGGTGCCTGAGCTGGCCAATGTCGAGGGAAATGCCATCCATGAGCCTTATGCTCGGGGAGCTGGGGTCGAGGCGAAGAAGGCGGGATATCCGGAGCCAATTGTTGAGCACAGGGGGTGTCGGGAACGGGCGCTGGGTGCGTACAAGAATGGTCTGGAGAGTGGCATGTAATGGATAGCTAGATTAATGTTCCCCCCGAATAGCAATAATAGTGAAGCATCACAAACGTCAGAAAAGAGAGATGAAAACATGTGTGACCCGCATCTGTACCATGGTTAGGAAACTCGCACACCACGGCTTTTTAAAAGGCCATTTTCAATCTGCGGCACGGAAGACTATCAAAGTAGCCTCAGACGCTCCCGGTTATTTTGTTAAGCAGAGACCCATTGGTAGGGTATTCAGCCACCGAGGATGCCTTTGCTAGCCGGTTGGAAGGAGGAAAAGAAACAAAAAAACAAAAAAGACATGAAAGGGGTAGTATTATTACTCCATAGAAGTGTAGTCACGTAATGTTGGCGCATAAACACCGGGTATTTGGTGTGTACATCATCGAGGGGCAGATGCATGATTCCTTGTCTCGAAAACCGAGTCGAGCACGACGCCCTCGAGTGGAGATTGCTAAAGCTCTGCGCATCCATGCGTTGGTAAAAGGAAGCTGTGCTCCATCTTCCCTGCAGTGGCGGGGACAAGTAAGTATCGAATCAAAGTGGCAAACGAAAGAAAAAGACAAGATTCGTATAATCATTCGCTGGCACACGCCGAAAAGCATCCGTCGGAGAAGATCGTGTTGTACGGGTTGCGACAAGAGCTCGCCCTGGATTTTTTATTCATTTGACATTTTATTGTTTTGTCCCTCCTCGTCTAGCGACATAGCTCATTTGTTTGTTTTTGTTTTTGTTTTCGTTCCGTGATGTTCCCCGCTTAGATCCTCTGGCCGCTCCAGACGTTCTTGAGGAGACCGTCGCGCTGAGCGAGGCGGTTCAACGAGTCGTCGCTCTCGCCCATGGCGCGGATGAAGCCGCACAGGGCATAAACGTGGTTCTCGCCGGTGATGGCGCGGCCGTTCTCGTCAACCTTGGCGATGGAGATCTGGACAGAGGCGTGGTCCTTGGCCTTGATGATGCGGTTGGTGGCGCTGCACTTGCGGGGGACGTAACTGTTTGCAAGGTCAGCATTTCCCCATAGGAGTAATGATTCGGTTCTCCCTTTGGAAAAGGAGAAAGAAATCGTAGAAAACGGGGAGTCTCACAGGTCCACAATCTCGCCGCGGTCGTTCTCCATTGTGACGTTTTTTTTGGGGGGGGGGAGGGGGGTTGTTGTGGGTGGTTTGAAGGGTGTTTAGAGAGTAGTAGGATATAATTGAAATCCTGGCACTGAAATTCAGTGTGGCCTAGCAAAAATTCGTGGGGCTGCCAGGGCTATTTGTGCGTCATGTGACCTCTCACGTGTTAGCGTGCCAGTCTCGCGACCCATTTTCTTATTGAGATGTACCCCCACTTCCGGGGAAGGAGATACGTACCTTTTTCATCTACGCGCCTTCCCACGCTTCACGTAATACGCCCAATGCTCCTGGCATTGACGAAGTCCCTGTATCATATCATGGTACCAAGGCCATCAACAGTCATGCCACTATCACCACAAGGATTCCTGCAAAGCTAAGTCTTCTGCAAAAGCAAATCACAACGACAACCGCTACGTCACCCACAATATTGCTGCGCGCAAGGGGGCTGGGAGGCGGCGCTCTGCGCTCTCGCCTTCTCGCAATGTCCTCGCCGAACCCGTTCCAAACACCCCTCACGGCGCGCGACTACCGCCCGAGCATTACCAACACGGCCGCCGGCGCATCATCACCTGACCTCCCCGACGTGAACCAGCTTCTCTCCCAGATTCCAGGTCGACAATCCGCAATCCAGAGCGGAAGTAAAGCCCAACCTATCCCGTCTCGTGCCTCGGCCTCTTCCTTCACCACTGCCGAGGACCGTTGGAGATCTACCCAGTCCGAATGCTACGCGGAGGCTTCAGTAGTCGAGGTCGAGCCTGAAAATATACCCAAGCCTACCAAGGGCAGACAGCGAAAGAATCCGGCCGAGACAAGGTGTGATGGGACAACAAAGAAGACGATCAAGAGAAGGACGGCAGCTGCGAAGGCTACGGATGAGGGTACCGATGCGGTCGACGACGGGACCAAGGGAAAACAGTCGAAAGGTGCGGAAGCTAGTAAGAGGCCTGCGGCCAAGAATACGAGAACGAAGAAGAAGGGTGGTAACGGCGATGGTGGTATTCAACGACTTCAATACCAAGAGAACGAATCGGACGACGTCCTTCAGCTGGAACATGCGACGACGCGGCGGGTGGACTGGACGCCACCGCATGAAAAGCAGCAGCCATATCCGCCGGTTGCTTCCGACGTCTCTGCAACGCAGGATGCTACGTCCTCAGCACAAGATGGCGCCCAGACAGCTGCCGTCTTCACGAACCTGCTCGAAGACTATGGCTGCAACGACCAACTGCCCCGGCAAAACTCGGCTGCTCCGGAGGATACATCGTCCTTCCTCAAGAAGCGCAAGCTCATCGAAGTGGTCAGCATCGGTGACTCTAGCCGGTCGCGATCGGAAACTTCTGTCTCCCCAACCAAGGAGAAACCCGCCAAGCGCAAACCGCGTACAATCACGGAACTAGCCACGGCCGCGTATCGACCTTTCACACCGAACGAAACGACTGCACCACCGTCTGGCTCTATGCACGCTGCTCCTGCCCCCGGAGCACCAGGTGCTAACGCCGTTAAGGGAGCGCTGGGGAAGAAGAAGGCACCAGCGGCCAGGAAGTCGAGAAGGAAGCCGAGGCCGCCGTCGCCGATTCTCCTCTCGCCTAGCTCGGCTCTGGCGCAGGTATCAAAGCAGGACTTTGTGTTTGGGACTTCAAGCCAGCTGGTCAGGGAGCAGTCGCCGACGTTCCTGCGCGACATCCAAGCTGCTATCCGGGACTCGAATCAAATGGGTTGGGACCCGGCCGACGATAACGTCAGGGATGGAGATCGGTCTCTGGAGCGGCGGAGAAGGCTGTGGGAGGCTGGTGCGCGTGACGTTGACGGACGGCTTTTCGACATGGAAATCGTTGACCATGCCAAGACACCTGCTGAAGGGGACCATATCGACAACCCATTCAGTTATTCGAAGCCTGAGGCTGAAAGGATCGATGCCGTCCCCGGAAGTCCACATGACGATCCTTTCGAGACATTACCGGACGTCCTACCACCATCTTGCCATAAACTAGCGGAGAAGCCGGTCGAGCTAGACGTACGAGGGGCGAATGTCGATGTCGCTGTCACGGTACCTCCTAAAGTCGAAGACGATGGATTTGAAACTCTTTCAGACATCCTGCCGCTACCGCCGCCGCCTTCTCAGTGCCCAGCCGAAAAGTGGGCAGAGCCAGAGACACCGGGCGCCAGTGCCGATATAGGTACAGCGGAGGATCTTCAAGGCGAAGACCTCGAAACCCTTTCAGATATTCTGCCGGCTATGGCCCCTAGGCGATCGCCGCCAATAATGAACGATGACGGCATACCTTTCTCCAGCAGCCAAATCTCGGTCAGCTCAGATTTAGGTCGACCGATGACCACCAACGAGGCATCCGAGATGCTTTCGAACCCTACGATTCCTACACCAACACTGCAGACATCTACTGCAGCCCCCGAACCATCGCGCCAGCCCCAGTACGATATGTACACGGATGCGCAGCTAGCGAGTGAAATCAGGTCGTACGGATTCAAGCCAGTAAAGAAGAGGATAGCCATGATTGCGCTTCTCGAGCAGTGCTGGCAAAGTAAACATCCGCCAGGGATCGGCGTCCGAACCGTCACGACCTCTGCCAAACCGAGCCACTCCGCGGCCGTTTCTGTCAGTCCAAAACGACCGCGCGGACGGCCTAGGAAGAACATCCCTGCCATGTCCCAGACACCACAGGAGCCGCCACCCTCGGCACAGCCGCCATCCGAATCGCCAGCCAAGCGACCCCGCGGACGACCCCGCAAGACTGCATCGGCGGCATCACCGTCCAAAGCCGAGGCCAAGACTACAGCGGTCCGAAAGACGACCAAGGCAGCGACAACTCGATCCCCGTCACCACCATCTCAACGCAAGTCTCCCACGACACCAAAGCGCCATGCTTCCCCCAAAAAAAACAAGACGATTATCGAGATTCCCGACTCAGCGTCCGACAACGACAGCAACATGTTCGCATCGCCCGCGTCAACGCTGTGCGACCAACAGACTTTCTCCTCCCCTTCACAGGGTATCGATCTCTCTGTCACAGTGGACGACGATGCAGAAAAGTCCCTCGCAGCTGCAGACATGAATGATGATCAGAAAGAGGCCGTCTTATTCGACAAGGTGACACGCGCAGTGACCACGGCCCCCCGATCGACGGACCCGGCGAACCCCTCCTGGTATGAGAAGATTCTCATGTACGACCCCATCGTGCTCGAGGATATAACCGGGTGGCTCAACGCGGGACAGCTGTCGAGGGTGGGATATGACTGGGAGATTAGTCCCGGGGAGGTGAAGAGATGGTGCGAGTCTAGAAGTGTCTGCTGTCTCTGGAGGGTAAATCTGCGGGGGAAGGAGAGGAAGAGGTGTTGAGCCGTTTTCTTCCCTACTCCTTTCTCATATATATATAGGATTCATGGTGAGCACTTCGAGCCTTGTTTTTTTTTTTTTCAGGTTTGGCATTTACGTTATATGGATGGCGCATTTTCTAGGATTCAACGACTATGTAGTATTACGGCTCAGGTATCACAGGGTATGGATATATCAAAGCAGAGCTGGATTCCCTCCCTAAGCCGTCTGAAACTCATTGGAATGCCTAACCCTTGTAGTGTTTCGTGTCGATGGGTTCTGAGACGATGCAGGCCCTGCGTGGATCAGTAAACGATGCCGTCAATGTTGACATCATCGTGTACAGTGATGAAGGCCGATTGACTAGACTGGATAATGATGTAGATCAACCTGTACCAGATTAGGTATTATACTACTAGCAGTTACAAGGGATAGAATGAAGATGGGATCAATATCAAAGAAGGATGAGAGGACAAATACGACGATCCAATTCTCCCAATATCCAGCTAAAAAAATGGAAAGAAACAAATAAAAAGGTCAATTGAGGGGAAACAAAGGCAAAAAGCCTCGGTCCACGGCTCACGCCTCCCCGTAGTTCTCGCTCTGTTCTATCTCTCTCCCTTTCACTCTCCCCTCCTCTCCACCGCAAAAGAAAGGGACAGAGGCCAGCATATAGGAAGAAAATGACACGGCTGCCGACCCCGTGGGGTAGAACCGTTCCATCAATCTCCCGTCTGACGAGCACGTTCACTCACAGCACATTCACCAACTACATGATAATATATCGCTCCTCTAGAGCAATGTCTTCGTCACCATCATCAGGTAAACCCAGACGGTCACCGCCCCAGATCCCCCGACCGAGCTCGTCGGTCGTCGTGGTATCCCCGGATAACCAGGTCCTGCTCCTTCACCGGGTCAAGACGTCGACGTCGTTTGCGTCGGCCCACGTCTTCCCCGGCGGCAACCTAGACGCCTTCCACGACGGGGACATACCGCCGCCAGGGTCCCCGCTGAGGCACGAGGACGGGCGCGCGTACAGGCTGGGCGCCGTGCGTGAGTGCTTCGAGGAGACCGGTATCCTCCTGGCCAGGACCGGAGACAAGGACGGTGACCTCGTACATCTCGGGACGGCGGCGGAGCGCGACGAGGCCCGTACCAGAATACATGGGAATGCCGTGCGCTTCATGGACTTTGTCGGATCTACAGGTGGTGTTCCCGATATAGGTAACTACTCTCTCTCTCTCCGATTCTTCTTCTTCCTTTCTTCTCTTCACATCTCTATCTTCCTTCTTCACTTCTTCTTCTTCTTCTTCTTCTTTCAAAGGAAAATCTGACAAGAGAGACCAGATAATCTAATCCCCTTCACCCGATGGATCACACCGGCCAACGTCCCAAAACGCTTCACCACCCAAATGTACATCTATCTCCTCCCTCTCGACACCACCCTCCCATCCGAGATGCTCGTGCCCACCCCCGACGGCGGGGTAGAGCACACGGCCGCCACCTTCGCCCACGCGTCCACCTTTCTCGACCGCGCAGCCGGGGGGGAAATCATCCTGTTTCCACCCCAGGTCTACCTCCTGCACCACGTCGCCAGGTTCCTCCCCGCTCCCGGCGACGGCGACGGCGACGGCTCAGCGGATCACAGAGCTTCGCAGCGAGAGAGACTTGTCAACTTTCTACGCGCTGTGCCTACTACTTCTTCCGCTGCGGCCCATGGGCATCCGACGTCGAGAATCGCCTGGGCAGACAAGGTCATCAGTCCGCATACGCTGTTCCTCCGCAAGGCGGATGGCAGGGTCGTTCTTGGACTGGATAAGCCTGGTCCTGAGTTGGCAACGACATCCAGGGGCGGTGACCACGAGAGCGTCGCCCTCGTCCGGTTTGCCGAGGGGGGACTCTCGGACGTGGAGATTCGCCTGCGCGCTCATGTCTTGGCCGAGGAGAAGTCCTACAAGGATAAGTTGTAATGGTGAGAGGAGGGGAGCCTTGCCCCTTCGAGAAACTCTTCTGGTATATAAACATGTGTATGACATAGATGATGGACTCTAATTGAATGAGATGGATGGGATGAGCTACTTGGCTGTCATGTACACGTGAGATTCCTTTTTTCCCCCATTTTCCGAATCCAAGCTGCTACTGCTGCTTCATTGTTAAACTTCCCTTCACGTGAAACTAGATCCAAATGGCGCACCAGGATGCCCCAGATTATCGTAGAAATGCAACGTTTGACTCCAATCCTGCCAATCAAATCCGCTATCCATGACATCCTGATCGGCATTGCTGCTCCCGCTCCCAATCCCGTTCCTATTCCCATTCACATTCACATTCTCATTCTGACTGTCCAATGTGACATCCATAGCGCCGGCATCGGCATCGGCACCGACACCGGCACCGGCACCGGCACCGGCACCAGAGGGAGAAGGACCGTTCTCCGTCCCGCCCCAGGGGTGAGACCACATGAAGGGTGGGAGGTCGTCGTCGTCGACGGCGGTAGCCTGGGCTTGCAGAGCCAGGGCCTGCTGCCGAAGGGAGTTGTCCTCTGTGTGTTTGCGGTGCTGTCGCTGCGGGCTGGGACCGGCGGCGGCGGCGGCGGCGGCGGTCGTCGTGGCTGCGGTGGTGGTGGTGGTGGTGGTGGTGGTGGTGGTGGTGGGGGTAGCGGGCATGTCGAGGCCGTAGAGGGTGGTGATGGCGGGGTTCGTGGGTTGGGATAGCATGTCCTCTAGTATCTGCATTGCCTCGCTGGACATTGCCTGCGGCTGTGCTGTCGTTGCCTGGGCGTCGGAGCCGGTGATGTTGCCGGTGGTGGCGCTGGGTTCCGGGCTGTCTACCATGGCGCCTGGACTTCCCACCCAGGCCGCCCTCTCCCTGTCCGGCTGCACGAGAGCCCACCACTTCTCCCGGGCGGTTTCCGCACGGTTCTCCGGTCCGGGGATGGGGTTGAGCCGCATGAATACATGGTTGGTCTGGTACTCGTAGTCCAGGCGGCGGACGCGGTCCGGGTCGCTGCGCAGCCTGGCTACCTCGGCCTCGCGATGCTTGCGGGCGCGCACGTACAGCTTCCGCAGCGGCAGGAAGATGACGTTGTGGTGACCCGCCTTGGCCATGTCGGCGGCGTCGCGCTCGAACGAGGCGACGGCCTGCCACGAGCGCTCGGCGATGGGCGACCAGGCCCGGCGGCACACCTCGATCAGGTTGAAGGTGATGGCGTGCCAGCTCGTGTACGTCATGAAGAGCCAGCGGAACTGCTCGCACTTGGGGTCCGTCATGAGCGTGCGGCTCACCTCGACCACCTCGATGGCGGCCGCGAAGACGCGGTTGCGCGTCTCCTCGGGGAGGCCCGTGCTGGCGCCGGGGAACACCCGGCTCTGGTACAGGTGCAGCGTCATGCGCGCCGCAATCACTCGGCAGATCAGGCCTGCCGTGTACATCTGCGAGTCCGTCTCCTCGACGTTGGTGAAGAACTTGGTCTCGACCTTTCGGTACACAGCCCCCAGCAGCTGATCCATCTCCTGCCGGTTCACGACCCCGCCCTTGCACACCATCTGCGCCAGGTACTTTCGGGAGAAGGTGGCGATCTCGTACCGTGCCAGGGCGAGCGACATGTCGGACCGGCCTTCCCTGGGCTGCGGCCACTCTTTGGACGAGGGCGATATGTCGGTGTCGTTGATGTTGAGGGGCTGCTCGGTGTCAAAGGTCGCTTCGGCAATGGTCAGCTCGGTCCCCAGCTCCTCGGTCGATCGGAGATCCAGCATGACAATGGCCCACCACACGCGCCTGCGGACCTCGGTCTCGAAGGGCGTCAGGTCAAACTGAGAGCCGTCCCGATGCAGGCCCATGCCCTTCGCTATGCGCACCACGAGACTCGTCAGCGTCCAGCAGAACCGGCTGTGGTCGACTCTCCGGGCAGTGAGGAGGAGCAGCGTGAAGGCCTGCAGCACCACCAGGTCGGACGTGTGCAGGTAGTTGGCCTTTGCCAGGGACTGCTCGAGGGCGAAGCGGTGTTGTCGTAGGAGGTCGTCTCTGTTCACGTTGAAGTTGGACATGATCTGCGTGCGCGTGTGAGCATTACTGTTCCTGGATTCCTTCTTCACGAGCCGACAGCAACAACCCACCTCGTCAGCGGTAAGGGAGACGACGGCGCTGAAGTAAATGGCAAACACCAGAGCCTCCTGGCCCGGTGTGAGCTTGTCGGGGTACTTTCGAGCGTCGCGCATGATGGCGTCGGCGGTCGGGACGTGCAGTATCTTGACGATGGGCTCGACGTTCTCCTGGTAGACGGACCAGAGAAACGGAACGTGGGAGGGCATCGGGTGGAAGGCTCGAAGGTTGACGTCGGCGGATCGGTATCCCAATATGAAACCATGATGATCCTTGGCGGAATCCTCTCGTCTCTCGGGTGTCTCTGCGGGTGACTCCTCGTAATCCGTCTCATCCGAGTCCTCGTCGGACAATCGGCGCGTATCTTCCCGCAGGGCAGTGAGCTGCGCAGGCAGGCAACACATCAGTAAATCGATTCAGCAGCATGGGCGGAATCGGCGAAGGATCAATGACTGCGATTCTCACCTCATCGTTGAGCCTTGCCCAGAAACCGTTGGACACGTATCGTGTGTTGCCTTTGTGATCATTGAGCACCAGTCTGCCCAGCTGGGCATGCGTCTCCGTCTTCCCGAAATCATCATCGGCACCACGCTCCTTGTCCCAGGCACTCCGGCTCACGGCCAGGAGGTTCTGAGAGGTAGCACCACCGGAGAAGTCGGCCGCCGCCGCCGCCGCCGCCGCCGCCGTCGCCGTCGCAGTAGCTGCTCCCGTCGTGGCGGCGCGCCTAGCCGACCAGAGTCCGCCCACAGGCTGTGTGCCGCTGCTGGGCGAGTTATTCGGCGAGCCACTCGAGGAGGAAGGGCCCTTCCCGCCAGACTCGACCTCGAGCTGGCTGCTCAGCTCCTCGACGATGCCCTCTAGCTTGCGCAGACGCTTGACCAGCTCGGCTTCTCGCTGGCTGGAAGGCTTGGGCGGCGCATTGGGATCCTTGGGACGGGGTTGACGGGGTGCTCGGCCGGGGGCGGGGAAGACGCAGGGGATAAGGGCGCGTCGGCAGTTGGAGCAGGGCATCTGCTTGTCGCAGCGGACTTTGCGACGGCGGCAGGTGACGCACGACCGCGGGTTGAGCCTGGGGTTCCCCGATCCGTCGGCCGACATGATGGGGCCTGTGTAGGCTTCCGGGCCGGTGGTCTGATAGACGGTCGCACTGCCGGGAGGCCGGCGAGAGGTGTGCGGCGTGGGTGACGGGAGTTTGGCCGTGGCGGCGCTGGCCGTCGCATCGGTTGCGGGGTCGTTGGTGGGAGTCATGGTGAGGTGCGAGTCGTTGGAGGAGGAAGAGGGAGTGGAGGGTATGTGTGCGTATCTGTAGCATGCGTGCAGCAGTCCCGCGTGGCCCTCAGCGACGTCGACACTGCTCGTGGCGCAGGTGGTAGTGCATGCAGAGGTGGTGGGCAGGGGGATGCTGAACCTCGGGACAGGCCATCAAAGCGGTCGTTTTCCGTACGATTCCTGTTTTGTTGTATCGGCTAGAAGAGGAAGTGAGGGAGTGAGAAATTAGAGTTATGGTGACAATCTCTGGACGTTCCTAGGCGATGTTTTGTCAGCCCTGTCCCTCTATAATTTTTTTCCCCTCCATGGATTATCCCGATCGCTCATGCCCGCTTCTCTCCCGTACAGATCCAGGATATGATCTGTTTGCCTAGGCTTTTCCAGTTAGTAGCTCTCTCTCTCTCTCTCTCTCTCTCTCTCTTCTCTTCTCTCTCTTCTCTTCTCTCTCTCTTCTCTTCTCTCTCTCTTCTCTTCTCTCTCTCTCTCTCTCTCTCTCTCTCACTCCCCTGCGTCTCCTGTTGTTATTCTTTTTCTTTTTTGTCCCTTTTCTCGCTGTTTTCTCCCCTTCTCTATTTCTCTTACTATGTCCCTCGGGCTTGTCCAATCCCGAACTCCGCCGCACCGTTAAGTCCGACAACGGACGGCGCCAGTTCCCATGTACATGGAGCGAGTATTATGGTCACTAGTATTGAGGTTTTGGCTAATCTGTATTATCATTACTGTAATATGCAATAATGCAATATTAATACTCCGTACCTGTGACAGATCCTAGGCTGTAGACCATGGCGCCTCGGTAACTTTCCAGCATTGACACCTACCCGATACACCGAAATAGCAACATATCGGGGATCGTGGATATATCCCTCGAATACCGTAGGATTCAGATTGCTACTCCTTCTTATTCTGGTAGGTGGACGTGTGACATGTACTATATTACTACATACTACCGCTATTGGCCGCGGCTAAGCGGTCTATGGGCAAGGAAACGCTGCCTGTGGATGAGTTATGCGTACATAGTACCGTACATATGAGAATCAATAGATCACAGTCAATCGTCCTCACCGAATTCTCGGTCAATCGGCGTCAACTAATTGGTCAGCCCGTGATTGGCACTTGCTGAACAGAGACGGGGACCAGGATGTAAACTCGTGCAGTTCCGCTCTCGGCGAAGGTATCTGGGCCTAGGATACCTGCTGCCATTGGACAGAGCGATGTCTTTTGAAAATGAGGCATCCCATACGTAACATTAGTGACTCGATGAGCATCACATCTCATTTCATGACCGCATCTACAAGAATAACGTAGTCTTATTATTAACCTACGGATCGTGACGTAATATTATTTGTGGGAATATCTATTATGTGTATGGCTCATCATTGAAAGTGGGGCAACAGGACTATGAGTATTCCCACCTCGCTCTGAGTCATTAATATCAAAGACTCTATCAGAAAGAAAGGGGGGGGGGGGGAAAAGATGAAAAAAAAAAAGAGGAATGATTCAATCGTAAACATAGGAATAGCCCAATGCGGGGGTCGAACCCGCAACCTTGAGATGTGAACTGCTTAGATCGAGTGATCTAGTAAGAGTCTCACGCTCTACCGATTGAGCTAACCGGGCAACCGGTGCTTATTGGATGACCTCGGCGGCGATGATTTCGATTATACGCATGCACTGCCAGTCACCGGTTCAAGCCACTTTCATTCGTCTCCCTGCAGTTTTGACGGGTTTTGAGCCGTTCTTCGAGGTTCCCCCATCCACGCCGCCCTCGTGTTTCACCTGTCAACTGCCACCTTATGATGGGCCAGGGTTCGAGCTGGCAAACACCAATGAGCTTTAACACGCATGAGCGCCGCTCCGCGTTCCTGGCGGCATCGTCATCTCCGCTTCACGTCCGCAAACGGAAACTATGCTGCAGTCTACGGGGGGCACTCATTGTTGAACCGCGTGGCTGTGATGTCCCCGTCTGTTCCCGCCGCGTCGATCCCGTACCATACACCAAGCCTGGCTGCGTCAAACGGCAGTAACGCGGGTTTTCTCGTCCCTTTCCTCCTCTGATCACGCTGATCGTGTCAAGGGCAGGTCACGACGTCAGACAGAGGACACGGCTCCATAGACGTATAATGCACGCATACACACCACTCGGTACCATTCGGTCCTGCTGTAACGTGACAGCTCTATATGGGGAACGCCACCCACAGAAGCAACGCTTGTTGCCGCGGGAAAGAGGCAGCAGAGGAGAAATGAAAAGTGATATTAGGTCATGAAGAGGAGTCAGCAAGATACCGACGTCATGTTCGCGAATGCATAGATACAAACAGATACAAACCCTCTTCACCTATACATGCTAGACATCCGTGAGACCCGCTTCGAACCTCCTCGGGGCCGCCACGATAGTGAATGGGAGATTATTGGAAAAAAAGAGAAAAGAAGAAAAAAAGAAAAAAGAAAAAAAACTTCCCCCCTCTAATCTTGTACATGTGATACAGGATACATGGATACTAGCACGTATTGGTCGAGACTTTGTAAGTTCCCTCGATGCAATCTATCAGAAAAATCTAAGAGACAACAACGCCCATGCAGTGATACGACAATGTACAGAAAAAATTTTTGTCCGTCCCCCACGCATATCGATGTCAGTCACCACTCCGACCACGTTGGCGGTATCAGGAGTAGAGCAGCCAAGCGGAAATAATAGAACCCCACAACAACGTGGCACTATACCCGTCGATGAATTAGGATTGACAACTGCTGACTTTCTAGGGATGCACTGTGCGACCGATTAATGGGTGGTTCGCCGAGAGTATTACGTCGCGGGAAAATTCACCCGAAATACACATACCTGCACATGGCAATTTTTACTGGTACGAGGCTCACTACAGATGGCCGACTCCGAGCTGCCTTCATTCGGAGGTATACCCAAAATGCAGGATCGGCTTCAAGAGCAGCCAGATTTAAATGCTGCCCTCTGGTTGGCTTAGCTCCACCGCTTCGATCAGATGACGCCTTGTACGACTTACTTTGCTTTATTAGGTCACCGTCGTCATGTTATGGCACTATGAGCTGACATATTCGGTGATCCGGTCCCTACCCTCTGTCATATTTCTTACATTCACAGCAGCTTGCATCTGTTTATGCTTCTCTTTTACCTCTTGTCCGGAGCGTTGTTGCCTCACATCTAGCGGTCAGGGACATTGCGCGCACCCTCCCTCCAAGAGAGAGGTCACGCAGCTTGCTGACAGTGTGACGGTTTTGGCTTAGGGTCAGACTTCAGCAGTGATGGATTGGTTCCAGGGGAGCAGGATAAAGTGCATACATGTCAGAGATGTGGCCATATCTATCGGCATCGACAAGACATGCACATGAGGTCTCCGTGTAACATGGGCGACCCAGTCGTGCTCAAGGTGTCGAGAGGAAGGACTGGAAAAGTATATAAAGAAGGCTGGGATCACCCCCCTTGGTTCCCTTGGAAGCGGCACCTCCATCCCCAAGCACACACCGGTCAACATGATTTCTTCTCAACTATAGCCCTCATCCAGCCTCCTTGCCAACATCAGTGCCAACATCAGCGGGTGTCGGACCCTTGAACAGACGCCCTCCGTTCGTTCATATCCGCCATCCGCACCTGCTAGCATCGAGCCAACATCAACGTCAACACTGCGGGGTGTCGACTTATCGGACAGACGTCCTCCGTTCGTCCATAGCCCCCGCTCATACTTGGCCCGGTATCGACGATCCGATAACCCTCAAGGGCGGGACATCCTCCTCGCCCTTTCCGCCTCATGCTGCTAGCCCCGGTGGCTGTCAAGCCCAACATCAGTGTCAACATCATCGCCGACGCAGACACAGACATCAGCACCTTAGCCACCACCACCGCCATGCCAGGGGGTAAGGGGCCCCCCGGAAGTTTCCGTACAGAGAAGAAGCATTGTGCTGACACGCTTGCGCCAACAGGGGCAGGAACAAGGCCAAATTCCAGCTCGACTTGCAGAGCCACCCAAGGGTATATCCAACACACACACACACACACACACACACTCTCTCTCTCTCTCTCTCTCTCTCTCTCTCTCTCTCTCTCTCTCTCTCTTCCTCTCTCCCCATCATCCTCTTGACACTGGTCTAAGTTTCAAAACAGTTCCTTCCCTGAGGATAGGGCTTCCCGGACTGAAGGTCATGATGTGTGCCACTTTTGGGGGCCGCTCCTGTCCGGCCCGATCCGGTTCGTCTCATTCCAGACATTGCTTCGCTTTGGATAGATTCCATCTGATCCGTTGAAACAGTGACCCGTTGGATGAGTATGTCGCGGCGCCACTAGAGCTGGGAGATAGATTCTACCTGATAGGTCAGACTTCATGGCAGCTGCAACAACTCCATCTTGGCGGGCAAAGCACCGACAATGGCGGTGATGGCCACAACCAGTATCAAAACCAGGGTCAGGACCTGGATTCGGGGCTAGAACCAGGCTCGGGCTCGGGACGGAATTGGAATCGGGAACAGGACCGGGGTCGGGGATCCGGACAGCAGGATCAACTACGCCCTGGTCGCGACCAGCGCACCTCATTCCCTAAGGGAAGGGGACAGGTCAACGGCGTGCACGGAGAGGAGGATCGTCGTCAGTATGAGAGCCCTGACCGGGACGGCGGGGAGGGGGAGTGAAAACACGAGCTATTATTTTCTGTCGAAGGCTTGTTGGGACGACGTCATCGACCTGTATTGGTGCTTTTTTTCTTGGTTGGAGCAAAAACGGGTTCGGATTTTTGGATAAGAAATAACAAAACTTATACGATGATAATATAAAAAGAAAAAGTTCCCTCATTATTCTTCTTGCTATACGAGTCCTCGCTTCGTCTGTATTCTCTTCCTCCATTCAGTCCCATTTAAAGGGCGTGGGGCGCATGAAAGGTTGAGAATCTGAAAAAAGAGAGGGGCAAGATGTTCAGTCCCCACTAACCGCACGGATTGAAGTTCGTTCTAAAGGAAGACTGAAGTTGAGCCCCCAAAATGTTAGTCATCAATCGATACACACAGCACACACAATGTCCTTATCATCACGTGCACGCACCAAGTTTCTCACTAGGGTTAATTTTTTTGCATCCCCCCACACAGATTGCCTTGGGAATTCTTCGCCCGCAAAGCTGTATCCCACGACGACATACTCCCGCCCCCCTCCCCCGAAGAGAGCAGCATTTCTCCACGAAGTAACGCCTCACACAAACCGACACAATGGCAAAGCTCTCGTAAGTCTTGTCTGCAGGCGATACTTTCCATTCTCAGTTCGATATCCGTCTATCTCTGTTTTTCGTCTGGCGATACACACACACGACCGCTCTCTACCTCTCTCTTTTCCGACGATTGGCGCACGCACAACTGAAAGGACACTTGAAGAGGAGGATGAACAAGCGCCCACAAAAAAATTTCGACATCTAGATCACGGAATGCTATATGCATATGCGTGTGTGTGCGTGTGTGTGTGTGTGTGTGTGTGTGTGTGCTGTGTCCGACAAGAGCCGAGTCCTTTTTTTTTCGACAGAGAGAAATCGCCGGACGAAACGAAAGGAAAGAGGAATCGAAACGGGAGAATGGAATCGTCCCGTCTTCACCTGTTTGAAAGAGAAGAGCCAACGATGCTGACCATTTTTCCCTAGGCGTGGTGCCCCTGGTGGCAAGCTCAAGATGTCTCTGGGTCTCCCTGTGTACGTTCCCCCCTCCCCTCCATCGGAGTATACATAACCGACGGACGAGTGAAGTTGTCGCTTGAATTGGGTGAGAAGAGCAAGAAAACAGAGCTGACACGATTGACAGTGGTGCTGTCATGAACTGCGCCGACAACTCGGGTGCCCGTAACCTGTACATCATCTCCGTCAAGGGATGGGGTGCTCGCCTGAACCGTCTCCCGGCCGGTGGTGTCGGTGACATGGTCATGGCCACCGTCAAGAAGGGAAAGCCCGAGCTGCGCAAGAAGGTCCACCCCGCCGTCATTGTCCGCCAGGCCAAGCCCTGGAAGCGCTTCGACGGTGTCTTCCTCTACTTTGAGGACAACGCTGGTGTCGTATGTCTCTCCCCTCTCTCTTTCCTTGTTTCTTTCTCTCCTTCTTTTTCTATCCCCTCTCTCCCTTCCTCTCTCACGCACACCTCGACTAACATGGAACAACCAGATCGTCAACCCCAAGGGTGAGATGAAGGGCTCCGCCATCACCGGTCCCGTCGGTAAGGAGGCTGCTGAGCTCTGGCCTGTGAGTAAACCCCTTCTTTCCCTCTCTCGCCCCACTTGTCTTCAACTCGGGGAACAAGCGTATATTGACCGCATAAATAGCGTATCGCCAGCAACTCCGGTGTTGTCATGTAAAGAAAACCCTGATTTTAAAAGAGAAAAAAGGATAACAAGAGAGGAGAAGACAAAAAAACTGGTTCCTGGGGAGGGTGGAAAAAAGGCCAAATGGAAACCAAAACATACCAAAAAAAATCCAAGACGAAATAACGCCCGAAACTTTTTTTTTCTTTTTCTTTCCACAAATATGTGTGTTTTCTAACACCATCTTGGCCTTTCTTATCTACCTCTCTTCCGTCGTAATCTCTTCTTCCCCTCCCCCTCTTACGACGAACGACCCCGAGACCATGGCTGCATTTTCTTCAAGTTGGAACTGGCTATCAGGTGTTTTTTGTTGCAATTAGGTGTTTTAGAAGAAGAAGAAAAAGAAATAGAAAAAAAAAGAAACCATCGGACAAGGAGGACATCCATCTCATATGCAAAGCTCAATGACATACTGTGTTCTTACATAATACACCTGCTGACACCCTCTGGTAATAATACTCATTGCCGTACTTCGGTTACAGGACCTGGATGGACCCTGGGACGAATGCATGCAGCAGCAGCATGCAGATAGACGTGTTTTGTGGGGATCCCAAAACTGGTAAAATTTCGGGGGGGGGGTCTTGCCCATCTTGTTAATAGGTTGTCACGCAATTAGTAACGTGTCAGTTACCCTGCATCTGCTTACAAGTTTCTTTGGCCGACATGATGCAACGAGCATCACCGGCTGGTATTGATATTATGCCCGGATGATATCTTTTTCGACTTTGTTACTAGACAATCCAATCACAACCAATGAACAACAGTACATCCCGCGTTGCATGGTTGGAATAGCAATACCAGCACTAAGTCTGTAGTATCAGCAGCAATGTCACAGCCGCCACCACTTACAGCTTTCAAGTATCATCATTCGACTTACACGACTCACACTCGTCATATTACAACCTCCACACAACTCTAATGTCGACAACTTGAGGGACGAATGCATTGATGCTATGCTATCGTACATACAAAACCAAGGAAACGGCAAAGAAAAAAAAACAACACCCCGGGAGAAGTTAGTTGACAGACAATCCATGTTGAACATGTCAAGGCAGACTAAAATGCTTTCCGTTCACCCATCCTCCCACCCGGAGCGTCCCCACTTAATACCCCCCCCCCTGGAGTACAACCGGAAAAAAAAGAAAAAAAAAA